GCGATGAAATAGATAGTAATCGCCATGGGGGGAGGAAGCAGTGCAAGCTGTGCCTCAGTGCAAGCAGCGCGGTAACTAGCGTCGAGCGAGCGGAGGTGAGCGATCAAGTCAGCAGAGCGCTCAAACGAGGCGAGATCAGGAAACAGGAACGGGAGGAAAAGACGGCCAAGAGAGACAGTAGCGGGAGTAGAGTAGCGGGCCTTAATCGCAGTGAGGTACGCAGCAGCGGTGCGAACCTGAGTGAAGTGGACCTCCTCTGACTCAGGGAGGAGGCTGCTGAGTGCGATGCAGGCCGCAGCGTCACGCGACGTCCAAGCCGTCCTGTCAGCGCGCTGACGGGCAAAGCGAGCCGTAGCAGCATCGTCAGGGGCAGGACCTAAAGCGGCAGGCTCGGGGGGCTCGGGGAGGTCACCAGTAGCGTGCGACCAGAGGGTCTCGCCCCCCTGGACTTGACTCTCTAACAGACGGCGAGCGCGAAGAAGCCAGACGGAAAAGTCAAGAGGTCTACCGTCAGCGTCGAAACGAAGAACTCGCGGAGTCGCCATAGCGAAAACTAACGCGAACGAGCAGGAGGTAAGAGGCAAATTAGGGTTCAGGTGGGACTTAGTCGCAGCGGAAGAGCGGGCTAGAGCGACGGGCCAGGGCGTAGGGTCGACGGGACGGGGGAAAGGGCGGGCACGATGCGACGGGGCAGGGCGACGCGACGGGGCAGGGCGACGCGACGGGGCAGGGCGACGGGACGGGGAAGGGCGACGCGACGGGGCAGGGCGACGGGACGGGGAAGGGCGACGCGACGGGGCAGGGCGACGCGACGGGGCAGGGCGACGGGACGGGGCAGGGCGACGGGACGGGGCAGGGCGACGGGACGGGGCAGGGCGACGGGACGGGGCAGGGCGACGGGACGGGGCAGGGCGACGTGACGGGGGGAAAGGGCGCGACGCGACGGTGGGAAAGGGCGCGACGCGACGGGGGGAAAGAGCGCGACGCGACGGGGGGAAAAGGGCGCGACTCGACGGGGGGGAACGGGCGCGACGCAACGGGGGGAAAGGGCGCGACGTGACGGGGGGGAAAGGGCGCTAGGCGACGGGGGGAAGGGCGCTAGGCTCGGCACTAGGCGCGGTAACAACGGAACCGGTACGAACGAGAGGTAGGATCAGGCTCGGGAGATACGAACGGAGAACGGAGGAACGGGATCCCACAGGATCCTAACCTAACTGATACCATGTCAGAATGAGGAATGGATGATGCATTGATGTTGGTTGGGGTACATATAGCTAACCCTAAGTTTTGTACCCCCTAAGACAAACCTCACTATAGGCTACAACATTTGACACGATGGTGTGGTGCTCTTCTCGCCATAGGCCGCAGATCCAACTGCTTCAGATGCCATCCATGCAACGGCTGTGCCAGGAGTTGCATGCGAGAGGGCATCCGCAACAGCAACAGCAGCAGCAGCAGCTAAGGGATTCGCTTGGGAGCCCTGAGAAACCTGGCTCGCTTGATTCAATTGACATCTGTGGGCTGGATGAGGAGGAAGATGAGGAGGAGGATGAGCATGAGATGTGCAAGCAAGTGGGGGAGAAGCTGGATGGGCCCACATTATTGGATGGCCTATCACCACTGGATAGTTCCTCGTCGTTGGATGTGCCCTTGTCATTGGATGAATCCTCACCGTTCGATGTGCCCTCATTATTGGATGGATCCTCACCCTTGGATGGGCCCACAATTCATCAAATATCTACCTATGATGAAGATAAGGGGACTCCAGGTGAAGTTTATAACATATAATTTTGTGGTGGTTAAGACTTAACGCATCAACAAAAACTCCCTCGTAACATGTTGCCACCTGTTGCCACCTGTCATTCAAACTCCTATCCTTGTGCAGGTCGGGAAACATTAGCCACGCAATCCCTACACGCCACTGCTAACTCATCGCCCAGCCACTCTCGACTTAGCCATCTCTTCCAGATCTAGATGCTCCAATTTTTTATCTGAGCTTTTCATTAGTGCATTTCTTGATGTTCATTGGTCCCCAAAACATTTGTTTTGCTTAGCATAGCCCTATGTTTTCTGTTGTTCTAGCCTAGCTATGAGGATGTTAGACATTTTTATATATACATCCAGTTTCTGCTTTTTTATGCAACATTGTGATGGCATTCATTGCTGGTTAAGATGTACGCGGTCGTATGTTTTTTATTCATTGACGCTACCGTAATATTGCATTCCATGGCGTTTACTTCTTACACTCCTATTTCCAATGTCTATCTATCCCCATTGCAGCCTTTGACGGTCTTCTATTTACGTAACATGTTATTCAACTTCGCGTGCTGCTAAGGGGCGCGACGGGCGCTGCAATGTCGTGCGCCGCTAAGGGACGCGACGGGCGTTGCTAAGGGGCGCTACGGGCGCTACTAATGAGCGTGACAGGGGCTGCTAAGGAGCGCGACTGACGTTGCTATGGCGGGTGCTGCTAAGGGATGCGACGGGAGCAGCTAATGTGCGCGATGGGGGCTGCTAATGTGGCTGCTTCTTAGAGGTGCGATAAACATCGGTGATCACCTTGTTTAATTCAATATGAACCTGTGTGTTAACGGCTACTAATCATCGCTTTACGACTCATGTTTGTTTCAATTGTTTCTGGCGAAGATTTCCTTCTTAGCAGAACAATGTGTCATCACGCAGGTCGGTCTGTATGATTTGATGTTGGCAATTTTTGTGGTTACCAGTTTCTATGTGCATACAAGTTTCACAGTGATTTCACATTTTTGTTTCTAATTTTATATTCTCCCCTTTGAACATGCACGCAATCTGGAGGTTCTGATTTGTATTTCACTACCACTTTGTTCTCTATTGCTAATGGACGCGACGTGCGCTACTTCGTCGGTTCCTACAAAGGTTCGTGATGGTGCTGCTAACACTCTTGTTGGTAAGGGGCCCGATCAGTGATGGTTATCAACTTGCTTAATGATTGCGTTGATAAAACCAATGTGTCTTGTATTTATTATTTGGTTTTGTATTCTGACATGTATTAATCATCATGTAAATAGAGATGTATGTTTCAATCGCTTCTGGTGAATATTTACTACCTTGCAGGACAATGTGTCACCATTCACTACAATTTGTACGATTAAATATAAGCAATTTTGTAGTTGTCAATTTTTGCAGTTGACCTTTTGGCTCATTCAATGTTATTCTTAAATTTGTGCATGTTATGCTTGTCAAAACATATTTATATGTTCTTAGTTCTGCTAGGCTACAGTGAGGTACCCAGTATAGAGTACAACCCTAGTTAGGGTTTCCTACTTGTACATCATTGCCTCATAGTTCATTCATCCCTGCATAGTTAACTCTCAACATAGTTTCAGAGCAGGTCCATCCGTAGGACCACTCGTTTAGGGCCCACCGTTAGTTCCGTTCTGCCCGTTTTCCTGCCCGAACGCGCCCCTAGGCTGGCCGTTGTTCCTGCCTGAATCGCGCCTCTAGATAGGCCGTTTTTCCTGCCCAATTCGCGCCCCTAGGCAGGCCGTTTTTCTGCCCGAATCGCGCCCCTAGCCTGGCCGTTTCTTCTGCCCGAATCGCGCCCCTAGGCGAGCCGTTTTTCCTGCCCGAATCGCGCCCCTAGGCAAGTCGTTTTCTCTGCCCGAATCGCGCCCATGGCGAGCCTTTTTCCCTGCCCGAATCGCGCCCCTAGGCGACGTTTTTCCCATGCGCCCTACAGCCCGCGCGCCCGTGCACCCTGCAGCTCTGCAGCCCGCGCACCGCCCTGCCCTGCAGCTCGCGCGCTGCCCTTCCCTGCAGCCCGTGCGCTGCCCTGCCTTGCTGTCAAACATTATATATGTTGCGTTTGTTAGGCTACAGTGGGTTAGCCTATATGGGGTACACAATTCTAGGGTTTGCTATTTGTACTGATTTCTCTGTTAGTTCAATCATTCCTGTCTGTTAACTCCGACATGGTATCAGAGCAGGTCCTTCGCTAGGACCGTCCTAAGGGCCCACCTACCTACCTACCTACCTACTACCGGAGTGCCTTCTTAGCGCCTCCCACGTAGCGCCCTCGAGCGCTTTATTATTAACCTTTTTTTTTCGGCCCCGCTGGCCCCGTCGATCGAGCCCCGCCTAGAGGCCCCGCGGCCCCGTCGTTTTTTGACCTAGAGGCCCCTCACGGCCCCGTCGCGCCGCCCCTTAGCTGCTCGAGCGCGGTCGCATTCCCTCGCGCACGCCCGCAGCCGCCCGTCGCCCGCTCGCGCACGCCCCGCAGGCCCGCAGCCCGCCGTCGCAGCAGCCGCTCGCTCGCAGCCGCCCGTCGCCCGCTAGCGCACGCTTCGCAGCCGCCCGTCGCCTGCTCGCGCGCGCCCCGCAGCCGCCCGTCGCCTGCTCGCGCACGCCCCGCAGCTGCTCGTCGCCCGCTTGCGCACGCCCCGCAGCCGCCCGTCGCCTGCTAGCGCACGCCCCGCAGCCGCTCGTCGCCTTCTCGCGCATGCCCCGCAGCAGCCCGTCGCCTGCCCGCGCTCGCTCCGCAGCCGCCCGTCGCCTGCGCACACACGCCCCGCAGGCCCGTAGCCCGCCGTCTCAGTGGCCGCCCGCCTGCATCCGCCGTCGCCCACTCGCGCACGCCCTGCTGCCCGCAGCCGCTTGTACGCCGCTTCTTCCGCTGCTGCTTGCGCACCGCTCCCTCCCGAGCGCCGTTGCTGCCCCTACGCTGCTGCTGCCCGTGCGCCACCGCTACTCGTGCACCGCCGCTGCCACTCGTGTGCTTCTGCAGCCGCCGCCCGCGAGGCCCACGCTCTCACTGCTATTATTTTCTACCTACCGTGCACACTGCTGCCACTGCAACAGCCACCAGTGCACCGTTGCAGCTCCTGCTGCCCAGCTACCTACTACTGCCGCTAGTGTGCCACTACGGACAGTCGACCCGCCCGCGCCTTACCTAGTGGCCCAGCCGGCCCCGTTGACTCTCCGCACACTGTTCCAGCGGCCTGATTCCTACTGCTACTGTCGCTATGGCTAGCCCTCCCGTTCTAGCTTTCGATGCCGAGGGCCGTCCGGTGAAGTTCGAAACCTGGCTAGATGACCTGCATCTGTTCCTACAGCTCACTGCCAAGGAAGATATCTCACTGTACGACCACGCCCTAGGCCATGCCACTGCCCCTGACTCGTCTGCTGACAGCACTCTGCGTTCCCAGTGGCAGACCCGTGATGCACACGCTCGCTTTGCTATTCGCAACTCCCTGCCGCTAGACGAGCGCGAGCACTTCGGCCAGTGCAAGACTGCTAAGGACCTCTACACAGCTGTAGTTGCCCGCTACTCCTCACCTGCTTCTGCCACACTAGGCCGCCTCACTCTCCCCTACCTGTTCCCCGACCTAGCCTCCTTTCACACAGTCGCAGACCTCATCACCCACCTTAAGACTAGTGAGGCCCGCTTTCGCGCTGCTATGCCTGCCGAGTTTCTCACTAGCAACCCCCCCCCGCTCTGGATCACTCTCTACCACATCGTCACCCGCCTCCCTGACTCTCTGCGCGTAGTCAGGGACCACTTCCTCTCTCGCTCCCCCACTGAGCTCACTGTTGCCCTCCTCGAGAAGGAACTGCTTGCAGCTGAGGCGAGTATCGTCGCTGTAGGCACCTCTCGTGGCGACCCCCGCACCCCGTTCTTTGAGGGGTGTTCCCCTTCCCCCCTCCTCCCCTCTGTCGCCTCTGCTGCTGCTGTCGACCTTCTTGGTGCTGAGAAGGTCGGGACCGCGTCTGCTTCGAGCGGGCGCCGCAGGAACAAGGGGGGCAGGGGTGGGGGTGGCGGCGGAGGAGGTGGGGGTGGAGGCGGTGGGAGTGGAGGCGCGGCTGGGGAGACTAGTGGCGGCAGTGGGGGAGGAGACAGCAGCGGTGGGAGTGGTGGTGGAGGCGGCAGCGGAGGCGGAGGTGGTCGTGGCGGCGGCAGGGGTGGAGGTGGCCGGGGCGGCGGCGGTGGGGGTGGTGGTCGTGGAGGCACTGGCGGAGGCCCGAGTCAGCAGCCCGCCCCGACGCTTCAGGCCGCCCGTGAGTGGTATGCGCAGCGTAGCGTTACCTGCACGTACGTCATTCGCACAGGTGACCGCAGCGGCCAGCAGTGTGGGAGGCCGCACCCCACGCAGCGCTGCTTCGCGCGCCTTAACGACGCGTGGCGCACTCAGTTTCCTGCTGCCACTGAGCTGCCGCGCTGGGCTGATCTGGAAAAGAGGGGTGTTGATATTTGGGCTTTAGACTTTGATGCTATTCTCACTGCCATGTATGCGATGTCTATTAGTGGAGAGGGTGCTCAGTACTTGCGTGTTCCGCCCGACCCGGGCATTCAGGCCAGTCCGGCTGCCGCTCTAGGTGCTAGTGCGTCTGCTCCCACACGTCCTGGTGAGGCTGCAGCCCCAGGTGCTCGTGCGTCCGTGCCCCCTGGTACTGAGTCGACTGCAGCACTGCACACCTTCACACTGGACTCAGGTGCTTCTCGCTCCTTCTTTCGTGACCGCACTGTCCTTGAGCCACTCGCTCGGCCAGTTGCTGTCTCCCTTGCTGACCCCTCTGGGGGTCCGGTCATTGCGACCTCCTCCACTGTCCTTCCTTGTCCGGCCGTCCCGTCCGGCACGCTGTCAGGTCTCTACCTCCCCTCATTCTCTACGAACTTGGTGGCAGGTAGTGCGCTCCAGGACGGGGGTGTTCACCAGTTCACCCCTGCCTACGAGCGCGTGACACACTGCACGTGTGCTCGGACGGGTCGCCACCTGGCTACCTTCACTCGAGAGCCGGGGTCGGACCTGTACACACTGACCACTGAGTCCCCTCAGGTAGCTGCGTCCGCGTCTGCGTCTGCGTCAGGTCAGCTGTCCGCCCCCTGCTCGTGTCGCTCTCTGGCGCATGAGACTGTCCTTTGGCACCACCGCCTTGGTCACCCGTCTGTGCAGCGCCTTCGGGCTATGCACAAACGGGACCTTGTTGCTGGTCTTCCCAGGGTGCTTCCTCCCCTTCCCGACTCGCCTGCTCCTCCCTGTATTCCCTGTGTCGAGGGACGGCAGCGCGCCGCTCCTCACTCCTCCTCCTTTCCCCCGACGACTGCTCCCTTGCAGACGCTCCACATGGACGTGTGGGGCCCAGCCCGCGTCCGTGGTCAGGGTCAGGAGAGGTACTTCCTGATTGTTGTTGACGACTTCTCGCGCTACACCACGGTCTTCCCCTTGCGCGCCAAGGGTGACGTCCCTGATGTCCTGATCCCTTGGATCCGCAGATCTCGTCTCCAGCTCCGTGAGCGTTTCCGCTCCGACTTCCCTGTCCTGCGTCTGCACTCTGACAGAGGTGGGGAGTTCTCCTCTGGCCTATTGGAGGCCTTCTGTCAGCAGGAGGGCATTGAGCAGTCGTACACGCTTCCGGACTCTCCACAGCAGAATGGGGTTGCTGAGCGCCGCATTGGTCTGGTCATGGAGGTCGCTCGTACCTCCTTGAGCCATGCGGCTGCCCCCCATTTTCTGTGGCCGTTTGCAGTCCGATACGCTGCGCATCAGCTCAACCTCTGGCCCCGTGTCTCCTTGCCCGAGACTTCTCCGACACTGCGTTGGACGGGAGAGGCTGGCGATGCGTTGCGTTTTCGGGTCTGGGGATCCCGAGCTTTTGTCCGCGACACGTCCGCGGACAAGCTCTCCCGTCGTGCTGTCCCCTGCGTCTTCCTTGGCTTTGTCCCGGACGCCCCTGGTTGGCAGTTCTACCACCCCACCTCGCGGCGTGTCCTGGCCTCTCAGGACGTCACTTTTGACGAGTCCGTCCCCTACTACCGCCTCTTCCCCTACCGCACTGCCCCGCTCCCCCCCCCGCCTCTCTTCCTCGCTCCAGGTGCTGAGGTACCAGACCCCCTCCCCCCTCAGGGTGCCGCTCCCTCTGGTGTGTCCCAGGTAGACCCGGGTGAGCCTGTCGAGGTAGCTGTTGACTCTCGTCCTGCTCGGGGTGCTGAGCCTGGGGGTGCTGCGTCTGGGGGTGCTGAGCCTGGGGGTGCTGCGTCTGGGGGTGCTGAGCCTGGGGGTGCTGAGTCTGGGGGTGCGGAGCCTGGGGGTGCTGAGCCAGGAGGTGCGGAGCCTGGAGGTGCGGAGCCTGGAGGTGCTGAGCCTGGGGGTGCTGGGTCTGGGGGTGCTGCGTCTGGGGGTGCTGAGCCTGAGCGTGCTACACCTGGAGGAGCCCTCTCCTCCCAGCAGCTGCAGGAGAGGTACCTCGAGTACTGCCGCCTCCGGAGAGGTGCTGCTGGAGCTCGTCCCGGTACTTCCCCTCCTACCCAGGAGCTCCCCCCCATTCAGCAGATCCGCGAGTGGTACACACGGCGCTGCAGTCTTCGGAGTGGTGCTCCTGGTGCTGCGGACCCTGGGGGTGGCGCTGCAGCTGGTGCTGAGGACCCGGACGTTGGAGCTGCTGCTGGTGCTGCGGACCCGCCTGGTGGAGCTGCTGCTGGTGCTGTTGACCCGGCCGCTGGAGTCTCCTCTGCTTCTGGAGACGCTGCGCGGCCGCGACCGTACTTCGTACCGCTCCTTCAGCAGGTTCTTGGGCAGGCTCCTCCTCCTTGTCCTCCTCCCTCCGTAGAGTGTCCTCTGCCTGTCCAGTCGCAGTCACAGTTACCGCCTACCTCGCCTCTCCCTGCTCCCTCTCCTTACACTGGTCCCACAGGAGGTCTTACAGAGCGTCGTGAGCCTGAGTCTCGTCCTGCGTCGCCTGTTCGTTCTGCTCGCACTGGTAGTCGTGTCCGTCGTGAGCGTCCTCCTCCTGTCCCAGGCACTCACTACATGACTCTGCGTCCCTCTACTGCTCCTCAGCGTGTCCCTCTACCGTCTCCTCCCGCGTCTTCTTTGCCTCACGTTCCGGACCCTGAGTCTGACCGGTACCGTGCTGAGCACCCTACTGTCACGCGTCTCCTCGCTACTGTTGTCACTGACCCTACCTTTGAGTCCTCGACTGCGTCTGCTCTGGTCGCTGAGTTGGTTGACTTTGCTGCTGCCTGTCGTCTGGACTACGCTGCTAGCCTTGTTGCTGAGTCTGAGTCTGAGTCTGTCTGTCCTCCGTCCGTCGGGGGTGAGTGTGCTCTTGGCACGGACGTCCTTGAGGACAGACAGGAGGAGTTCCAGTGTCTTGCTGCTGCTTTGCCCCGTCTCGTGTCCTTGCTAGTTGCCCCTGAGGGAGACCCGGATGCACCAGACATCCCGACCCCACGCACTTACGCTGAGGCGATGGCGGGTCCCTACTCCTCTCAGTGGCAGACAGCCATGGACGCCGAGATGGCTTCCTGGAAGTCCACACGCACCTACATCGACGAGGTTCCCCCTCCTGGGGCGAACATCGTCAGTGGCATGTGGATTTTCAGGGTGAAGCGGCCGCCGGGTTCTCCGCCTGTCTTCAAGGCGCGTTACGTGGCTCGAGGCTTCAGTCAGCGAGAGGGAGTTGACTTCTTCCAGACCTTTTCCCCCACCCCGAAGATGACTACTCTTCAGGTGCTGCTGCACATAGCCGCTCACCGCGACTACGAGCTTCACTCACTTGACTTCAGCACTGCTTTCTTGCAGGGCAGCCTGCACGAGGAGATCTGGCTGCGCCGCCCACCTGGCTTCACTGGGTCGTTTCCTCCTGGTACCCAGTGGAGGCTTCAGCGGCCGGTCTACGGTCTCCGCCAGGCTCCGCGTGAGTGGCACGACACACTGAGGACTACACTTGCGGCTCTTGGGTTCGCGCCTTCTACAGCTGACCCGTCGCTGTTCCTGCGCACCGACACTTCGCTGCCGCCGTTCTACATCCTCGTGTACGTCGACGACTTGGTCTTTGCCACTGCTGACACTGCAAGACTCGCCTACGTGAAGTCGGAGCTGCAGAGGAGACACACGTGCACAGACCTGGGTGAGCTGACAAGCTATCTTGGCTTGCGGATCACCCGGGACAGAGCACGGCGCACCATCACCTTGACTCAGTCACACATGGTGCAGCAGGTTCTCCAGCGCTTTGGCTTCACGTACTCCTCGCCTCAGTCCACTCCTCTGCCTACCGGTCACTCGCTCTCAGCTCTGCCTTCGGATGAGTCCGTAGAGCCGAGTGGCCCGTATCCAGAGCTTGTGGGCTGCCTCATGTACCTGATGACCTGCACTCGACCTGACCTTGCATACCCTCTTAGCATCCTTGCACGCTATGTCGCTCCTGGCCGTCACAGGAAGGAGCACATGGATGCCGCTAAGAGGGTGTTGCGCTACTTGTGTAGTACGTCGGGCATGGGGCTTGTGCTTGGAGGGCGAGACCGAGTTGTGCTCACAGGGCACTCAGACGCTTCTTGGGCAGACGACCAGGCCACTCAGCGGTCGTCTCAGGGTTACACCTTCAGTCTTGGCTCTGGCTCAGTTTCTTGGCGCTCTACACGCTCTTCTTCTGTTCTCGGCTCCAGTTGCGAGGCTGAGATCTACGCTACAGCCATGGCTGCCCAGGAGCTACGCTGGCTGACCTACCTGCTGACTGACCTCGGAGAGCCGCCTCGTTCTCCTCCAGTACTGTACGTCGACAACAAGGCTGCCATTGCCTTGTGTGAGGAGCACAGACTGGAGCACAGAACGAAGCACATCGCCCTGCGGTACTTCCTTGCTCGAGAGCTGCAGCAGCGCGGTCAGCTTTGTATTCGCTACGTGGCCACTGAGGCCAACACTGCTGATGTGTTCACCAAGGCGCTTCAGCCTCGTGACCATCAGCGCTTCTGCACTCTACTAGGCCTTGTGCCTACTGGACCTCACTTGCTTACCTCTTGACTTTGCTTGTACTGTGATCACTATATATATCTATACCTGCATGTTTACTCTTGCTAGGTTGTGATCACTGTATCTCATGCTCTGTTATAAACCTGCATGTGAACTGGTCTTGTGACCACTAGCTTGTGCTCGGAATTTGTGTGGTATCCTTGAGATCCACCCTGAGCTTGTTGTTGCCTTGCTTTGCCTTGACTGGTCTTGTGACCCCTAGGTCTCCCCCACTTTGCCTATGGGGGTGTGTCAAACATTATATATGTTGCGTTTGTTAGGCTACAGTGGGTTAGCCTATATGGGGTACACAATTCTAGGGTTTGCTATTTGTACTGATTTCTCTGTTAGTTCAATCATTCCTGTCTGTTAACTCCGACACTTGCAAGCCCGCGTGCAGCCCTGCCCTGCAGCCCGCGTGCTGCCCTGCCCTGCAGCCCATGCGCCACCCTGCCCTGCAGCCCGCGCGCTGCCCTGCCCTGCAGCCTGCGCGCTGCCCTGCCCTGCAGCCTGCACGCTGCGCTGCCCTGCCCGCACGCCCTGCAGCCCGCGCGCTGCCCTGCCTGCGCAGCCCTGCAGCCCGCGCGCCACCCTGCTGAAATAGTAGCATAAGTGAGGGCCTAGGCTTAGTAGCCTAGGCCAAAGGGGATTGAGCTAGTTTGTGCCAAGGAGGGAGAGTCGAGAGATGAGAGGAGAATGATGGTGTTCACTATAGCACTAGGGTACATATAGCAAACAAAGAGGTGCACCACCTATAAAGTTAATATCTACACTACAGCTAGAACTACATGCAGGTATAAGAATATAATTCTGACATCCCCCCGTAACTGCATGCAGGAATAGCTAAGTGCAGAACACAACCTGCAGGGGTACATCACAGACAGAGAAAACAGCAATAGCTGGCAAGGTAACAGAGCAGGTACAGCAGCAAAGGGGCAGGCACTCCTGCCACCCCTTTACTCTCCTCCCCCCCCCCCCCCCCCCCCCCCACCTCAGAGGGACGGGGGCTGGTTGGTCTCACACCCGCCACCCCAATGCCACTCCCCTGGCTCCCCCACACCCTCACACCCTCCCCCCTAGTGGCAGCTGCAGAAGTGGGAACGAAAGGAGGAGGGGAAGGGAAACACACCACCCATCACCCCCACACCCGCCACCCCGAGACCCTCCCCTCCACGGCTGCAGGGAGACGAAGGAGGGGGGGGGGGAGGGGGGGCGGGGATAAAGCCGCAGAGCGGCTACAGAGGGTCGGCGCGCTGTAGGGCAGGGGCGGCTGCAGTGAGTGCAGGCGCGGGGTGAGGTAGAGGCGCCGTCGCGGGCGCCAGGGGCGGGTCCACAGCGGCTCAGGGCACCGTCGCAGGCGCCAGGGGTGGGTCTGCGGCGGCTCAGGGCACCGTCGCGGGCGCCAGGGGCGGGTCCGCGGCGGCTCAGGGCACCGTCGCGGGCGCCAGGGGCGGGTCCGCGGCGGCTCAGGGCACCGTCGCGGGCGCCAGGGGCGGGTCCGCGGCGGCTCAGGGCACCGTCGCGGGCGCCAGGGGCGGGTCCGCGGCGGCTCAGGGCACCGTCGCGGGCGCCAGGGGCGGGTCCGCGGCGGCTCAGGGCACCGTCGCGGGCGCCAGGGGCGGGTCCGCGACGGGCAGAAAAAACGTCACGCGCCACCCGGGCGCGGGACAGAACGAAAATCGCCACGCGCCCGAGGCGCGCGACCGGAAAAACAGCAGCGGAAGCGAGAGGCTGGCCCACAGGCCAGGACTTAACAGGCTCTGATACCATGTTGAAATCGTAGCATAAGTGAGGGCCTAGGCTTAGTAGCCTAGGCCAAAGGGGATTGAGCTAGTTTGTGCCAAGGAGGGAGAGTCGAGAGATGAGAGGAGAATGATGGTGTTCACTATAGCACTAGGGTACATATAGCAAACAAAGAGGTGCACCACCTATAAAGTTAATATCTACACTACATGCAGGTATAAGAATATAATTCTGACAGCCCAGTAGCCCGCACGCTGCCCTGCCCTACAGCCTGTGGGCTGCACTACTACTGCAGCGACTACCGCTACTGCTGCAGCCGCAGCTACAGCAGTCACTTCTAACGCCCTTGCGCCGCTGTTACTGACTGCCACTGCCTGTCATGGACACTTTCACAGTCGTAGCATCGGCTGTCGATAGACAACAGCAGCTGCCTCACCCGGATACTCTATCGCCGCAGCAGCTTCGTAAGTGGGTTGTTCAGCGAGGCCGTCCTGGTGGTGGAGGATATGATCCTGGAGGTACTCGACAGCAGCGGCAGCAGAGTCAGCCGAAGACCCCCTTGCCGCAGCAGCCTCGGGAGTGGTTTTCTCAGCGACGTGTCTCTGGTACTGTCGGTGCTGCTGCTCTAGGTACTAGTGAGTCTGCTGCCTCTCTAGGTGCTAGTGCGTCTTCTGCCACAGGTGCTCGTGAATCTGCTACTAGTACGTCTACTACCTCAGCTGAGGCCCTGCACACTTTCACACTTGACTCTGGTGCGTCACGTTGCTTCTTTCGTGATTGCACCACCGTCGCACCACTCGCTGCACCCGTCCCAATCTCCCTGGCTGACCCCTCTGGGGGTCCTGTCATTACACGGGATTCAACTGTCCTCCTGTGTCCGGCAGTCTCCTCCGGCTCTCTTTTAGGTCTCCACCTCCCCTCGTTCTCGACGAACCTGGTGAGCAACGCAGTCCTTCAGGATGCATGGGTTGATACCTTTACCCCTGGAGGGCAGCGTGTGGCGATCTGTACGTGCTCCTAGACTGGCCGTCACCTTGCTACATTCACATGGCAGCCTGGGTCCAGTCTGTACACCCTGACCATTGCGTCTGCACGGGTGGCTGCGTCGAGTCAGGTGGATGTGGCGAGTCAGGTGTCTGCGTCTGGGCTGTTAGCTGTGTCGTGCTCGTGACGGGTACTCTCCCACCAGACTCTCCTTTGGCACCACCCACTCAGTCACCCCTCTCTGCCGCGTCTATGCAGCATGCACTCCCGTCTCCTCGTCTCTGGCCTTCCCAGGTCCCTGCCCCCCCTCCCGTGCTCGCCTACCCCCCCGCCCTGCCTTCCTTGCGTCGAGGGGCGGCAGCGCGTCGCTCCTCACTCCTCCTCCTTTCCTCCGACCATTGCTCCTTTGCGGACTCTCCACATGGACATGTGGGGCCCGGCCCCCGTCAGTGGGCCGAACCAGGAGCGCTACTTCCTGCTGGTAGTTGACGACTACTCGCGCTACACCACGGTCTTCCCCTTGCACAGCAAGGCGGATGCCCGCGGTTTTTTGATCCCCTGAATCCGCGCTACTCGTCAACAGCTGCGCGAGCGGTTTCTGCAGGACCTTCCACTCCTGCGTCTATACTCTGACAGGGTCGGTGAGTTCTCTTCTGGCCTCCTTGCGGAGTTCTGTCGAGACGAGGGCATCCTCTAGTCGTTCACGCTTCCGGCCTCTCCGCAGCAACATGGGATTGCTGAGCGTCACATTAGCTTGATCATGGAGGTTGCTTGCACCTCCATGATCCATGCGGCTACTCCCCATTTTCTGTGGCCGTTTGCGGTCCGATACGCTGCACATCAGCTCAACCTCTGGCCCCGTGTCTCTTTGCCGGAGACCTCGCCCACACTGCATTGGACGGGAGAGGTTGGCGATGCATCGGCGTTTTGGGTCTGGGGCGCGCTCTCCCTTGTTCGAGATACCACCGCGAGCAAGCTCTCTCCTCGCACTCTCCGCTGCGCCTTCCTGGGCTTCCCCACTGACGCCCCGCCGTGGCAGTTTTACCACCGTGCCTCGCGCTGTGTCCTATCCTCCCAGGACGTCACCTTTGACGAGACTGTTTGTTTCTACAGTCTCCACCCGCACGCGTCCCACCCAGTCCCCCTACCACTCTCTTCCTAGTACCAGTTCCCCCCCCCGATAGACCCCCTCCCCCCAGAGGGACCTGCTCCCTCAGGTGTGTCTCAGGTATGCCCACCCCCCTTGGTTGAGCCTCTGGAGATCTCGTCTGACTCCTCTAGCCCCGCTGAGGGGGGTGACCCCGCCGCTGACAACACGGCGGCCACTCGCCGCTATCCACGCTTGGAGACTCCTCCTAGTTTTCCGCCTCGCCTGTCTTCGCCGCCTCTGCAGCCTGTCACTGTGGACACTGGTGCTACTGGGGGTGGTACCATTGGTGGTGAGGACTCTGGGGGTGCTGAGACTGGGGGTGAGGGTTCTGGGGGTGCTGGGACTTGGGGTACTGCGAGTCTTTGTGGTGGTGGGGCTGTGGGTGCTCCTGCTGTAGATCCTGGCGTTGGACAACAGCATCCGCCTAGTCGATTCGAGACGCCCTCACCGCAGCAGCTTCGTGAGTGGGTCGTTCGGCGAGGCCGCTCTGGTGCTGCTGGTGCTGGAGGTGCTGGTGTTGCTGGTGCTAGAGGTGCTGGAGCTGCTGGTGCTGGAGGTACTTCTGGTGCTGGAGGTGCTGCTGGTGCTAAAGGTGCTGGAGCTGCTGGTGCTGGAGGTCCTACTGGAGCTGCTGCTGCTGGTGGTGCTGCTGGTGCTGCTGGTGCTGGTGCTGCTGGTGCTCCTGGAGCTGGAGCTGCTGGTGCTGCTGGTGCTGGAGGTGCTGCTGGTGCTGGAGGTGCTGCTGGTGCTGGTGCTGCTGGTGCTGGAGGTGCTGGAGCTGCTGGTACTGGAGGTGCTAACGCTGGAGGTGCTGGTGCTACTGGAGCTGGAGGTCCTGGAGCTGCTGGAGCTGGAGGCGCTGGAGGTATTGGTGCTGCTGGAGCTGGTGGTCCTGGAGGTGCTGAAGGTGCTGGAGCTGCTGACGGTATGGGTCCTGCCCCGCGCCGACCGTTTTTCTACCCGCAGCCGCAGTCGTCCTTACCACCGCATGGCTCGGCACTTTGTCAGGTTCTTAGACTTCCACTGGCCTTACTCCTCCCTTACTGTGTCCACCGCCTGACCCGTCTCAGACACAGCTACTGCCAGACTCCCCACTGCTTGCTCCTTCTCCTTACACCTAGCAGTCGGACTCCCTGACAGAGCGTCGTGAGCCTGCGTCTCGTCCTGCCTCCCCTGTTCGCACTGTTCGCCGTGCTCGTCGTGTTCCTCGTCCTCGTCCTCCACCAGTCCCCGGCACTCACACTATGGCACTTCGTCCTTCCTCTGTTCCACAGCGTGTTGCCCTGCCGTCTCCTCCACCGTCCTCTCTTCCTGACATTCCCGACCCTCTGTCTGACCTCGCTCGCGCTGTTAGTCCCGCTGTCACTCGTCTCCTAGCTACAGTTGCCCTTCCTTTGAGTAAAATGCTGCAAATGCCTTAGTTGCTGAGCTTGTTGACTTTGCTGCTGCGTGTCGTCTTGACTACGTCGCGAGTCTTGTCACTGAGTCTGAGTCTGACTGTCCTCCGTCCGTCGGGGGTGAGTGTGCCCTTAGCACGGACGTCCTTGAGGACAGGCAGTTTGAGCTTGCGTGTCTTGCGGCCGTTTTACCTCGTCTCGCATCCATGCTGGTTTGCCCTAAGGGAGACCCAGATGCACTTGACATCCATACCCCGCGCTCTTACGCTAAGGCGATCGCGGGTGAGTAATTCTCTCAGTGGCAGACAGCCATGGACGCAGAGATGACTTCCTGGAAGTCCACAGGCACCTACATCGACGAGGTTCCCCCTCCTGGGGCGAACATAGTTGATGGCATGTGGATCTTCAGGGTGAAGCGGCCGCCGGGTTCTCTGCCTGTCTTCAAGGCGCATTACGTTGCTCGAGGCTTAAGTCAGCGACAAGGGGTCGACTTCTTTCAGACCTTCTCCCCCACCCTGAAGATGACTACTTCTCGGGTGTTGCCGCACGTTGCAGCACAGCATGACCACGAGCTGCACTCCATCGACCTCTCCACAGCTTTCTTGCAGGGCAGCCTTCACGAGGAGATCTGGCTGCGCCGTCCACCTGGCTTCACTGAGTCGTTTCCTGCGGGTACCAAGTGGCACCTCCGGCGGCCGGTCTACGGTCTCCGCCAGGCGCCTCGCGAGTGGCACGACACACTGAGGATGACGCTTGCGGCTCTTGGGTTTGCTCCTTCGACTGCTGACCCGTCGTTGTTTCTACGTACCGACACTTCTTTGCCGTCGTTTTACATCCTCGTGTACGTAGACGATCTGGCTTTTGCTACTGCTCACACTGAGGCACTGACCCTCGTGAAGTCGGAGCTACAGAAGAGACACACCTGCACTGACCTGGGTGAGCTGCGTAGCTATCTTGGCTTGCAGATCACCCAGGACAGAGCACGGTGCACCATCACTCTGACTCAGTCACACATGGTGCAACAGGTCCTTCAGCGCTTCGGCTTCCAGTTCTCCTCGCCACAGCCCACTCCTCTGCCTACAGGTCACTCGCTCTCAGCTCCACCTTCGGACGAGTCCGTAGAGCCGAGTGGTCCGTATCCAGAGCTTGTGGGTTGCCTCATGTACCTGATGACGTGCACACGACCTGACCTCGCGTACCCTCTCAGCCTCCTGGCTCGCTACGTGGCTCCCGGTAGACACCGAAAGGTGCACTGGGATGCTGCTAAGAGGGTACTGCGTTACTTGTGCAGTACGTCGGGCATGGGGCTCGTGCTTGGAGGACAGGGTCCAGTTGTACTCACAGGACACTCCGACGCTTCTTGGGCTGACGACCAGGCGACTCAGCGGTCGTCACAGGGTTACACCTTCAGTCTTGGCTCTGGCTCTGTCTCGTGGAGGTCCACTCGTTCATCTTCGGTGCTTAGTTCCAATTGTGAGGCTGAGATCTACGCTAGGGCGCTGGCTACGCAGGAGCTGCGCTGGCTGACCTACCTGCTGACCGACTTGGGGGAGCGGCCTCGTTCTCCTCCAGTTCTGTACGTTGACAACAAGGTCATGCTTGCCTTGTGTCGTGAGTAGAGGCTGGAGCACAGAACGAAGCACATTGCTCTGCGGTACTTCCTTGCTTGAGAGCTGCAGCAGCGTGGTCAGCTGCGCCTTGCTTACGTGGCTTCTGATGCCAACACTGCTGATGTCTTCACCAAGGCCCTTGGGTCTGGTGATCATCAGCGTTTCTGCACTACTCTAGGCCTTTTGCCCACTCTGCCTCACTTGCTGGTCGCTTGACTTTGTCTTTTATTGTGATCTTTATATATATACCTGCATGCTTGCTCTTGCTAGGTTGTGATCACTGTGCTGTTTCTGCTTTTATAACTCTGCATGTGAACTGGCCTTGTGGCCGCTTGCTTATGCTCAGAATGAGTGGTGATCTTGATTGTGATCCACCCTGGGCTTTGCTTTGCTTTGTTCTCTTGCTTGACTGGTCTTGTGACCATTTGTTGTGTTGGCTATCCACTTTGCCTAAGGGGGTGTGTCATAACATATTTATATGTTCTTACTTCTGTTAGGCTACAGTGACGTACTCTGTATAGAGTACAACCTCAGTTAGGGTTTCCTACTTGTACATTATTGCCTCATAGTTCATTCATCTCTGCATAGTTAACTCTCAACAATGTTGTTGTTGTTTTTTTTTTTACTACTGGGGGTTCGTATGTGTGTCTGGAAATGCATTATTTAGTTACTTGCATTTTGATTAAGTAGAGATGTTTTTGAACGTTTTTCTTATAAATCATGTACTTAATGGTTAGGTATTATTATTATTTGCGAAACGCATCATAGTATATCGGGTACGCAATGTACACATTTTGCACATCAGACTCGACTAGTGCTTATGCGCGTTGGTCCGAAAAGAGTCTTGATATTTGGTCCGAAATGTAGCAGGCCTTGGTTCGAAAAGTCTCCTTTTCTGCACGTCCAGGTTCCACCCGGAAAGAGTCTTTTCAGACTCTCTTGGACAAATGTGGGACCCTGGAAATTGGAGATGGAAATTGGTGGGATGACCTCTTCCCAGAGATGGAAAATGAGAATTTAGTACTGGAATGACATTCAAATGAGTGCCAACCCTGGTAGACCATGTGTCACTTTTATTGTTACACACTAGTATTGCTGTATGAAGCTTCAAATAAGAACTACATCTTGATTGTGCTCGAAAATCCTCCTCATTATCCAAATTAACAAAACATTTCCTAGGCATAGGTGTTCAGAGTGTAGTCGCATTAGAAGCTAATACAATCGAGAGGATGTAATATTCTGGCAGTTTGATGTTGCTGGACTGATGATGCTGGTGACGGTGACATATGCTGCTGAGCTGGAAGATCCTGAACCCCTTTCACGCACGAACCACGAGTTCTCTAAAATCAGCATGTGAACATTTTGTGGCCTGAGTATGGAAATCACACCATCACAGCGAAAAGGATAAATCTGTCGGCGAAGTAAAATTCAGAATCTCGTGGGATGGGACCAGTTTGAGGGTGGTTTGCGAACATTCAAACCACCTGGTTACCTGCAACAAATAGGAATCCTCCATGTCAGCTGGAAAGTGTTGACATCACCTTCCACGCAACAAACTCTGCAGATATCGTTTCGTCCGAGTCGCTTGTTTCACCCAACACCAGTACCCGAATCGCATCTCTCGGAGATTTGGCGGCGAGTGCGCTTCGCGAAGGACTTATCTCATTCACCAAGCAACCACCCTGCCAGCTGGGGCAAGCCTAGCAGAACTGTAGGAGGTCTGCGTTCGGCTCGGCTGTACCGCGGACGCGGAAACCACCCGTTTCTCGTCTGGTTGGGTGGGGTTACCACAGACTCACCGAACGTGCAGTGCCTCGGTTCGGTGTGATCTGCTGGGGGGGAACTCAACTTGACCCACCCATCACGATATTCACGAACCATTCAGATTGCTCAACATGTCCGCGCTTCGGAAACTCGATACTGCAAGGTATTTAGGCCGCGACACTATTTTGGATATCTCATCCAACCCACCAACATTCTCATCTCACACGCCACATTTCCGCCTCCCGTCCATCCCAGTGTTCGTTCCAATCATGGCGCGCTTCTCGTTCCTAGCGGCAACGCTCGCCATTTTGCTCCTCGCTAACGCGAGCAGCGCATTCGTGCGGCACCTCGCGGCGAGCGCGGTCGTTAAGCCCGCCGCAGTAGCCGCCTGCACCAAGTCGACTCTGGCGCCATACGCCAAGTCCGTCAAGCTCACAGCTAACGGGTACGTGATTTGAAATTAGTTGGTACGAAACATCTCGGAACATCTGCCGTGCATCGGAATTTCTCACGCTGATGGTTGTTCGTTCACGAGTCCCGTGAATCTTTGAAATCCGTCCTTGCCTCCCGACACAAAAAGCCTTCCTAGTATGAAGTTAGCATTAAACTTCCCGGTTCCCATTTCAGCCTGTTTCTCCTGCACTGGAATATCACCAAGAAGAACGACGGAATCATTGCTGCCCTCGAGGCGAAGGCTGGCAGCGGCGGCGAGACGGGCTGGATCTCCATTGGCTGGACGAAAATAGCTAAATTCATGTCACCAGCCGACGCCATCGTGGGGAATTTGGCCGCAGCTGCGCCGAACAACGTGTTGGCTTACATGATGAAGGGCAGGAGTCTGAGTACGATCAAGAAGACAACCGCAGTGAAGCTCTCTGCGAAATCCGTGGTTACCACTTCTGACGGAGGCAAGATCGTCAGGTGAGTTTCACTTTGTTCGGCAAGATCTGTGGTTACCACTTCTGTGCGAAACTCGACATTTTGCTGGTACTGATCCCGTGCGCGCCGGTTCATTTCAGGTTCACTCGCATAGGGAAGGCCGGCGGTCTGGCTCCTGTCAGTTACACGGGTAACAACAACATAATCTGGGCCTTCTCCGACACCCAAGCTTTCACCACCCATACCGAAAGGTACCCTCTTGTGACAATCTCAACAATCGCAAGCTGATTTTTTGCTTACCGTATTCCCCCGGATATACCACCCTAGGGTGCTATGATAACTACACAAAAAAAAGGGGGGGGGTCTTGTCATCGGAAAAAGCTACATTGCACCCGGGTCTTTACATAATGTATATTTTTTTTATAGCGTAAAACGTTTAGTACTAAATGTACATCTGTGCCGTGGTGGTAGATTGCTGGTTGGGTGCGCAAAACCGAGGACTGGGCGATAACGTTTTGCGCGAGGGTTAGCTGCCACATTGCAAGCTCCAACAAGGCCCACTGTCAGGCCCTGATGGGACGAAATCACACCTAGGAGGGTGGGCTTTATCTGCGAGGTAGTTAGCATTCTGTCTAGATGGTAGTAGGCCCCTGTTGAATGTAGGAAAGACTGTGTGATGGAAGTGTTAGCGCTGTATTGCGTCATCTGTAGCTTGTTTCTGCTAATGTTAACTTGTAGATGGATTATCATTGGAAACCCTGTGCTACTTAGGCAAAAACTGCAATTATACCCGTACATAACACCCCCCCTCCCCCGGGTGCTATATAGGATGCCCCCAAAAGGGGGGGTATAGTAGAAACGAGGCCCGCTATAGCACCCCCCCCGCACAAGCCACCCGGGGGGTGCTCTATTTCGGGGGGTGGTATGTCCGGGGGAATACGGTATCATTTGTTCATTTATTCTGGTTTATAGTTTTTTTTTTTTTTTACCTTGATTGGTTTTTGCTATGGTGGTCTCATTTACCTACCGTAACTTGTATATTTTTCTGTTCATCAGGGGTGACATCGTCGTCAACCTCGGATGCAAGGTGTAATTGAGTACCACGTTTGATATATTCTCAGAGGGTCGTTTGGAATATAGCATCTACAATCACCTCTAAAGGTGTGGCAGAGCTGTTGGTGCCACCAATGCCACTAGACTTACCATCACTCGATAAGGGTGTGACAATGGTTGTGATTTGCGCACATGATCCGTGAGAACAGCCAGGCCTTCGTTGCGTACATGATCCATTAGGAAAGTCGAGCCATGGTTGTGCAGTGCACACATGATCTAGAAAGCCAGGCCATGGATTCATGCAAATGCCATTTTAGAGAAAACCCACCAAAAAAAAAAAGTAACAAGCCTCCTAATCAGGGACTTAGCTAGTTTGATGAAACACTGTAAAAAAATCAAGCATTTTTTTGCCATTGAAAGTCAGACAAAAAATATTTTCAACTACCTTAGCAAGACGGACAAGACCTTTGATAAGCCTAGCTTGCCACTGCTGCGCTCATGATTTCCCATCTGCCTCTGCAGGCACATTCAGCAGGTCACTCTCTCCCTCCTCCACAAGGTATTGTTGGAAGTGAGAGGCGTTGGCAGAGATGCACGACTGCAGGACAGAGAAGAGCCAAGAGCTTGCTTGCTCACTGCTGCACTCATGATTTCCCATCTGCCTCTGCAGGTGCATTCAACAGGTCACCCTCCCCCTCCTCCACAAGGTATTTTTGGAAGTGAGAGGCGTTGGCAGAGATGCAGGTCTGCAGCGTGGAGAACTGGGAGATGCAGTCCGAACCCTGCAGTCATTGTGACGGGGGGGGGGGGGGGGAGAGGGGGAGTGGAAGGGAGGGGGGTCGGGGGGATTGCATAGGGAGGAGCGCAGGTGAGCAGCATTGGCAGAGATGCAGGACTGCAGTGTGGAGAACTGGGATACACAGTCCGAACCCTGCAATTACAGTGGCAGTCATGGGCGAGGAGAGTGGGGGGATGGGAAGGCATGTGTTGCATGTGAGCGGCATAGGCAGAGATGCATGACTGCAGTGTGGAGAACTGGGATACACAGTCCGAACCCTGCAATTACAGTGGCAGTCATGGGGGGGGGGGAAGGGGAAGGGGTTGGAAGGGGTGAGGGAGGGAGGCGGAGGAGGAGAGGGAGGGTGGGGGAGTGGGAGGTTGAGATATAGTCTGAGCCCTGCAGTGCAGTCACGGAGGGGGAGGGGAATGGGGGGGGGGGGGGGGGGGGGAAAGAGGGGGTGGGTGTGTGACGGGGTGCATAGGCATATGAGAGGTGTTGGCAGAGATGCAGGACTGTAGCGTGGAAAACTGGGAGATGCAGTCCGAGTCCTGCGCTACAGTCACAAATGGGTTGCACAGGCAGGCGCAGGCATGCAATTACGAATTGTGACAGGGGCCATGGTTGTGATAAGTCATGGGAATCAGGGAAGGGGAGTGGGGCAGAGTGCAGGAGCATGGGACTCGCACGACAGTAATTCCGAGTTGAAACGACAACCTACAAGCGCAAAAGTCAATCGACAGAGAACACGGGGGTGAGAGGAAACCCCTATGAACCAAGAGAAGCAACGGAGTAGTGAACCTTGCTCACCTCATTCTCCTCCTTGCCGTTACAGCAGAACCAGAAGCCCTCTCTGCGACAAAGCAGCCACGTAGCAGCACTGCCAATTCTCAACTCCTTACCCCCGTTCCCCTTCCCCTCCATACTTACCTCATCCCCGTCCCCTCATCACCCTCGCCTGGTCCTCCGCCTTGCTGACATAGTAACACCGGAAGCTCTCAGCAAACTGCTCCCAATCCACCTTCGCCAGAGTAGCTTAGTAGCAGCACAGGGAATCCTCACCTCATGCCCCGATCCCCCTCCCTCTTCCCCTCCATTCGTACCTCATCCCCCTCCCCTCATCCCCCTCACCTGGTCCTCCGCCTTGCTGACGTAGTAACACCGGAAGCTCTCTGCAAGCTGCTCCCAGCACGCCCCTCCCCTCAGCTTGTCCAAACACGGACACTCCAGGGCCCTCTGTGCCCTCTCCTCCTCGCTCTCCGCCCCTCCCCCTCCGCCTCCATCCCTCCCTCGTGAAGCTTGACTCTCCGCCTCTGTTGAAAGAAAGAATGGCCATGGGTGGAGGGGATGGATGGAAGCATAGTAGGATGAAACACCAACACTCCAGGGCCCTCTTTGCCCTCTGCTCCTCGCTCAGGTCCCTCTATATAACCAGATTTAGCGTCTCCACTCGTGAAACTCCAGCACCGAAACAGGTTGCTTTGGACAAAAAAACAAAAAAAAGGCACACACACGCACGCACGCACGCACGCACGCACGCACGCACGCACGCACGCACGCACGCACGCACGCACGCACGCACGCACGCACGCACGCACGCACGCACGCACACACACACACACACACACACACACACACACACACACACACACACACACACACATACACACACCCCATGGCCAACGCCTTACCAGCAATCGGAGAAGCTAAGGCCGTCTCGGGTCCCTATATGCAGTCGGATCGACTTCTAAGTTGACTCAAAAGTCGTCTGACCAGCAATAAGCGATGCAAATGCCGCCTCGGGCCCTTCCAAGGAACCGGATGCACCATCTGGCTGGCGGGACTACAGCGCATATTGGAGTTGCTTTGGGGAATTCCCGACAGCTGGAATGGCAGACTCCTTACCAGCAATAAGCGACGCAAATGCCGCCTCGGGCCCTTCCAAGGAACCGGATGGTTCGCGGGTATCTTGGGCTGGTGCGGTGGAGGGAGGTGAGGCGAGCGAGGGGGACGACGAGGTGTCTGTGGGGCGACCCATAGCGGAAGGGCGTGAAGGGGAGGCGGGGGAGGGGGAAGGGGGAGATGAGGGAGGTGCGGGGCGGGAATACGCGGGAGGAGGGGAAGGCGAGGGCGGAGACGGCGGAGGGGAAGGGAAGGCGCGGAAGTAGGTGGAAGGGGGACGAGGCGGGTGGGGATGCGCCACAGTGAATTGCGGTTGAATTCGGTGACAAGGAGTGCAGATCTGTGCCAGCACAGAGCTAGTCTCTTTGATTGAAGGTGTGAAGATCGCGGCGCTGACGTGTGGATTTGCGTCGACTCAAAGACCGCAAATCTGACGTGGCCGTGTATGTACGAGACTATCGGCTTAGGGCCGGTCGACGTGAAGGGAAGGAGAGGTAATACCGAGGGGATTTTGGGCAGGACTTCTCGGAGTGAAAATGGGAGGATGGAACAACGGCGAAGACGAGCGACTCGGCGAGCGCACGACAATGTAGCTGCTAACGTGCGGCGCGAAAGGAGCATAAGACAATAAGCTAGAGGCGTGCTGGAGAAGGGAGTTAGCGATCGTAAAGACCGTTGGGTGGGTGGGGAGGATGATAAGTGCTACGCCATAGAAACCGATCATGCAATCGAGGGTGACGTAGTACAAGCTGGCGTTCCCAAGGAGAGAGGTCGCCACCGTACGAAATTCCCGGTGTACCGATTCAGACCCAAAAAAGCTGCCTCTAACCCCGTAAAAAGCTTCCTCATTAGGGAGCGATAGTATGCAAGAATGCCAGCTTTGCAGCTGTACGCGTTACTGCAATGAGTGTGTGTTTGGGTGACTCGTATCTGTATCCAGCTGATATATCTGTGGTTGGGAAGGTCAGTCGCAAGTTGTTACAGACGAAATCCCCGAAAACCATTTTGCAGGTGGCGACGTTCGCCAGAACCACATTTCGTTGCACTTTTCCTCCACACTACACGCAACCTTATTTCCAGAAGCATCGATTTCGCCGTCAGTCACGCACTAGCTTGTAGGGCTAACCTTCCATAGGGATACGTACGAGTCTTATAGCACGCAACACACTCAGTATTATCCGTCCCCTGTGACTAGGAGGAGGGAGATAAGTATTATCCGGTTCACGCTTTGGTTAGAAGAGATGATTGAAGTGGTGCTCAACGACCGGTTAGGGAAGAAGATTAGGGTGAAGTGCAACGAGGATGACACTATCGGCGACCTGAAGAAGCTGGTCGCAGCGCAGACGGGGACGCGGCCCGAGAAGATTCGGATTCAGAAGTGGTACAACATCTATAAAGACCACATCACGCTCGCCGATTACGAGATTCACGACGGCATGGGACTTGAGCTTTACTACAATTAATCGCCGGACAGATTTTTAGGCAGCTCAGAACGAGCAGTATTTTGAGTAGTGTTAGAAGATTGTCATTTGGCGATTCGCGTACTTAACTGGAGGCAGTGATTGAACCTGTAGACGTGCGGCGGCTGCATGCTTCTTTATGTTGTATATCTCCTCTAGAAAAACGCCTGACACGTCGTTCTTTCGTGGCGCGTCCATGGCCTTTTTTTCCTGCACTTTTCCACGGCTGTATTAGCTGCCAACTCCTTGTCACCGTGCTACCATGTGAAGGATTTGTGATGTCTTCAGTTGCTGATTGCCATGTGTGAGGTGCTGTTTGCAAGTTACCTAAGCTACCTGCCTACATAATTTTCAATGAAGGGACTGAATGATTCACCCACTTCAAGTGCCCTTGTGTGACTTTGACTACCAGGCATGCTAAAACCTAGCCATGCTTTCAAGTTTCAACATGCATAGAGCTGAAACCCTAGCAACACCTCGGGTGGCTTCCATGCAGTAGGTGAGGGAGAGAACATCAACTCTTGCTGCTTGTGATGGGCTACCTCCATAACAGGTTAACAGCAGAAGGCCAATCCTCCCTCTGCACCATTCCGTGCTGCCTACTGTACCATAATGCCACCAGAGTCAAGACTACACCACGCTTGGGGAGCGTTGAGCAGCTTGGAAGCAGAAAGAAAGCGAGTGAGAATTAACTCCTGCTGCTGGACATGTGTTTCACATGCCCCCCCCCTCCCCCCCCATAGCAGCATGGAGACGGATGCTCTTGTTGGAGCCATTGTATGTCACCTGATGGACCAATGTGTCATCACAAGGTGATGTACATCACACGACACAATGTCATGGGATGATGCCATGTGCTGATGTCACATGCTGATGTCACATGACACGGACGATGCGCTGGCATGAACTCATGTCATACTTGCAGGGCTGCTTGGATGGAGCGTGTGAGTGAGAGGATCTCAAACGGCGGTCGGTCGGCTACAGCCTTGGCTGTAGCGGGGCAGGAGTCCGTTATCCAGAAGTGTGCAAAGCCCTCTGATGGATTGCCTGGAAGCAAAAATGCAGATGGAACAGAAGTTTCATGTTAAGAGTTAAAGAAACGGCACACGACACTCGGACGAATAAAGACGGAGAGAAATTTCAACAGCAACAGCCTTGGCTGTGGCGGGGCAGGAGTCCGTTATCCAGAAGTGTGCAAAGCCCTCTGAGGGATTGCCTGGGGACAAAATGAAATAATGCTACTTGTGAGTCTACATCGCCACAAAGTTGTCACGCCATCAGTGACTTCACATAATGCCGGTCTAACCTTACCATATCCATCATGCTAAATCGACACCAAATTGGTTAAGAAACACCATGTGGACATGCCCCAAACATCATGCCTCGACACGCCATGCTAAGCGCCTGATAACTCAATCATATGAAATTCAAAATACACTCTTCTCACCGTTGGCATCGTGGTTAAATCGCCGCCACGTCTGGTTGGGGAACACCCCGTGGGTCACATACGCACTCACTTTCGCCGCTCTATGCGCTGCCAAGAGTCTCTGTAAGATGGAGGAGTGCACATGGGAAGCAGAGGCAATATGATGTAGGTCATAACATATATCACTACATTGCATGTGCATGTGGCAGCCCCTAACGTCTCCCTTGTCGACAAGTGTTCCCACCCGTTAGGGTGTTGCCATGCTTTCCAGTCCCACAGCTACCATGCTGCCATCCCCTCCCACGTGGCATTTCATGAGCGTTGACCCCAACTGCACCTGGTCGTCCAAAAAAAAATCAAATCATCACGTGTCTGGCTGCTGTGATGGGATGCTGCTTCCATACAGAACCCACCCCACCTGGCATTCCAATTAGCATTCAATTAGCATTCATCCCAACTGCAACAAATCATCAACAATTACCACGTGCTGTCCCGCAGGGTGCCTCGCCTGCCATCAATACCTGCTAGCCACCCGATCTGCCCTACCTCTAACTCTAACCTTCCTGACACTCAATGAGTGTCGATCCCAACGGCGCCAGGTCAGCCACAATTACCACGTGCCGCCCCGTGGGGGTTGCTGCATCTGCCCTGCCTGCCATCCTAATCCCACCCTACCTGGCATTCAATGAGAGTCGATCCCGACTGCACCAAGTCATCCACAATCACCACGTGATGCCCCTCTGGGTTGCCCCGCTTCACCTGCTGTGGTGGTAGCCACACGTTTCACCTGCTGTGGTGGTAGCCAAACGCTTCACCTGCTGTGGTGGTAGCCACACGCTTCACCTGCTGTGGTGGTAGCCACACGCTTCACCTGCTGTGGTGGTAGCCACACGCTTCACCTGCTGTGGTGGTAGCCACACGCTTCACCTGCTGTGGTGGTAGCCACACGCTTCACCTGCTGTGGTGGTAGCCACACGCTTCACCTTCTGTGGTGGTAGCCACATGCTTCACCTGCTGTGGTGGTAGCCACACGCTTCACCTGCTGTGGTGGTAGCCACACGCTTCACCTGCTGTGGTGGTAGCCACACGCTTCACCTGCTGTGGTGGTAGCCACACGCTTCACTTGCTGTGGTGGTAGCCACACGCTTCACCTGCTGTGGTGGTAGCCACACGCTTCACCTTCTGTGGTGGTAGCCACACGCTTCACCTGCTGTGGTGGTAGCCACACGCTTCACCTGCTGTGGTGGTAGCCACACGCTTCACCTGCTGTGGTGGTAGCCACACGCTTCACCTGCTGTGGTGGTAGCCACACGCTTCACCTGCTGTGGTGGTAGCCACACGCTTCACCTGCTGTGGTGGTAGCCACACGCTTCACCTGCTGTGGTGGTAGCCACACGCTTCACCTGCTGTGGTGGTAGCCACACTGTCACCACACCACGTTACCCTCCCACCTCACAAAGTGCCCTACCTGTCACTCTAATCCCACCTGGCATTCAATGAGCGTCGATCCCGACTGCACTAGATCGTCCACGATCACCACGTGCCGTCCCTTGGGGTTGCCCTCCTTGAGTTGCACAATGCGCTTCTCCCCCTCGCGCACCTTGGTGCATATCACCTGCATGCAGCGGGACAGAGAGAGCAGCACAGTGAAATATTTGGTTCAAGAAGCCTTCTCACTTAAATACTTCTTGAGCCGCACAATAAGCTTCTCTCCCTCGCACACCTTGGTGCAGATCACCTGGCGGTACAAGGGGAGATTAGGCAAGACAGGGAAATGCATACAGTGCGTGAGTAACTGAGGCAACAGCAGTGCTCAAAACACCTGCAGTATGCTTCTATAGGATACAGGGTGTATCATGGGCTGGGACAAAAGCATCAGCATGTTGGGAAGCAAACAGCTTTTCAAACGCACCATGATTCAAAAAAATCCATCAGATTCTCTGCACAAGGACCTTATGACGAAACATACCATGGCCTGGGGTAGTAACGACTACCACATGACGCAACGCAACGCACCATGGGGTAGTAACGACTACCACATGACGCAACGCAACGCACCATGGGGTAGTAACGACTACCACATGACGCAACGCAACGCACCATGGGGTAGTAACGACTACCACATGACGCAACGCAACGCACCATGGGGTAGTAACGACTACCACATGACGCAACGCAACGCACCATGGGGTAGTAACGACTACCACATGACGCAACGCAACGCACCATGGGGTAGTAACGACTACCACATGACGCAACGCAACGCACCATGGGGTAGTAACGACTACCACATGACGCAACGCAACGCACCATGGGGTAGTAACGACTACCACATGACGCAACGCAACGCACCATGGGGTAGTAACGACTACCACATGACGCAACGCAACGCACCATGGGGTAGTAACGACTACCACATGACGCAACGCAACGCACCATGGGGTAGTAACGACTACCACATGACGCAACGCAACGCACCATGGGGTAGTAACGACTACCACATGACGCAACGCAACGCACCATGGGGTAGTAACGACTACCACATGACGCAACGCAACGCACCATGGGGTAGTAACGACTACCACATGACGCAACGCAACGCACCATGGGGTAGTAACGACTACCACATGACGCAACGCAACGCACCATGGGGTAGTAACGACTACCACATGACGCAACGCAACGCACCATGGGGCAGTGCTGCAACGCACCATGGGGTAGTGCTGCAACGCACCATGGGGTAGTGCTGGAACGCACCATGGGGTAGTGCTGCAACGCACCATGGGGTAGTGCTGCCACGCACCATGGGGTAGTGCTGCCACGCACCATGGGGTAGTGCTGCCACGCACCATGGGGTAGTGCTGCAACGCACCATGGGGTAGTGCTGCAACGCACCATGGGGTAGTGCTGCCACGCACCATGGGGTAGTGCTGCAACGCACCATGGGGTAGTGCTGCAACGCACCATGGGGTAGTGCTGCCACGCACCATGGGGTAGTGCTGCAACGCACCATGGGGTAGTGCTGCAACGCACCATGGGGTAGTGCTGCAACGCACCATGGGGTAGTGCTGCCACGCACCATGGGGTAGTGCTGCAACGCACCATGGGGTAGTGCTGCAACGCACCATGGGGTAGTGCTGCAACGCACCATGGGGTAGTGCTGCAACGCACCATGGGGTAGTGCTGCAACGCACCATGGGGTAGTGCTGCAACGCACCATGGGGTAGTGCTGCAACGCACCATGGGGTAGTGCTGCAACGCACCATGGGGTAGTGCTGCAACGCACCATGGGGTAGTGCTGCAGTTGCTTGTGGAACCTCTTCCATGCTCCTTCATCGGGGAATGCGATCGTTATCTGCATGCATGGCATGGGGTGGTGCATGGGATGGGGTGTACGGCATGGGGTGCATGGCATGGGGTGCATGGCATGGGGTGTATGGCATGGGGTGTACGGCATGGGGTGTACAGCATGGGGTGTATGGCATGGGGTGTATGGCATGGGGTGTACGGCATGGGGTGCATGGCATGGGGTGCATGGCATGGCACACAACATGAGGGTACACGGCACATGAGACATTTATTGCCATGCATGACATATCGAACATGGCAGTCTGGCATGTAAGAAGCAGCTTTGCCCTACTCCCACAGCCTTACTCGTTACCTCGGCCCAACCTTCCCCGTCCCATCCCCCCGTCCCCCCTCCCCACTCACGTTATCCGAGTCTGGCAGTTGGTGCAGGCGGTGCTTCAGCAGAGGGATGCAACCAGTCAACCGACTCCCATCTCCCCTCCACCCCTCATCACCACACACACCGAACCTCCCAACTTCCCGCTACCCCCCACCCTTGCATTATCCGAGTCAGGCAGTTGGTGCAGCCGGTGCTTCAACAGAGGGATGCAACCAACCACCAACTTCACTGCACTACACCGCGCCACACCGCACCTAATTCTCATCCACCACTCACGTTATCCGAGTCTGGCAGTTGGTGCAGGCGGTGCTTCAGCAGCGGAATGCCGCTTTCAAAGCACGGCAGCACGTTATCTCCGAAGTAAAACCGCTCCTGATTGGCGGGAAGTGAGGGGGGGAGAACGGATAAGGTGGGTGAAAAAGAACAGGAGGGGAGGGGAGGGGCACAACTACAGCTTTCAAAGCACGGCAGCACGCTGTCTCCAAAGTAAAACCGCTCCTGATCGGGAGAGGAAGGGGACGGGGGAGGGGGGAGAGGGGAGGGGGGACGGGGGAGGGGGGAGAGGGGAGGGGGGAGGGGGGAGGGGGGAAATTGGAGGGGGAAGGGGAAGGGGGGAGAGGGGAGGGGGGGAGAGGGGGTGGAGGGGGGAGGGGACAGAGGGGAGAGGGGGAGCAAGGAAATGGAGAGACTAAAACAGGCAGCACATTGTCTCCAAAGTAAAACCGCTCCTGATTGGCGAAGAATGAGGAGGGAAGGAGGCGAAGAATGAGGAGGGAAGGAGGCGAAGAATGAGGAGGGAAGGAGGCGAAGGTGGGGTGGGAAGCAGGGTGGCCGGGGAGGGGAAGTATATGTGTTTGGAAAGGGGGGACGGGGGCCCACCCCAGTGCCTACCCACCCCAGTGCCTACCCACCCCAGTGCCTACCCACCCCAGTGCCTACCCACCCCAGTGCCTACCCACCCCAGTGCCTACCCACCCCAGTGCCTACCCACCCCAGTGCCTACCCACCCCAGTGCCTACCCACCCCAGTGCCTACCCACCCCAGTGCCTACCCACCCCAGTGCCTACCCACCCCAGTGCCTACCCACCCCAGTGCCTACCCACCCAGTACCTACCCACCCCAGTGCCTACCCACCCCAGTGCCTACCCACCCCAGTGCCTACCCACCCAGTGCCTACCCAGTGCCTACCCACCCCAGTGCCTACCCACCCCAGTGCCTACCCACCCCAGTGCCTACCCACCCCAGTGCCTACCCACCCCAGTACCTACCCACCCAGTGCCTACCCACCCAGTGCCTACCCACCCAGTACCTACCCACCCAGTGCCTACCCACCCAGTGCCTACCCACCCAGTACCTACCCACCCAGTACCTACCCACCCAGTACCTACCCACCCAGTACCTACCCACCCAGTACCTACCCACCCAGTACCTACCCACCCAGTACCTACCCACCCAGTACCTACCCACCCAGTACCTACCCACCCAGTACCTACCCACCCAGTACCTACCCACCCAGTACCTACCCATCCCAGTACCTACCCACCCAGTACCTACCCATCCCAGTACCTACCCACCCAGTACCTACCCACCCAGTACCTACCCACCCAGTACCTACCCACCCAGTACCTACCCATCCCAGTACCTACCCACCCAGTACCTACCCATCCCAGTACCTACCCATCCCAGTACCTACCCATCCCAGTGCCTACCCATCCCAGCGAGAGAGTGACGACGAGGTATCCTCCCAACCTGGTACCTACCTTCCCCTCCCCTTACCTGCCTACCCACCCACCCACCCCAGTCCCACCTGCAGTGCGTGAATGTCGAAGATGACGAGGCTGGTGGGCCCGCCTCGTGAGATGGGGATGTTGGAGAGGATTCGTGAGAGAGTGAAGACAGGGTACCACGTTTAAGAAGTGAATTTTTGAGACGTCTCAAAAATTCACTTCTTACATGTGCCTGCCCCCCCGGTTACATAAGTGCCTTTCTCACAGAACCCACCTGCAGCGCGTGAATGTCAAAGATGACCAGGCCGGTGGGCCCTCCCCGCGAGAGATGGGGATGTTGGAGAGGATCCGGGAGAAAGAGTGAAGGTAGGTACCCACCCACCCTGGTACCTACCTACCTACCTCTCCCCTAGTTGGTGGTCATCTGCAGTGTGTGGATGTTGAAGAACACGCTGGTGGGCCTATTTTTGAGTCGATTCAAAAATATGTTGAAGATCACAAGGCTGGTGGGCCCTCCCCGCGAGATGGGGATGCCGATTTTGTCGAGATGGGTACCTACCTGCCTGGTGCCTGCCTGTCCCAGTCCCCACCCACCCCAACACCCACCTGCAGCGCGTGAATGTCAAAGATCACGAGGCTGGTGGGGCCCCCTCGCGAGATGGGGATGTGCGAGGGAGTGAATGTACCTACCCACCCTGGTTGGTACCTACCTCCCCCCACTGCCTATTGCCTAATAGCACCTGCAGTGCTAGTACCCACCCACCTGCAGCGCTAGTACCCACCCACCCACCTGCAGCGCTAGTACCCACCCACCTGCAGCGCATGAATGTCGAAGATGACGAGGCTGGTGGGCCCTCCTCGTGAGATGGGGATGTGGGTTTGTTTACCTACATGCCTAGACCCTACTCACCCCAGTCCCTACCCACCCCAGCCCCACCTGCAGCGCGTGAATGTCGAAGATCACGAGGCTGGTGGGCCCGCCTCGTGAGATGGGGATGTTGGAGAGGATTCGTGAGAGAGTGAAGGCCGTCGCCACGTCCCCCTCGTCCTCCATTCGCTCACTGGGGGTCCAAGGCCCGGAGGAAGGGGGGAAGAGAAGGGGGGGAGGAAGGAAGGGGGAGCGGGGGGGATTGGCGGGAAGGGGTGGGGTGGAGGGGTGTGGGGAGGGCAGGGATGCCAGGGAGGGTGGGGGAGCGGATCAGTGGAAATGAAATGAAACGAGAGAGGAGAGCAGGGGATGTATGCGTGAGACCATGCCGTTGATTCGAAAGTGATTAGGTCCGCTTGAAATGCTCACCCCTTGGAATGTTCGCGGAATCTTCACCTGGTGCCAGTTGGGAAGAATGGCAACACGAGTGTAAACGACTCCACCAACATGCGAGGGATGGCGTAGATGATGGACAGCTGCTTGAAGATGGCTTGGAATGTTCACCTGACGCTAGTAGGGAACATTCAGTGAATGTTCTCACTTGGTTTCAGTCGGGAAGAAAGGTAGGACGCGCATGAAGGACTCGACGAACATGCGCGGGATGGCGTAGATGATGGACAGTTGCTCGAAGATGGCTCAGTGCAGGTGCTAGTCAGGATGCTACAAGGGAACATTCACTGATTATTTACTTTACCTGGTGCCAGTCGGGAAGAAGGGCAGAACGAGAGTGAGTGACTCGACGAACATGCGAGGGGTGGCATAGATGATGGACAGCTGCTTGAAGATTGCTTGGCCTGACTCTAGTAGGGAACATTCAGTGAATGTTCTCACCTGGTTCCAGTCGGGAAGAAAGGTAGGACGAGCGTGAAGGACTCCACGAACATGCGAGGGATGGCGTAGATGATGGAGAGCTGCTCGAAGATGACAGCTGGCGAGCTGAAGGACGCCAGGAACGCCACGTGGCGGCCCCTGATTCCATGCGCGTTCGGCACAAAGAGGTTGGGAAAGCCGTCCTCGAACTTGCTGAGGAAAGGGGGAAGGAGGAAGGAGATGGGTTGAGGAAGGGGGGGGAGGGAAGTGGGGAAGATTGGAGGGGGAGGGGGGAAGGGGGGAAGATTGGAGGGGGGAAGGGGGCAAAAGCGAGCGACACAAAGAGGTTTGGAAAAGCGTCCTCAAATTTGATGAAAAAAGGGGGGGAGGGGGGTTGGGTGGGAGGAGGGGGGAAAGGAAGGAAGACTGGAGGGGGAGGGGGAAAAGGGGGGAAAGAGTGCAACATAAAGTAGTTTGGAAAGGCGTTTCGAATTTGCTGGAAAATGGGCGAATGATTATCGGAAAGAGGGTCAAGAAGGGGCAACGGAGAGGTCGACGGCACTGAGAGAGGACGGGGGCGGGAAAGTGAGGGGGGAGCGGGAGTGGGGGAGAGGGGGGGTGGTGTGGGGGGTTAAAGAAGGGGGGAAGGGAGGGTTGGGAGTGAAGGAGAAGGGAAACGGCAGTCAAGCGGAAGAAGTTGGGAAGGGGAGGCGAGAGGAGCCAAGTAGCGTGCGCAGCTAGAATATAACGCGCGTGAGTCTTAAGACTGCACCTCACAGCCGCGCCGCCACTCACCCCCATTCGATCGGCTTCAGCTCGATATTATCCACGTCCTCCGCGATACTCGCCGCGAGATCCGCCATCTCGCTACAGTAGAACAGGCACACCTGCTTCTTGGACGGCCGGTCCAGAATATGACAAACCTGGCCGTCCACCAGATCTTCCATCATCAAATCGTATCCAGACGACAGCCGCCCATTCACGGATCCCCCCCGTTTTGTCCTACTCGCGGTGCCATTTGCTGCGCCGTTGGCCGGCGGGGCTTCCGCCAGCCGCCCCATGACCGCGGCTGCGCGCGCCAACGCGGAAGGCGCGCGGAGAGGGCCGATTCCGCTTCCGCGCTGTCGGGGGAACCTTCCTCGTGTTTGATATTCTCTCACTCCTGCACGACGCGATCCCGGGAAGGCTCCCATCCGCGATAACAGCGGCTCCGCTACACGGCATTCTACGGCTAGCGAGGACGGCAGGACGCAGCTTCGACTTCGTGATCGGTGCGAAAATTGTGATAAGTGCGATGGGAGCGAAAGGTGCGAAAGGCTCGTTTGCGAGGACGAGCGAAGAACATGTGCGAGATCAGCGGCGACTGTGCCAGCTGCCATGGCTGCTAACCGAGTGGCCGGCTTCAGATGCAACACGGGAGCCAGCTCACACCGTGTGACTGGGCTCGGTGCGCTATGGCGATTGGGGATGGGTAACTTGAGACACACTGACAGGGTTGGCAGCTGAGAAGTGTAATAGTTGAATCGTCTAAAAGGAGTAAAAAAACTAGGAACAATGACGATCGATATCAGCACGCCGTTGAAAGCGGCAGCACGAGTGGCTGGAAAGGCCCAAGCGAGGATTGAGCGGACACTAAGCTGCTAGCTGCTAGCCGTGATCGGAGCAACGAAAGAGACCCTCCTAAAGATTCTGTGGCTACTTGTCCAACAAGTGGAGAATAAAGGGTAACACAGTAACCAGACAGGAAACTGCTTGAGATCCCTTTCGCCATGATCTTCGCGCCAGAGCCTGCGTCGTTCAGCGGGGGACTTCATCATTCGCCACACCAGGCCGAATCAGCCAAACAGCAGACGCCAGGTGGGCATCTACTTGGTTTGGACGAACTGAGCTTCCACGCAAAAGACGCGGCGTGGGAACACGAACAGGCATGGACAAGACGAGGACGCTTGGCGGTGATGCCGAACCAGTCAGGCCCACCACCTTGGAGAAAAATCACCTTAGCCAATCGCAGTGCGCCACCACCGCCGCTCCGCCTGCACCCAGAGCCGCACAGTAGCCAACATCTCACCTCCACTTCAGCAACGAGGGTGTGTATCAGCGAATTTCTACAAAGGATTTGGTTCTTGTTGCTTGCGGTAATGAAATCACTTTTCCTTACTCCGTCACCACCTCTACCGCGTACAGCACTGCCCCTGCCACTTCGACCTCGACATTTTGGTGGCAATGGTAGGCATGTGGTGGTGGTGTGGTGGGCTGCTTCCCTGATAAGCTTTTCCACACCACTGGTCACAATTTTGCGCGTGCTGCAGAGCAGCAGATCATGTCAGCCACACAAACAGTTCTAGACGACAGGACAGAATTACCTCCGCCGACGGACCTCACGTTGAAATTCGTGGAACTGCCGTCAAGGCCCACTCGGGCTTGTCGGTGACCAATGAAATGCTCAACACGTGGGTGATGACGCAAAACTCACCTCGCTGTAAGCCACTCACACGCTAAGCCTTTGCTGACTGTAGTATGCGAAACGCGCACCGCACCGAGCCTTTGCGATGGAGCCTTGTTGTGTGCCCATCCCCCACCATGACCGCAGAGCGGGATTGAAATTCAAGAACCGCCAGCTTCGACTGAACGTGACAACGAGCCAAGGGAACAAGCCATCAGGTTCGTTCTGGGTTTCCAGTTGCCTAGCTCGCTTGCCATGCAGTTCTGTTCCCTGTCTGCTGGGTATGGAAGGAGAGGCATGGAAGGCGCCAGGGAAGAATCACGACCTCACCGAACCAGGTCCTTCAAAACGAATCAGCCAGGTCCGAAGGAACTAGCCCCGAACCGAGCCAATTGCTACGTTTTGCTTGCCCCGGCAAGACCCAATGGAAACGGGGTACAGTTTATAGGCAGATATCTGTTTTTGCAATTTCTCATTCCACAGCGAGTCCACCACCTCCACTCCCGCCCGCTCTCACCCACACCCCGCCAACAACCTCTTTCGCAGCCATCTCCTCTCGCTTCCATCATGGCCTCGCCGCGGTTCTCGTTTCTAGCAGCGTCGCTCGCCGTTCTGCTCCTAGCCACGGCGAGCTGCGCATTCGCGCGACTCCACGCTGCCCCCGTTGTTAAGCCCGCCCCATGCAAGAAGTCGGGTCTGAAGTACGCCAAGTCCGTCGCGCTCACCACCAAGTGCGTGACTTACTACCCTCGATTTTTTGGGGGGGGGGGGAAATTTGGAAGTCCTTCTAATGATATAATGATATACCAATAACCATGTACAGCTTCGAAACGCATGGATGCCCTCCCTTTTTTACGAAATCGGATTTCGTGTCTGCGCTAGTACTGGTCGAGTCGCACCTCCTCATTTCTAGGTTCCCATTCTCCCTACCCTACTACATATACCGCAGCCTGTTCTTCCACTGGAACATCACCGCGGCGAAGGACGGAATCATCGCTGCGATTGAGGCGAAGAAGGGTAGCGGCGCCGAGAAGGGCTGGATTTCCATTGGCTGGACGGCCACACGTGGCAAAATGTGTAACTCCGACGTGGTTGTGGGGAATCTCGCGGCAGCTGCGCCGAACAACGTGCTGGCTTACTCGATGACCAGCAGGGACCTGAGCGGGATTCAAACGACAAATGCCGTGACGCTCTCAGCGACATCTGTGGTAGCCACCGCTGCCCCTGCCACTGGTGGCAAGATTGTTAAGTGAGTTCTGAAACCACTCGCCGATTTCCATGTGCTACAAACCTTACCGTGGCAGTGTGATCCGATTTCTATGTCCTGACAGTATCATACTGATCGTGTCGAATCTCGTTGGGCTGTTTTCTGTATGCTGATCACCATATCCTTGCTATTCTGGGCGTATTGCACGATTTTTCAGGTTCACTCGCACTGGCGGCGGCGGTCTGGCGCCTGTCACTTACACGGGCAGCAACAACATGATCTGGGCCTTCTCGAAAACCCAAGATTTCTCCAAAGTCCACACCAAACGGTAATTTCTCACATCCTTGCACTTATACACACGGTACATTTGATTCACAGCTTCTGTACGATCTTCTTGAAATGGTTTCATTGAAATTGTTTCATTGAATCCGCTCCCTTTGTTTTGGTGTGTTTGTTTATCAGAGGGAGCATCGTTATCAACCTCGCGTGCTAGGTCAATTATTGATGCCGTGCATATATACCCGCACAACTGGCCCAGTCGAAAAGGAAAATGCGGGGCAGAAAATGCAGGACATGGTACTGCTACTTCTAGGTGGTACTGTACCTAGCATCCACTATCAGCTCTAAGGGGGTGACAGTGACACAGCCGGGGGGTTGACGCCGTCAGACTATGGCACACCACCACCCACTTGGGAAGGGTGCAACCTTGTTGCTGATTGTTGATGCTAATTGTTTTGTGATAACGCCACATGCTCATGAACCAGAGCTAGCAGAGCAAAAATTTAGCGCGTCCACGTTTGACGAGTTCTGTGTATATGCACATGCTTTTGCTGGCGTAACGCATGGTGTAAATAAAAAAGTTATGCGTATGTAGAGCATCGGTTGCATAAATGTGCTACCGGAATTGCTTCTGGGGAGGCACGAGTTTCGTTTGGCTGGTGGTGACGTTGGGCGAACCTAGGCAATTCCCAGTCTGACCGCGAAATGTCGCGCACACGTGCAGCTTTTGCAGACGAAGCATTTTGCTTGCACGAAACTCTTCACAAGTCTCATTGTTGCGATCAGGTGATTTCTTTCTCGCAGCACGGAAACCTGTAACGTCAGGTTTATTCGTGGGTCCACTTCGTAGGTGTTTCCGTCGCGACGCTGATGCTTCGCATAGGCTGAGTTGATTGAGACCGCGCGGAAATTGGGGGTGGGGGGGTGTTCAGGTGGGGCGGGGAACTCGCTCCCGTGACGAGACGAGAGTCACGACATTCGCTGACACGCAAAAGAAAACAACGAGCTGACTGTCGTTCGAAACTCCAAATCGTGTACAGCTAATGCTCGTTAGAGCCCCTCCCGGTTGCCTTGTGAAGGGGGTGTTAATGTGTGTTATCCACACTCTTTGTCATTAATGTGTGTTACTGGTAACTTAATGATTGCAAGAACAATGAACCAAGCAGCCTCGTCAAATGTTCAACTTTGTGGAAAACATTCAAAACACATGACACCACCAATCAGCTGCTCCCACATGGCCCCCCAGTTCCAATGTCCACAAATATCGAAACACGCACAAATGTGCACAAGGAGTGACCACTTGTGCACAGGAAGATGCCTTCGGCGCCTTGCAGGGTGGGCTCAAATGTTAGAATAGTAGCCTTAGGGTTTGGGGTAGCGTGAGCGAGAGAAACAGGAAGGTGAGGTTCACTACAGCAAGGTTACAAGATATAGCAAAGAAAGGTGAGCACATTGGTGCACCACCACTGTAGCTACACTAGAACACACAGCAAGCAGGGTATATAACAAAACTTAACACACCCCCTTAACCTGCTTGCCGTGATAACTAGTACAGGTACACGTGGCGCAGCGGAAGAGGGTAGAGAGGTTAGGAAGGAGGAGGAGGTGAGAGGAGAGGAGAGGAGAGGAGAGGAGGGAAGAGAGAGAGGGATGAGGAGAGGAGGTGGGGGGCCAGGACCGGCGGACCCGCTTACGAACCTCCGTTTACAAAGGGGGGTTGGGGAGGAGTGAGGGAAAAGGAGAGAAGGTGGGGGGCCAGGAGCGGCGGACCCTCTTAAGAACCTTCAGAAGGTGGGGGGCCAGGAGCGGCGGACCCTCTTAAGAACCTTCAGAACTCAACTCAACTCAACCACCCCCCTTTAACCTCACTCCATGAATCTGCCATCCCCCCAATGCTCACCCTCACACTCCAGTCAACTTCACTATCACCACCCCCTCACCTTCTGCACTTCTCTCCCCCCCCCCCCCCCCCTTCTCTATGGCGACAATCCCTGCAGTAAGAGAGAGGGGAGGGACGGGCTGCAGGCAGCTCACACACGCCACCCACACATCTCCCCCTCCTCCCTCCCCACGACGGAAGCAGCGGAAGGGAGGGCGGGCGGGGGGGCGGGGCGGCGGTAGCTGCTGCTGGCGCTGGCGGTGGCGCTGGCTGGTGCGCAGGCGCGAGCGGCTGGCCGCGGTGGTGGCGTCCGCGCTGACGGGCCACGCTCGCGCTGGCGCCTGCGGTCCGGGCTGGCGCGGGCGCTGGCGTCCATGCAGGTGCTGGCGCCCGCCGGCGCTGGCGTCCGCGGCGACGAAACGGGGGGCCCCGGCGCGTCGAAACGGGTGGCCGCGGGGCGACGAAACGGGGGGGGGCCGCGGGGCGACGAAACGGGGGGGCCGCGGGGCGACGAATCGGGGGCCGCGGGGCGACGAAATGGGGGGCCGCGGGGCGACGAATCAGACGGGACGAAGAGCGCGACGGGACGAAGAAAATAGCGCATTTCGCGCTGTTGTACGGGCGGGCCCATAATTCTTAAAAAAAAGGGAAGGTTCCGGGAAAGAACCTGCTCTGATTACCATGTTAGAATAGTAGCCTTAGGGTTTGGGGTAGCGTGAGCGAGAGAAACAGGAAGGTGAGGTTCACTACAGCAAGGTTACAAGATATAGCAAAGAAAGGTGAGCACATTGGTGCACCACCACTGTAGCTACACTAGAACACACAGCAAGCAGGGTATATAACAAAACTTAACATCAAACACCAATGACATGCGCATCCATTCCGCCGCGTCAACATACCCACCCATCACGGCGCCAACACCCGCGTCCAGAAGCTGCTGACGGCGGGACGGCTGGGTCATCCAGCCAGGCAGCACTCGGCCGCGCGGACGCGGGGTGTCGTGCGTGGGTGTTGCGCCCGGGTGCGCACGGCCGGAGGGGCCACGTTGAGATTAAAGGCCGGGCTCGCCCGCTCCATCCGCGCGATGATAATCGGGTTGCGGATGTCGAATAGGTGGCAGAGGTCGCGCGGCGTGATTCGGGTGGCGCGAGCATAGCCGATGAGCATCTCGCAGGCCGCCCTGGCAGTGCGCCGCGCTTCACGGCCCACGGGGTCGACATCTTCGTATACGGCCTGCATGGTGGTTGGCGCCTCCCACAGCTCAACCACCATGCCCCCTTCCGACTCCGTCGTCGTCTGTTCCGCCGCGTGCTCGGCGCACGTCGGCTCGCCGTCGTCGATGGCGACGTACTCAGCCGCGGTAATCGCGCCATGCCCGAGCCCGAGCCCACTGATGAGAGTGCCGACGTCGCCTATGTCGTCGTCAAGCTCGATGTCGGGATAGACGGACGGAGTGGGCTCGTCGTCGTGCACGTGGGTCAACTCCATGGACCACGAAAGTGGGAGACATCCCGTGCGCCACCAGCACCGCTGAATGGTGCGCGCATCGACGCTCGTCCACGCGTCGGACAGCCACGCCAACACGTCGCGCAGGTTCGGGCGGAACCGCGCGACAACGCTTGTCACTCCGTCCGCGTTCCATAGAGCCGTGAAGGCCCGCAACCAGTGCTGGCAGTAGCGGGCCCTGGCGGTGGCAATGATACCCTGGTCAAGGGGCTGTGTGAAGGCCGTGGTGTTCGGCGGCAGGAACACCAGACAGACATTGCTCATGCAAGTCGTCCGCATGCGGCAAATGATCTCGCTCCACGCGAACTCGCTCCTAAGCATGTGCGAGCTTGCGTTGTCGAGCAAAACGATGACGTGGCGTCCCTCAGCATACATCGCAGCATTGAGCTGCGAGATGAAGTGGGTGAACAACTGTGGGCGGGGAAGGGCGGGGATGGGACAGTGCGAGAACATCAAACTTATCAACCGCGAATTCACACCAATGAAACACCACCGCACATTCAAAAACATATAACCAACCTCACCTGTGCCGTCATCCACCCTTTGGCGTTGTGACGCCAGTAGCAGAGGACCTCGGGATCGTAGTCCGGGCGAAAATCGTGCGGGCGCTTCGCCTTGCTGATGACCAACGGGCGGAATGTGTGGCTCCCATCCGCATTGACGAGGAACGCCACGGTAAGGCGCTCCTTGAACACCTTGCGCCCTGGAATTCGGCCATTGCTGTACGTCTGCCGCGTGAGCACGGACAACCAAAGGGCGGTTTCGTCCAGGTTGAACGTGTCGCGCGGACTGGCCGAGAGGTGCATAAGCAGTTGCGGGAGCTTCTCCCGGGCGTCGCGCATTGCGGCCATGTCCGCGCTGGCCGCCTCGCCGACCGATGCACGGCACCTGACCCCCTGGCGCTGCAACGCACGGCGCAACCAGCCGATGGAGCAACGAAATGTGGGCGGAATGCCCATGTTCCGCGCCATGGTGGCGACATGGTCGCGGATGGTTTGCAGCGTCAGCGGTACGCCAGCGGGCCCGGCGTTTGCGATCCACCGCGCAATGGCCTGCTCCAGCTCGGGCCATGCGCCTCCCCGCCAACGGACTTGGTTGTCGCCCGTCGCCACGACAGCCAAGTGCTCGGCGCTTTTCAAAATGTGCCCGACCGTGGAGCGGTCCGGGCGAAGACCATACTGGGAGTAGCACCACCTCGCCAGGTCAACGTGACGCAAGAGAGGGTTTTCTACGTGATGCGCGCATATCGCGCAATTAATGTGAAGCGGGACGTGCTCACGGCGGTGGAAACGAGGCATGGTGAGAGGCGGGGGTCTGTGATCACGATGCATAAGTGGATTCGTTGGGTTTATTTTAACTTAGGATGGTGCCCGCTCTGATGCATGCGAATGGCCTGTTCTGTGTGGCTGTTTGTGATCGTGGGGGCGATGTTCGTTCCAAGAATGAGTCTTGAAGGGCCGCATGTTTCGTTTGGTAACCACACGATAGAATGCCTGACGTGGTGTGCCCGAACAATGCCTGGCTGATAATGTGCGTGTACCCTACAAGTGCAGACTACACGTGGCAGTGTGAACCTGCCCGCGTGTCTGTTACATGCACCATGAAACTCGCTTAGGTGGCATGGCAGTCGGACGAATGCATTCACGAAACCACTCACGTTTCGTCCTCACATTTCGCCCGTCTGACTTCTAGCCTAGAAACAAGGCTAAACTAGGGTCGGCATGCCTTGTTCGGGACTGCACGTGCATAGTTGGCCGCAGCGCGTGTACTGTAGCCATCCAGGTGCCTGTACCGTGGGAGCAACTAGCAGGGGTTGCAAGCTCGGGTGCAGCGTTTCCATCCGGTGAAAGGCAAATTCGCGTGCACTGGTTGGGCATCATGTGTACACCGAGTTGACATTGTCAAGGCAGCGGAGAGCTGCACAAGAGAAACAGTTTCGGAAAGTCAACAACATCTTTTGGGAAGGTCAACAACATGTTTTGGGAAGGACAACCCCATGTTCTCCGAGGGCTGGAAAATTGCTTGGAACTTGGAAGCTGAGACACGACGGAAAAGTAGGGTTTTCAGCTTAGCGGGGAGAGTTACCTGGACCAGGCCTAATTTTATCAGTGTAAATAACCCTGATACCCTGATAATGAGGGTGGTTTTTGGTAGCCACACTGATGCCTTCGGGTAATTTTTTCAGGAGATAGGTTTTCCCTGATATGCCAAGGTTTACGTTTAAGGCACACTGACGCCCAGGGTTATCGTTCTTCTTAACGAGTTTTACCCTGAAGCGAATACCCCCCCCCCCCCCCCCCCCCCCCCCCCCCCCCCCCCCCCCCCCAAGTCTGCCCTTCTCCCCCTCCCCTGCCCGCTAAATAGATAACTGTTATACTAAAGCATGCTATTGGAGTTCCTACGTTCAAGTGGCCCAGTCGGAAAATTGGTTATCGGAAGGATGTAGACCTGGGATCGAATTCTGTAGCCAGTTCTTTTGTTCAGACCTTCAGTAGAAACACTTCATCAGGGTTCTGAAAATTGTTACACTCTGGCCTAAGGGTAAATTTCTTGAAACTATAGAAAACCCTGATGGAAAAGAATTTTCCCAAGGGGTCACACTGGTAATCAGGGTTTTGCTAAGGTGCAGGACTGATGATAAGGGTTGCTTAAAACAAAAAATTTGCCCTGACCTGGACCTCTCCGCTTTCAGGGAAGGGGTACTGCTGATTGCGCACGGTTTCCGCAAAAAGCTGGGCTAGGGGGGAGACTTATCGTTCAGGTTAGGGACTCGAGCTCTCAATGAGCCACGTGTATCATCCACACACAACTCGCTCACTGTACATCTACAGTCTCGGATTTGCACTGCGCGCGCTTGTCTTTTCTACCGAACCCAACACACGTTCCGGGTGGCTCGAAAGCAGGGCCCTAGATTCGTTTTGGGACACGTTGATGGGTCAGAGTACACCAGGGCTGTCGCTTGCCCTGGGCCCAGAACTTAGCGGGCTGAGGTGGCCTAAATTCAACCATTAATTTTCTGGGTTGAGTCAAATTCCAACACTTAGATTCAGGGCTATACATACTTCTGCACTTGAGCGTAAACACATCGTGTGAGTAGGTTGATGTTCAAATACACCTAAGGGCCGCGGTACAGCAGATACATAAGCCGATCTCAATGCAGCGGGGAGTGTATGTGAGGATATTTTTACGTAAGCAGGGAAGGATAAACAAGGGAAACGGGGGGGAGGGGGAGTAGGGAAGGGCGCTGAACGTATACGTGAAATCCGGGTTAGGAGCCAAACCAGTCCTTAAGGAAAACGGGCTGGCCTCAAAGCCAGCCCTTGAATTCTCTGAGTTGGGCGCAAACAAGCACTTGAATTCAAGGACAAAAAGGGCAAATGCCCTTGTAGCGACAGGCCTGGAGTACACCCTTCTCTAAACTCTGTCAGTCAGAGTTGCATCCAACTTTGAGTCTAGAAATTCAGAAAACACTAGATTTTTTAGGCTGAAAGTACAGAGTTACACTCAGATTGAAGGCTGCTTCCTTTATACTGCACCGAAAAAGCCTTTTAACTATCTGACTCAGATTCTGTCACATGTGACTCTACAGCTGCCTGGTGAACTACTGGCTCCTCTACAGCCTCCTTCCCACCTCTTTGGGGCTCCCTGTGTCTTGCAGCCGGTGTTGTCACTGGCCGGCGCTTCTTATAGCAGCGCCAAATCTCTACAACCCCCGGCACGTCCAACTCATAGTCTAGCATAGACATACACAGCAAGTCACTGAGCCTACAGTCCTTTAAACTGCCCCTCTGCCACGTCTTGATGAGATTCTGTCGAGAGAATCCTCTCTCGCACTCGACGGTGCTGAGAGGCAGCACTGCAATCGCCACCCAGAGTCTGACGAGGTTGGGGTATGCTTGCTGCCAGTCAGGTATCTTGAGGATTGCAGTCAGTCCCGTGTTGAACTTGTGCTCGCTCTTAGGAGCTCTGGCCTGGACTGGGCACAAAGTCCGCAGCTCCTTCACGGCACGCTTCTAGTCAATGCCTGCAAGATAAGCCAAGGCGTGGGATTAGTAAGGGACGGGACGCCAACGGTCGAACGAGCATCACATTATGAACTGACCTGGCAGAATCTCGTCACAGTAATCGATGCGGAACAGAGTGACTAGCGACAACAGCCACTCAAGGCACTGTGCCTGCCGTGCGCTCCTCTCCCAATTCGGAGGCCACTCGTCAGGAATGAAAAGCCGCACGCCAGAAAGAGAGTAAAGGTCGCCGAGCTTAGACTGGAGCTCTTTGACGAGGCCCTCGGCAAAGTCGGTGCAGAGCGCCACACACGCGTCGTGGTGGCCCGCCCCGAGATAGTTCGCCACTTTGCGCTCGTGAAGGGTGATCTTGAAGCGGTTGATACTCCCATCCGATGACGCGCCTTCCACCACCATCTCTGGTGTCCCCTTCGGCCCATGCTTCTCGATGAAGCGATAAAGCCGGTCGTTAGGCCCGCCGATGAAGTCGTCTCCGCAGTCGATGTACCGACTCTCCAAGAGAGACCTTGTGCGCACAATCTGCGTGTGCACCAATGGGTAGTCGAGCTGCCACATCAAAAGGAAGTTAAAATTAGATCACGATTTCGGGTTTAAAAAAACACACAAGACGTACTCAACTTTCTTACCTCGCGATGCTGGAAAATCTTCGAGAGGATGTTGAGGAGGTGCAGAACGTCCGCGAGGAACCGAAGCAGAAACTGAAATCGGTAGGACATGGCGAGCTCGTACATCGTCTGGTCCTTCCACTCTGACAGCATCACCATGATGGCAGGGAGGACCTCGACGAAGCGGGCGACCGCAGCACCTCTTGAAAGCCATCGCACCTCGTCGATCCCTTGCACCTCGAGGTTGGTGGAGGTAAAAACCTCCTGTAGCTCCATGAACCGTTGATGCCACGGTGATGATCGCCCCAAGTACTCAGCGACGGCGCGGATGACGTCGTCGACCATGTTGAACGTGGGTATAGCCTCTGCAGCAGCTTTGGCAGCCAAAGCCTCCCTGCAAAACGTACAAAAATGCAGGATTAGCATGGAATATACATGAAAAACGTCTGAACATACAAAACAAAACAACAAAACCGCACCGGTGAGCAATGTAGTGGAACGAAACCAGGTTGGGGATGAGCATCCGAAGTCGCGCAACCACACCGTTGTGGGCCCCCACCATCACCATCGCGCCTTCCGTGCTCACTCCCGAAAGTCGGCGGAGGTCCACGCCGACAGCCCTGAGGTGGGAAAGCAGCAAACTACACAGGGATGCAGCGTCAGCTCTCTCAACCGTAAGGTGAGCAAAGAACTCAGTCACAACTTGTTTGTCGCGCAGGAAGGTTGCAAACACGATCATGTGTTTGCCGCGCCGCCGGTCTGTGCTCTCGTCCAGAGTGATCCCGATGAAGGGGCTCGTGAGAAGGTGATCCAGTTGTGTTGTTTGGAGCCACGTTGCAATTGCCGGCGTTAATTCCCCCGAAGCCGTACTTGTACAGGAAAAAACAACCAGAGGCAGTTAGCGACTGTTTAATAGAGGAAACCAAGGACTCGGTGGTTACAACCGCCAAAACTTACGTATTGTAGTACGTGCCGTAGCTTTGCTTTGGAAATCTGGGCACCTTCTTCTTCGCCAAGTAGCGCACAAGCCGAATCCTAGCGTCCATGGGCTCATTGCACGAGCTCATGAAGTACAGCGACTCCACTAACGCCGAAATCTGCAACATCTCCTTGTCCAGCGCTTTCGGGTGTAGGTCGATGCGCTGCTGATCGCCATACTTTTGGAGGAGGTCCTCCTGCCGCTGCAGTGCAAAACGATGCTTCACCGTCCCTTCATGCTTCTTGAAGGCCTGCGTCTGCACGTCGGTCGCGCCCTCACCAGCCCGTCCACACTTGCCTGCAAGTCCCGCGAACTCCAGGCATATGCTACACTTAAAACTAGGGGCACCAGAAGAGGTTTTAGTTAGTATCAGCCACTCGTAATCGGTAGACCACTTTGTTTTAAAACGAAAGTGAGCTTCTTCGTATTTCAACTCCAACTTGTCGGAGTCAGACTTGTCGGTGGGCTTAGAGCTGCCCTGCATGGGAGATTCGACTCTCGCTGGAGCTTCAACGGTCGATGGAGGAGGAGTTGCCCACGGAAACGTGGTCTGTCGGAACCGCAGCTTCGTCGGTGGCGCGGGATGGGACGGTGCTTCAGCGGACGCCTCATGGGGCACAGACTGTGGCGCAGCTTTGACTAGTTCAGTGACGGCCATGGGCAGGGGTTCATATTGCACGGAAACCGGAGGACGGCTAGAGCTAGGTTGCGAAGGTGGAGCAATCGGTGGAACATGATTCGGTAAACATGATCTAAGAAAGTCCAGACCGGTCAAAGCGTCTGAAGCAGGACGACGATCGCTCTCGTCATCATCGTCGGGCGCTTCGGCGGCAGCGTCTGTGGCTGCCATTCAGTCTGCTGAGCACTGGTTTTGCGAGGGCAAGGAGAGAGAGCGTGAAACAAGGGCTCCAGCACTAGTTTCTGGCGAGGAAATTGAATGAAGCGAGAGAGACAGGGCATCAAGTGACCCCCACGAAGGGCGACGAAGAGGAACATGAGAGGTCCTCGTATTTGGACCGCTCATCTCCCTGGTGGTCACTGCATGCACGGCACCTAGTCGTGTGTGCAGGGAAGGTGGGGTGAGTGGGGTGGATGGATGTGGTGACGTGAGAGTTGCAGCGCGCTGCGAGCTATGCGTTGGCAAGGTGGACGGTGGAGGGGGTGGATGGTTGTGGTGTTGTCCGGATGCAGCGCGCTGCGAGCTATGCGTTGGCAAGGAATCTTGCCCACTGCCTGTTGCGCTGCCGCGATTGGCTGGAATTGAGCCAGATTACAACATTCCTGGCCCAACGCGACTGTGCGGTGCCGCGCTCGGGAAATGTTTCGTTTCCCACCCGTGATTGACGGTGTTAGTGCAACACGCCGCCAGGCTGGCGGAAACCCCTGCAATACCCGCTTCAGAGTGCACCCCCGAAACAAGGCTGAGGCTCAACCTACACCCATAAAATTTGTCTGAAATTTCAGGAACTACTTAAAAAAAAACCTCTGAAAAATCAGAGAAGGTACATAAAAAAATTCTTACAGTTCAGAGAAGGTACCAAAAAAAAGTATGAGTGGACTCTGAATCAGCGTTAAAAGTCTGATATCTAGGGCAATGCTCGAAAGCCCACTGTTCCGAAACCTGTGTGGCCCTACTGTTCGCGCCAATACAGCACAAGGGTCACTGAAAACGCACAGTAACTCCGTCAAAGTCCCGAACTGAAGGCTGTGGCACAGAGCAAAAGCGAAACACAATATTGAAAACTCATTACTTGATTGCACAAACAGAAATGAAAGAACAAATATCAAAGGAGAGTGCCTAGGTCAGGTTTGTAGATGCAGAACCTTGATTAGTGATGTTAAATTAGGATGAGTTTATCATGGTTTAGATTTCCAGGTTGTGTATGTATATGACATATATTAAAAAAATACCGATGTTAATAACGTAGCTGTAATATTTTAATGCTAAACGATTTACCTTTTCATAAGTTCCACAATATAATGCATAAAATTTCCCATCTTTGTGTGGTTAAATATACACACAGTTCTTTGGATAAATTATTATTCTGCATCTCCTTGCAACCTTTGTAGAAGGCAGACGACACAGTCTTCTTGGGGTGCATGGATACGATGTAATTGGTGCCAATCACATACATGTGAATGCATTTTATAGAGAGAGGGAGATAGATAAGTAGAGGAAGCTAATGGTGGGCATTTATAAAATGCGCTGCTTGTGCTGACCCGCACGCACCACCCCTCAGCCCTTGCGCTGCCCTTGCTGCCCGTGCCCTGCCTCTCGCGCCATTCCCTGCGTCTTCCTTGGCTTTCCCCCTGACGCGTCTGGCTGGCAGTTTTATTACCCCACCTCGCGCCGTGTCTTCTCCTCTCAGGACGTCACGTTTGACGAGTCGGTTCCCTTTTGCCGTCTCTTCCCTTACCGCGCTGCCCCGCTCCCCCCCCCCGCCGCTCTTCCTCGCTCCAGGTCCCCCTCCGGTAGCTCCCCTCCCCGCTCCTGGTCCTGCTCCTTCAGGTGTGTCTCAGGTAGACCCACTCCCCTTGGTTGAGCCTGTCGAGGTCACTGGTGACTCGGGTGCTGCTTGGGGGGGTGCTGCTCGTGGAACTACGTCTGGGGGTGCTGAGCCTGAGCGTGTGGAGCCTGGGGGTGCTGAGCGTGTGCGTGTGAGTGTGGAGGTGCTGAGCCTGCTTGTGCGGAGCCTGCGACTACGGAGCCTGGGGATGCTGAGCCTGAGCGTGAAGAGTCTGGGGGTGCTGAGCCTGAGCGTGAGGAGTCTGGGGGTGCTGAGCCTACTTGTGCGGAGCATGCGACTACGGAGCCTGGGGGTGCTGAGCCTGAGTGTGCGAGGCCTGGGAGTGCTGCGTCTTGGGGTGCTACGCCTAGGGGTACTGCGTCTTCACTACGGGAGCCTCTCTCACCACAGCAGCTGCGTGAGTGGTACGCTAGTCGCTGTCGCCTTCAAAGTGACGCTGCTGGAGCTGGAGGTCCTGGCACTGCTGGTCCCGGAGGTGCTCGTACTGGAGGTACTGGAGCTGCCGGGGCTGGTGGTGCTTGTCCTGGAGTCGCTGGAGGTGCTGGAGGTGCTGGTGCTGGAGGCGCTGGAGCTGGAGGTGCTGGTGCTGGAGGCGCTGGAGCTGGAGGTGATGGTGCTGGAGGCGCTGGAGCTAGAGGTGCTGGTGCTGGAGACACTGGAGCTGGTGACCCTAGAGCTGGAGCTGCTGGAGCTTGCGGAGCTGGTGCTGGTGGCTCTGGAGACACAGGGGCTAGAGGCGCTGGCGCTGGAGCTGCTAGGGCTTGTGAACCTAGAGCTGGAGCTGCTGGTCCAGGCGGTGTTAGTACTGGAGCTACTGGAGATGTCGGAGCTGCTGGCGCTGGAGGCGCAGGTACTAGAGACGCTAGAGCTGCTGGAGGCGCTGGAGCTACTGGTGCTCGTACAGGAGGTGCTGGTGCTGGTGGCACTGCGCAGCCGCGACTGTTCTTCGCTCCTCCGTCACCGTCATCTTTGCCGCCGCCTGACTCTGTGCTTCGCCAGGTTCTTACCCTCCCATCTTCTACTGGCCTCCCGTTACAGCCTGGCTCCCCGCTGCCTGCTCCTTCTCCTTACAGTGAGCACACAAACTCGCTTACAGAGCGTCGTGAGCCTGCGTCGCGTCCTGCCTCCCCTGTTCGCCGTGCTCGTCGTGTCCCGCGTCCGCGTCCTCCTCCTGTGCCAGGCACTCGCGCTATGGCACTTCGTCCTTCCTCTGCTCCTCAGCGCGTCCCGCTGCCGTCCCCTCCTGCGTCCTCTCTTCCACACGTTCCGGACCCTCCGTCTGACAGTGTTCGTGCTGCTCACCCTACTGTCACGCGTCTGTTAGCCACTGTTCTCACTAGCCCGTCGTTTGATTCTGCTGTTGCGTATGCCTTAGTCTCTGAGCTTGTTGACTTTGCTGCTGCTTGTCGTCTCGACTACGCTGCTAGTCTTGTTGCTGAGTCTGAGTATGTCTGTCCTCCGTCCGTTGACTTCTTCCAGACCTTCTCCCCCACCCTGAAGATGACCACTCTTCGGGTGCTGCTGCACGTTGCCGCTCAGTGTGACTACGAGCTTCACTCTCTTGACTTCAGCACAGCCTTCTTACAAGGCAGCCTGCACGAGGAGATCTGGCTGCGCCGCCCACCTGGCTTCACTGGGTCGTTTCCTCCTGGTACCCAGTGGAGCCTCCGGCGACCAGTCTACGGTCTCCGCCAGGCACCTCGTGAGTGGCACGACACACTAAAGACGACACTTGCAGCCCTTGGGTTTGCTCCTTCGACAGCGGACCCGTGGGTGAGCTACGTGCACAGACCTGGGTGAGCTGCGCAGCTACCTTGGCTTGCAGATCACCCGGGACAGAGCACGGCGCACCATCACCCTGACTCAGTCACACATGGTGCAGCAGGTCCTTCAGCGCTTCGGCTTCACTTGGTCCTCGCCACAGTCCACTCCTATGGCTACCGGCCACTCGCTCTCAGCTCTGCCTTCGGATGAGTCCGTAGAGCCGAGTGGCTCGTATCCAGAGCTTGTGGGCTGCCTCATGTACCTGATGACCTGCACTCGACCTGACCTTGCCTACCCTCTTAGCATCCTGGCTCGCTACGTTGCACCTGGGAGACACCGGCGAGAGCACTGGGAGGCTGCTAAGAGGGTGTTGCGCTACTTGTGCAGTACATCGGGCATGGGGCTCGTGCTTGGAGGACGGGGTGAGGTTGTCCTCACTGGACACTCTGACGCATCTTGGGTTGACGACCTGGCTACGCAGCGGTCGTCACAGGGTTACACTTTCAGCCTTGGCTGCGGCTCTGTTTCTTGGCGGTCTACCCGCTCGTCTTCTGTTCTCAGCTCTAGTTGTGAGGCTGAGATCTACGCCACAGCCATAGCTGCACAGGAGTTACGCTGGCTCACGTACCTGCTGATAGACTTGGGAGAGAGGCCTTGTTCTCCTCCAGTTCTGTACGTCGACAACAAGGCCGCCATTGCCTTGTGTCAGGAGCACAGACTGGAGCACAGAACGAAGCACATCGCTCTGCGTTACTTCCTGGCTCGAGAGTTGCAGTAGCGTGGTCAGCTTCGTCTTACTCACGTGGCCACTCGAGCCAACACTGCTGATATATTCACCAAGGCACTTTCGCCTGGTGATCATCAGCGCTTCTGTACTATGTTGGCCCTTGTGCCTGTTTCGTCTCACTTGCTCACTTCGTGACTTTGCTTGTACTGTGATCTATATGTATACCTGCATGCTTGTTCTTGCTAGGTAGTGATCACTGTACTGTTGTTGTTGCATATATACCTCTGCATGTGAACTGGCCTTGTGGCCCTTTGCTTGTGCTCAGAGTGTGTGGTGACGTTGTGATCCACCCTGAGCTTGCTTTTCTTTTCTTGACTGGTCTTGTGACCCCTTGTTCTCCCCCACAACTAGCACAGATATAGTTTGACACACCCCCATAGGCAAAGTGGGGGAGAACAAGGGGTCACAAGACCAGTCAAGAGAAGCAAAGCAAGCTCAGGGTGGATCACAATATTACCACACACTCCGAGCATAGGCAAAGGGCCACAAGGCCAGTTCATATGCAGAGGTATATATGGAACAGCAACAGTACAGTGATCACTACCTAGCAAAAGCAAGCATGCAGGTATATATATAGATCACAGTACAAGCAAAGTCACGAAGTGAGCAAGTGAGACGAAACAGGCACAAGGCCTAACATAGTACAGAAGCGCTGATGATCACCAGGCGGAAGTGCCTTGGTGAATATATCAGCAGTGTTGGCCCGGGTGGCCACGTAAGAAACTCGAAGCTGACCACGCTGCTGAAGCTCTCGAGCAAGGAAGTAACGCAGAGCGATGTGCTTCGTTCTGTGCTCCAGTCTGTGCTCCTGACACAAGGTAATGGCAGCCTTGTTGTCTACGTACAGAACTGGAGGAGAACGAGGCCTCTCTCCCAAGTCGGTCAGCAGGTAGGTGAGCCAGCGTAACTCCTGCGCAGCCATGGCTGTGGCGTAGATCTCAGCCTCACAACTGGAGCTGAGAACAGAAGACGAGCGGGTAGACCGCCAAGAAACAGAGCCGCAGCCAAGGCTGAAGGTGTAACCCTGTGACGACCGCTGCGTAGCCAGGTTGTCAACCCAAGACGCGTCTGAGTGTCCAGTGAGCATAACCTCACCCCGTCCTCCAAGCACGAGCCCCATGCCCGATGTACTGCACAAGTAGCGCAACACCCTCTTACCAGCCTCCATGTTCTCTCGCCGGTGTCTCCTGGGTGCAACGTAGCGAGCCAGGATGCTAAGAGGGTAGGCAAGGTCAGGTCGAGTGCACGTCATCAGGTACATGAGGCAGCCCACAAGCTCTGGATACGGGCCACTCGGCTCTACAGACTCATCCGAAGGCAGAGCTGAGAGCGAGTGACCGGTAGCCATAGGAGTGGACTGTGGCGAGGACCAAGTGAAGCCGAAGCGCTGAAGGACCTGCTGCACCATGTGTGACTGAGTCAGTGTGATGGTGCGCCGTGCTCTGTCCCGGGTGATCTGCAAGCCGCGCAGCTCACCCAGGTCTGTGCACGTGTGTCTCTTCTGCAGCTCCGACTTCACAAGGGCGAGTGCCTCAGTGTCAGCAGTGGCAAAGACCAAGTCGTCGACGTACACGAGGATGTAGAACGGCAGCAGCGAAGTGTCGGTGCGCAGAAACAGCGACGGGTCAGCTGTCGAAGGAGCAAACCCAAGAGCCGCAAGTGTCGTCCTCAGTGTGTCGTGCCACTCACGAGGCGCCTGGCGGAGACTGTAGACTGGCCGGCGGAGGCTCCACTGGGTACCAGGAGGGAACGACCCAGTGAAGCCAGGTGGGCGGCGCAGCCAGATCTCCTCGTGCAGACTGCCTTGTAAGAAGGCTGTGCTGAAGTCAAGAGAGTGAAGCTCGTAGTCATGCTGAGCAGCAACGTGCAGCAGCACCTGAAGAGTGGTCATCTTCGGGGTGGGGGAGAAGGTCTAGAAGAAGTCAACTCCCTGTCGCTGACTGAAGCCTCGTGCGACGTAACGAGCCTTGAAGACAGGCGGAGAACCTGGCGGGCGCTTCACCCTGAAAATCCACATGCCATCGACGATGTTCGCCCCAGGAGGGGGAACCTCATCGACGTAAGTGCCTGTGGACTTCAAGGATGCCATCTCTGCGTCCATGGCTGTCTGCCACTGAGAGGAGTAGGGACCCGAAATCGCCTCTGCGTAAGAGCGCGGGGTCGGAATGTCTGGTGCATCCGGGTCTCCCTCAGGGGCAAGCAGCATGGCCACGAGATGAGGTACAGCAGCCGCAAGACACTCAAAGTCCTCCTGCCTGTCCTCAAGGACGTCCATGCCAAGAGCACACTCACCCCCGACAGACGGAGGACAGACAGACTCAGACTCAGCAACAAGACTAGCAGCGTAGTCTAGACGACAGGCAGCAGCAAAGTCAACAAGCTCAGAGACTAAGGCAGACGCAGCAGCAGACTCAAACGATGGGTCACTGACTACAGTGGCGAGCAGACGCGTGACAGTAGGGTGAGCAGCACAAAACCGGTCAGACGCAGGGTCCGGAACGTCAGGCAGAGAAGACGCAGGAGGAGACGGCAGGGGAACACGCTGTGGAACAGAGGAAGGACAAAGCGCCATAGCGTGCGTGCCAAGGACAGGAGGCGAACGCTCACGAGGAACACGACAACCAGTGCGACGCACGCAAACAGGCGAGGCAGGACGAGACGCAGGCTCACGACGCTCTGTAAGCGAGTCAGTCTGCTCAGTGTAAGGAGAAGGAGCAGGTAGTGGGGAGCCTGGCTGTAACGGGAGGCCAGTAGAAGACGGGAGGCTAAGAACCTGGCGAAGCACGGAGTCAGGCCGCGGCAGAGACGACGGTGACGGCGGAGCGAATAACAGTCGCGGCTGTGCAGTGTCACCAGCACCAGGAGCGCCAGCGCCTCCAGCAGCTCTAGAACCTCCAGCTCCAGCGCCTCCAGCAGCTCCAGAACCGCCAGCTCCAGCGCCTCCAGCAGCTCCAGAACCTCCAGCTCCAGCGCCTCCAGCAGCTCTAGAACCTCCAGCTCCAGCGCCTCCAGCAGCTCCAGAACCTCCAGCTCCAGGGTCTCCCGCCTCAGTACCTCCAGTCGCAGCACCCCCAGAACCGGCACCTCCAGCTCCAGGGTCTCCAGCCTCAGTACCTCCAGCAGCAGCACCTCCAGAACCGGCACCTCCAGCTCCAGGGTCTCCAGCTCCAGTTCCTCTAGTAGTTGCACCCCCAGAACCTACACCGCCAGCACCAGGGTCTCCAACTCCAGAGTCGACAGCACCAGCTCCAGGGCCTCCAGCCCCAGTACCTCCAGTAGCAGCACCCCCAGAACCGGCACCGCCAGCACCAGGGTCTCCAACTCCAGAGTCGACAGCACCAGCTCCAGGGCCTCCAGCCCCAGTACCTCCAGTCGCAGCACCCCCAGAACCGGCACCTCCAGCGCCAGGGTCTACAGCCCCAGGACCTCCTGCAGTGCGACTCCGACGGCGGAAGCGCTGAGAGTACCACTCGCGTAGCTGTTGTTGCGAGAGAGGTGGCCGCTGCGACGCGGCACCAGGAGGACTTCTAGGAGACTCAGCACCCCCAGAACTAACACCTCCAGCTCCAGCAGTACCGCCAGTCCTGGCAGCTCCAGCACCCTCGGTACGAGCACGTCCAGATTCAGAAACGCCAGTACTCCCAACGTCTCCACGACCACTAGCTCCAGCAGCTCCAGCAGCAGAAAGAGGGAGACCCGGAGGAACGCCAGAAGACTCAGCACCCCCGGACCCGGTACCCTCTGGCTCAGCACCCCCAGGCTCCGCACTCGCAGGCTCAGCACCCCCAGGCTCCGCACCCCCCAGCACCTCACGCACAGGCTCAGCACCCCCAGACGCAGCACCCCGAGCAACACCGCCCCCAGAAGCACCAGAGTCAACCGGAACGCTGTAGAGGCGGCGAAGACGGTCGAGGTGGAAAACCCGGAGGGGTCGCCAAGCGTGGTGAGCGGCGGGGGGGCACCGCGTCGTCAGCAGCAACGTCACCCCCCTCAGCTGGGCCAGAGGTGTCGGAAGTGACCTCCAAAGGCTCAGCCAAGGGGAGTGGGTCTACCTGAGACACACTTGAAGGAGCAGGACCCTGAGGGGGGAGGGGGTCTACCGGAGGGGGACCTGGAGCGAGGAAAAGCGGCGGGGGAGGGAGAGGGGCAGTGCGGTAGGGGAAGAGACGGTAGAAAGGAACCGACTCGTCAAAGGTGACGTCCTGAGAGGGGAAGACACGGCGTGAGGTGGGGTGGTAAAACTGCCAGCCAGGCGTGTCAGGGACAAAGCCAAGGAAGACACAGGGAATGGTGCGGGAGGAGAGCTTGTCCGCGGACGTATCGCGGACAAGGGCACGAGCACCCCAGACCTGGAAACGCGACGCATTGCCAACCTCTCCCGTCCAACGCAGTGTGGGCGAGGTGTCTGGCAAGGAGACACGGGGCCAGAGGTTGAGCTGATGCGCGGCGTACCGGACCGCAAACGACCACAGAAAATGGGGAGCAGCCGCATGGATCAAGGAGGTACGAGCGATCTCCATGACCAAGCCAATATGGCGCTCAGCAACCCCATTTTGCTGCGGTGAGCCCGGAAGCGTGAACGACTGCTCGATGCCCTCCCCCTGACAGAAGGCCCGCAAGAGGTCGGAGGTGAACTCACCACCTCTGTCAGAGTGCAGACGCAGGTCAGGAAGGTCCGTACGGAACCTCCGGCGGAGCTGGAGACGAACTGCTCGGATCCAAGGGATCAGGACAGCAGGGACCTCACCCTTGGTGCACAAGGGGAAGACCGTGGTGTAACGCGAGTAGTCGTCGACAACCAGCAGAAAGTACCGCTCACCGCCCTGTCCACGAACGCGGGCTGGGCCCCACACGTCCATGTGGAGGGTCTGCAGGGGAGCCTCTGTCGGAGGAAACGAGGAGGAGTGAGGAGCGGCGCGCTGCCGCCCCTCGACGCAAGGAAGGCAGGGCGGCGCAGGCGAGGCAGGGAGGGGAGGGAGAGACCTGGGAAGACCAGACACAAGGAGGCGACGGTGCATGCCACGTAGACGTGGCAAGGAGGGGTGACCCAGACGGTGGTGCCAGAGAAGAGTCTGGTGCGACAGGGAGCGACACTCACAAGGGGAGGCTACCAGACCTGACGCAGACACCTGACCGACAGCAGCGACCTGAGGAGACACAGTCGTCAGTGTGTAAAGACTCGACCCTGGCCGGCAGGTGAACGTGGCCAGGTGACGGCCAGTCTGTGCACACGTGCAGATCGCCACACGCTGCCATGCAGGGGTGAAGGTATTAACCCCCACATCCTGAAGGGCAGCGTTGCTCACCAAGTTCGTCGAGAACGAGGGGAGGTGGAGACCTGACAGTGAGCCAGACGGGACCGCCGAGCACGGAAGCACAGTGGTTGACCGTGCAAAAACAGGGCCCCCTGAGGGGTCAGCCAGAGAGACGGCGACAGGCGCAGGGAGCGGTGTGAGTGCGTTACTGTCACGGAAGAAAGAAGCAGCAAGAAGCACCTGAGTCAAGCGTGAAGGTGTGCAAGGCCTCAGCAGGCGCAGTACCGGAGAGAGCAGACTCGCCTGCACCTAAGGCAGCCGCCTCTATACCTGAGTCAAGTGTGAAGGTGTGCAAGGCCTCAGCAGGCGCAGTACCTGAGAGAGCAGACTCGCTAGCACCTAAGGCAGCAGCCTCTATACCTGGGTCAGGCGGCATACACAGGTAACAGTCACCATCAGCACTAACTTCCAATGCATACATAGCAGAGATAATAGAATCAAAGTCAAGAGCAAAAACATCTACACCAGCCTTCAATAGCTCATGCCAACGAGGGCGCTCATACTCCTCGCCCATCTCCTCACGCCAGGCGTCGTCAAGGCGGGAGAAGCAGCGGTGCTGGGTGTGAAACTTGTTGCACGTCTGACCCTTGCGGTCACTTGTGCGAATGACATATGGGCAGCGACCACCACCCCCAGACTTCCCACGCTGAGCAAGCCACTCACGAAGCTGCTGGGACGTCTGGGGACGCTGTTGCTACTGCTGTCTCTGGCCAGCGCCAAGGCCTCCACCCCGACCGCCACCGCCGCCACCACCGCCGCCGCCACCGCCGCCGCCACCGCCGCTGCCACCCCCGCCGCCACCCCCTCCGCCGCCACCGCCTCCACCGCCGCTACCGACGCTACCACTCCCGCCAGCACTCCCGCCACCGGTCCCTCCGCCACCTCCTCCTCCTCCACCGCCTCCACCACCACCCCCCCCCCCGGTGCCACCTCCGCTACCCTTGGCTCCCTTGCCCTTGCCGTTGCGGCGCCTCCCACTAGGAGCAGAAGCAGCACCAGCAGACTCAGCACCAAGGAAGTCGACAGCAGCAGCAGTAGCGAAGGAGGGGGCGAGGGGAGAGGGAGAGCACCCCTCAAAGATGGGGGTGCGAGGAGCGCCACGAGCAGCAGCTACAGCGACAATGCTCTTCTCTGCTGCAAGGAGGTGCTCCTCTAGGAGGTCGACAGTGAGCTCGGTGGGACAGCGAGCGAGAAAGTGGTCCCTGACCGAGCTGAGAGAGTCAGGGAGACGGGTGACTATGAAGTGGAGGGTCCAGTACATCGGAGGCGGGTTCTTAGCTGCGAACTCTGTAGGGAGGGCGGCGCAAAGGCGAGTGTCACTAGTGCATAGGTGGGTAATGAGATCGGCAACTGTGGCAAAGGTGGACAGCTCAGGAAACAGGTAGGGCAGCATCAGGTGGCTAAGCGCAGCAGTGGCAGGAGAGGTGTAGCGAGCAACTACAGCGTCGTACAGGGCCTTAGCGGTTTTGTGTTAGCCAAAATGCGTGAACTCGGCTAACGGCAGATAGTTGCGAACGGCTAGGCGAGCAGCAGCGTCACGAGTCTGCCACTGGGAACGGGCGCTAAGCTCAGCTGTGGCAGCAGGAGCGACTGAGGCACCAGACGTGTGGTCGAAAAGTGAAACATTGTCCTTGCTATCGCTCATTAAGAACAGGTGCAGGTCATCTAGCCAGGTTTCGAACTGAATCGGGCGGCCCTCAGCATCGAACGAGAGAACGCGGAGGGTGGCCATAGCTGCCGGCGCGAGACTAGCAGGGCAGAGCAATGGCAGGTAAGAGGCAGGGGCGGCGCGCTAGAGCGTAGCAGGCAGCCGCGGCAGAGGCAGGCGGCGCACGAGGCTACAGGCGGCCGGCAGGGCTGCAGGGCAGGCCCCGCACAGGGCGTAGCGGGCGGCTGCAGCAGCAGGGCGGGCGGCGCACGGGCGCAGCAGGCAGCCGCGGCAGCAGGGCGGGCGGCGTAGCAGGCAGCCGCGGCAGAGGCAAGCGGCGCGCGGGGCTACAAGCGGCCGACAGGGTAGCAGGGCAGGCCCCGCGCAGGGCGTAGCGGGCGGCTGCAGCAGCAGGGCGGGCGGCGCACGGGCGCAGCAGGCAGCTGCGGCAGTAGGGCGGGCGGCATAGCAGGCAGCCGCGGCAGCACGCAGGCTGCTAGCGGGCGGCGTGCGTGCTGGCAGGAGCTGTGCGCGGGCTGCGCATGCAGCTGGCGGGTCGCGCGGGCTGCTAGCGGGCTGCGCGCGGGCCAGCAGAGGCGACGCGCGGGTCGCGCGGGCAGCTAGCGGGCAGCGCGCGGGCCAGCAGAGGCGACGCGTGGGTCGCGCGAGCTGCTAGCGGCGCGGCGCAGAAAAGGGCAGGGCGTGCGCGGGGCTGCGCGACGCAGGGCAGGGCAGGCAGGGCGCGGGGTAACGCGGTAACCGCAAGCGGTTTAGGGTGGGCCCGAAAAAATAACGTTCCTAAGGTCCTAAGGACCTCCTGCTCTATACCATGTTAGAGGAGTACCGTCATACCCCGGATAGAAGCGCCCCTGGGGTTGTAATAAAACACTGTTTTTTAGGGGGTGGGCTTATAATTGAGGATTTTTATAAGCTCCGGGACTTATATAATGACATATATGAAATCTATTTTTTTTACACCAAAGTGTTCGTCTCGTCCTTGCGATTTGAATCGAATCGATATTGTAGAGGGCAATGAATGTGAATTTCGCGTAAATTGGTAGTGGCTGATTCCCTGCCAACACACACAGTCAGAATGAGTCAGATTGACCCCATGACAGTTCATTCTGACTGGACGCAGACATTGAGTCGCGCGAGGGTGAAGGGATTCGAACGAAATTCGGAATGTGGGGACGCAAAATTGTGTTTCGTTAAAGAGGCTCTAGTAAAAATATAAAGAACTATTACAAAGGGTGGCGCTTATAATCCGTAAGCCTTCAGGGGTGCGCTTATAATCGAGGACCGGATATAAAGCCAGCAGCTAAAATAGTGACCCCCCCCTTCTAGTTGGGTCCACTTGAAAGTTGAAGTACTGTTGTGTATTTTTTTTTCCAGCCCCATATGATACTGATCGAGTCTCCAAATTTCTCGAACAAAAATCATCGCAAGCATGTCCAAATACGTCGCTTGAAAGGCAACGACGTGTGAATCGCAATCACATTCAGAGCCAAATTTACATCGTGAAGCATGTCCAACTCGTGCAAAGCAAGTCCAACCCACGCAAAGCAAGCCCAACTCACGCAAAGCAAGCCCAACTCACACAAAGCTAAGGCCTTAGACATAGGCCTGCTAGGGCGGCAATAACAACATGTGAACCATCGCTGCGTATAACAGAGAATAGACAAATAGAGCAATAGAAAAGAGGACGCGAGAGGAGAGATGCGTGAGAAAAATCCACGGAATGCTAGGGGAGATAGCAAGTACGAAAGGGAGGGGAGAGAATGAGGGCGACGGAAAGGAGGGGAGAGAGCGAGGGCGACGGAAAGGGATGAGAGAGAGCGAGGGCGGCGGAAAGGGAGGGGAGAGAGCGAGGGCGACGGAAAGGGAGGGGAGAGAGCAAGGGTCAACGGAAAGGGAGGGGAGAGAACGAGGGCGACGGAAAGGGAGGGGAGAGAGCGAGGGCGGCGGAAAGGGAGGGGAGAGAATGAGGGCAGCGGAAAGGGAGGGGAGAGAACGAGGGCGACGGAAAGGGATGAGAGAGAGCGAGGGCGAGGGAAAGGGAGGGGAGAGAACGAGGGCGACGGAAAGGGAGGGGAGAGAGCGAGGGCGACGGAAAGGGAGGGGAGAGAGCAAGGGCAACTGAAAGGGAGGGGAGAGAGCGAGGGCGACAGAAAGGGATGAGAGAGAGCGAGGGCGACGGAAAGGGAGGGGAGAGAGCGAGGGCGGCGGAAAGGGAGGGGAGAGAACGAGGGCGACGGAAAGGGAGGGGAGAGAGCGAGGGCGACGGAAAGGGAGGGGAGAGAGCAAGGGCAACTGAAAGGGAGGGGAGAGAGTGAGGGCGACAGAAAGGGATGAGAGAGAGCGAGGGCGACGGAAAGGGAGGGGAGAGAGCGAGGGCGGCGGTAAGGGAGGGGAGAGAACGAGGGCGACGGAATGGCAGGGGAGAGAGTGAGGGCGGCGGAAAGGGATGGGAGAGAGCGAGGCCACGGGATCGAGGACCTGAAGAGGGATCGACGGGAGAGGAGGGAAGAGAAGAGGAACGACGCGAGGGGAGGTAATAAATTACGAAAGGCGGGACGGAGGGTGACGGGAGTGTGGTGGGAACGCGATCGTGATGAGACGCGAGGGCGGCGGGAGGAGAGAGAAGAAGGGCGACAGGGGAGGAAGGGCGACGGGAGACAGGAAGGGCGGCGAGAGAGAGGACGGGCGACGGGATAGCGAACTGGCGACAGGAGTGAGGAAGGGCAACAAGAGAGGAATGGCGACGGGATGTGAGAGGAGATCGCGAGGGTGATGGCGACGGTAGGGGCGAGGGTGGGCGATTTGAGGCGCGCGTGACGGCGACGAAGTGGGTGATAGGAAGGGGAGGAAGGGCGACGGAAAGGCGATTCAATATGAGCGCGAGAGCAACGCGATGGTTACTGTGAGAAGAAGAGATGTAGAGCGACGGGAGCCTGATTTACCGAGAACGCGAGGGCTACGAGGTGAAGGGTCGGGTTTCACTTGCGAGCGACGAGAAAAATATTGACTATACAGAGCCATGTTCACTACATTACGCACGCGAGCGAAGTCGGATCTTACGTGCCTAGGCCAGAAACATCTACGCTTTCTCGGCTTTACTACTAATGCTACGCAAAGCACTAGTGACTTCGGGACTCGAAATCAGCTAGTCATTCACCCAGTCCCAACTTGATTTGGAAGTTGGTCCTGGCGATGGAAACCATCGCTGGGCAACGGTCGTATGGGTGCAGCGTATAAAAATGCGACGATTGACATGGGCCTGGAAAATCGTTTTGGCGGGAGGAGTAATTTTCAGATTTGTTTGAGCCAATCAGATGAGTTCAACCTGCCTACACGGTTTGTTTGGAACAGTGTTGTGTCAACCCAACTCATCGCAGCGATTTCAAGCTGGGACGGCCTTCACTATTTTATATTTCGGTTATAAGCGCCCTCATCCCTTTATAAGCGCCGGCGCTTATTACAGGCCTGTGCTTCTATCCGGGGCCTTACGGGTAGGAAGCATTGGACTAAAAGTGTCTGGTACAAGAGTAAAACCTGAAGGAGTTGTACCCCACATTGGCTACCCCACTACAGCCTACACCTTATTATAATATTATATATAGTTTGACTGGTAGAAGCCTTCCGCTGCACAAGGAACAGAGCATACTACCACAGGACAGGAGAAAAAAAACAGAATGAACAATCAGGGCCATTGACCGTACAACAAATACAACAATAGTGTGGCTCGACTGGACACAAAGTCTAAACCCTACGGGCACCTAGGCTTGGGGTACCAATCATATCCATCTGAGGTTATGCAATACCGGTAGTTGGTAAATTGCTCCTACAAGCTATACAAAGAAATTTGAGAGAAGGGAACGACACTAACACTGACGCAAAGGCACATCGCTTAAATTGCAGCTGAGGAACAAAACTTGGCAGGCGCCTTCGCCACATTCCCCATTAATGTTTTGGAGCGTATTAAAAGTTAAAACTAGCAAATTCGTCCATTTCCCTTTGATGTATGGTAGAACCTTGCAAGAAAGAAAAATCGGTATATCTGAAACATGGGAAGGGGGATGAGGGGAAGTGGAAGGAGGGGAACACATGAGGGGTGAGTCGAAAGCAAACGCGAACAACAGAGGGGAATAAAAATGGACCTGAGAATTGTACTTTGCGGATCTCAGTACCACCAGCCATGCATTGCACTCCGGAAAACATTTGAAGTGATTCAAGCAGGGTGAACAAGCAGTATGGATGAAGGCTGTGGCGGAAACAGTAGGGAAGGGTGGGGAGGAAAGGAGGAAAGGGGGGGCGTGGGGAAAGGGGAGCGGGAGGTGGAGGGTCGGGGGGGGGGGGGGGGGAGGGGAAGGAGGGAAAGGAATATGAGAGAAAGAGGATGTAGCTCTGCTGGACCTCCATGCGGTGAGATGTCTCAAACTCGAGTTACGTCTCAAAATCTGGTTTACACAGCGATCTCGGCGGCTGTTTCCCGTCAACGATTATCTGGCGACGCGGGGAAATTCGAGCACCGGTGGTAAGGACGACGAGCGCACAGAAATACTTTTGAGAATTCTCAAAAGTGCCAGCACAACGAGCACACGGTGAATCACCGAAACTGTTTTCTGTCAATGTTGGTCTGTTGACGTGGCGCAATGCGCGTACCGGTGGTAAGGACGAGAAGAATCCACACGCCGACTAGCTGCGATCGGCCTTCCCGTCAGTCTTGCTGCCAACCGTCTCCTTCGCTTCCCGCTCGATCTGCTTCGGCGTGTCGTTTAGCGACCTGCGAATACAATAAAAGCGATTTGAAGACGACTCAAGGCAGCAACGAGCCGTCAGAGACGTAGCTGTGGGAAAGGCAGAACAGCACGCAACGCGAGTGAGGAGGATCGATTGAGGACCATACGGGCAAGCGTACAGCGCACGGGTACGACGGTGAACAGAGCCGGGCGAGCGAAGCGTAACAAGCGAGAGAGGCGATTAAATAGCTAGCGTCGCACAAGCGCGTCGGAATATGAAACCTAGAAGTAAGCGGTGGATCCAAGCGACTCACTTTTTAACGGCCGCTTCTTCCTCCTCCAACCACACTCTCATCTGCCTGACGTTCCGTCTTAACGTCGTCGCCGTCCTCTTGACGTCTCCTTTGAGCAACAGAACGGCCGCGCCGATTCCTACTACAGTAAGCACGAAATTTGATAACGCCATGGCGGCAAAGAAACTCCGCCCGCCGAGAAGCCTTTGATACCTTTGACCAATATTACTGGTGTATCCACTCTGTTTCAGCAAGAATGTAGTGTTCTTGCTGGTGTTTTTATCCCGTACAAGATGTTATTGCTTCATCGTATATCGCGTCGCCGTGCTGTTGTGGTTGTTCTGAGGTCCCTCGCGAAAATTTTGGTAACCTTGACGAAGCCTGGAATCGGGCTTGCCACTTGTTTACGTAGCAGCAACCGCCGCACAACACTGGGACCTCAAACGAAGAAACGATATGGTGCGAACCCTGATTTCACCGGAAACCAATCTGGCGAAATAATTCTCGATCATTAGCCATTCGCTACGCACGCAGCCGAAGCATCATCGGAGTTCCCGATGCCTGGCATTTCAGTAATCCCCGATCTGATGAATGTGTTTCGTACCTATTTAGGGCGTGTTACATTTTTCACCTCAGCCCGTCCGGACGGGCCTTCGTCCGGACAATGTAGTGGTTACCTTGTTCGTTTGAGTTCGCATTGTTTCTCGTTAGATCCATTGCGACGTCGTTAACGTTCGGACCGCCGATGAAACATTTTGCGTTAAATTGCGTTCCCAAATCGACCGGACGTTACCGCTCAGTAAGTGGACGGACGTCGCATTAACGCAATTTTATTGGTCGACGAACTGATATCTTCAAATCGCCTGGCTGTTATCATTATCGTCATCATGGTTACAACCTCGCAAATACGAGTCATGATAACTAGACTGGGACCACCGGGCATGACATGACCTCAATGAAGGGCCATGTCGTGCAGACACTAGACTAGGCTGGACGGAATTGAGTGGTGTTGGACACTGCGTCTTCATTGACCACCCCGCGACGCTCGAAATCCTTCTGCGAGTCTCGTGGGAGTGCTTCGCCGCGCAATTGTCCCGCGAGCGGCGCGCGTAGCAGCGAGAGAGCCATCATGGCGGTGACGGCGGCGAACCTGTCGACGTTCGGCGGCATCGCGACGGTGTCGCTCGTGCACTCGCTCATCCCCACGCACTGGCTGCCGTTCAGCGTCGTGGGACGCGTGCAGAAATGGACCATCCACCAGACCCTTTCCATCAGTAAGCGTGCTTTCGATGCGGCTTAAAACACTTTTGAGAATTCTCAAAAGTGATTTCGGCATCTCGTTCAGAAAAGGACCATTCACCAGACGCTATCCATCAGTAAGCATACTTCCGATGCGGCTTCGCATCTTTCTAACGATACTTGTTTTTGCGCGAAATTGAAAAGAGCACCAGCTGACAATCAGCCTCGTGGGACGCGTGCAGATATGATGTCGCATAATCAGGGGACATTCTCAGTCCCTAGAGCATTCTCGCGTTGTAAGGCGCGCTCTGGACGCTGTAACGAGGTCGACCGTGTACGTTCTGGCTGTGTTTCCACGAGTAACACTTCACACAGTCCGTATGTCGATTAATAGGTACTCTCTGGCCATTGACTGCATCTTCTTCAGTAACCTTGACAAAACCCTATACGCTACACAGTCGTCGCTAAATTCAAGCCATGGCTCTGACCATGGTCGATCATCCTTAGCTAAGTCAACTTCAGAGGCTGCATCAGCGTGAAGCGAGTTCAACAGATGGCGAATATCGGATTTATAGCCGAGTTGAATGGCAACACTCGAATTGTGCTGCTACATTGACATCGGCAACCCTAATTGGCTCCAAGGACGACCGCTTTTTCATCCGTCTTCCATCCTTCTCCCTTCCCCTTCATCCAATGCACGCGCAATCCACGTCCTTCCTGGGGTTCACTGCAGTGACCATGACACACACGCTAGCAGGCGAGGAGGCAGTAGAGGCCATCGCATATCCACCTCCTCCTCCTCCTCCTCCTCCTCCTCCTCCTCCTCCTCCTCCTCCTCCTCCTCCTCCTCCTCCTCCTCCTCCTCCTCCTCCTCCTCCTCCTCCTCCTCCTCCTCCTCCTCCTCCTCGGCGCCTGCTACATCGCCCTCTTCCTCCTCACCCACCTTCTCTGTAACCATCCCCTCCGCCCGCCCTGACCCTCCCCTCCTGCTTTAATCCCCTCCTCCCCCCTCCCTCTTTACCCTTCCTCTCCTGCAGCGGCACTGGGAGCATTCCTGCACGTGCTATCCACGTCCATCCTGGGATTCACCGCAGTCACCATGGCACACACGCTCGCAGGCGAGGAGGCAGTAGAGGCCATCGCGTCCCTCCTCCTCCTCCTCCTAGGCGCCTGCTACATCGCCCTCTTCCTCCTCACCCGCGGAAAACCCTCCCACTCCCACTGCCACGCCCACGCCCACCTCCCAACAACCATGGCCGCTGCTGCTGCCGCTACAGCTGCCGCCACTGGAACCACCTCCCCTGGTGGCTCTGCTGCTGCTTCGTCGAAAAGCGCGAACGCGAGTGGGAAGCCAGAGGGGATGGAGAGGATAGCAGTGCTGGGGTTGGTGCTGGTGCCCGCGCTCTCCCCCTGTGCCACGACTCTCCCTGTGTTTCTGGCCATCAGTGACGCGTCGCTGGGGACCATGGCGATCGCAGTGGCCGTGCTGCTCGCCTGCACGCTCTTCGTCATGCTCACGCTCGTTGCACTCTCCTTCTATGGGGCCTCACAGGTGAGCTTGAGCTTGACTTGCCTCTGAACTTGCCGCATGCCTAGAAACCGACTGGAGAAATGGAGAGCGGGGGATAGCAGTGCTGGGGTTGGTGCTGGTGCCCGCGCTCTCTCCCTGTGCCACGACTCTCCCTGTGTTTCTGGCCATCGGTGACGCGTCGCTGGGGACCATGGCGATTGCAGTGGTGGTGCTGCTGGCTTGCACGCTCTTCGTCATGCTCACTCTCGTTGCACTCTCCTTCTACGGAGCTTCACAGGTGAGCTTGCCTTTTCCAGGTGAGGATGGGTTCACAATTTGTCATGCTGTTAGGATGGATGGACGCTAATCGCGATTATATCACACTCCTCGCACTTTCCTTCAAGAAGGCCTTTCAAGTAAGCCTGGATGTGTTCGTGTCACTTTTGAGAATCCTCAAAAGTGAAACATTTACTCTTCTTTCTATGGGGCTTTAAAGTGAGGTTGAACGTGCAGGCTGTGATGCTGCTCTCTGACTGTCTTTTGTCCTGCCCTTTGCCCCTCTCCGCATGGCATGTGAAGTTTGGGTGGCTGAGCGGCATGAGAAGCTGGTGTGGTGGTACTGGTGATTCTGTGGCTAACACGGCTGGCTGTCATGCTTTCCCACCCCACCCTTCTCCCCAGACCCTCCCTCTCTCCTCCCTCTCAGCACTCGCTCGTTGTTGCATTGCATGTTTGTTTGGGTGGCTGGAGTGGTGTGATTAGCTGGTGGTTGGATCGAACCTGTGGCTAGTAGGCAGCTTGTCATGCTTTCCTCAACACCTCCCATCTCTTGCCTCTTGTTACATTGCAGGTGAAATTTGGGTGGCTGGAGTGGTATGAGAAGTTGGTGGTTAAAATGAACCTTGCCCAACATTGCTGGTTGTCATGCTTCCCTCCCCCTCTCTCCCCCACCCCTACCCCTCCCCTCCCAACTCATAGGTGACGTTTGGGTGGCTGGAGTGGTGTGAGAAGCTGGTGGTGTGGGTAATCCTGTGGCTAACGTGCCTTGCTGTCGTGCTTTCCCTCTCCCTCGCCCCTACAACCCTTGCCCACTGTTGCCTCACAGGTGAAATTCGGGTGGCTGGAGCGATATGAGAAGCTGGTGGTGGGGGTAATCCTGTGCGCTGTGGGCATTCTCACCCACCTCTTCCACCACCACGACCACCCACACGGGCACTCACACGGACATGCAGGGCATGCAGGTTCTGTGTTTGCACCGGGGCATACAGACATCATCACAGCTGGCACCATGCTGAGCCATCACCACTGAATGACGTGAAGGCACTGCTGGGGCTGATCGTGTGCACCGTGGGCATTCCACTCACCTCTTCCACCACCGTTACAGCATTAGCCACACGGGCACTCACATGGGCATGAAAAGGCGTTTGGGGCGTTTGGGCTACTGCCAGCATGCGTCTGTGTTTGCACCGGGGCACACTGACATGGTCACAGCTGGCACCATGCCGAGCCACCATCACTGAGTCACGTGAAGGCATCACTAGGGAACGAGGGGCATTTGGGTCAGCAGCAGCAGGATGCGACTGTGTTGTACTGACATCATCACAGCTGGCACCATGATGAGCCACCACCAGTAATGCTGATGATCTAATGCTGCCGCTGCTGCCTGGGTTGGAGCTTGGATGCACTTCATCTCAAGCCCACCATGTCATCAATTGGTTTTTTCTTGCTTGATTTGACTGGTATGCTTATTATTATTGCCCACATATCTTACTGTGCGTTGAAGTGGAGGCTGCAGAAGGAATTTTCGTAGAGTACTTCATTAGGTCATGTACGATATGGCATACGGCATGTCTAATGTAGACTTGCAAAGTTAGTGGTAGCAAGTAAACCTTCAATACCAAGTGACACTTTCTGTGAGAGGGTACTACCTATCAAAGGTCCTACCAATATCTACTGTAGCTGAGTATTGCACCAATACATGACTAGTTGCTGCATCCTGTCACATAGTGCGTCCTGTCAGAGAGAACCCCCCCCAGGCATCACATCACAGCAATATTATAATACTGGAATTTACGTATGCGCCTCAGAAGAGCTTCTAGGCGCCTACTACCGGTATATCACTCGTAGCGCACCCTATTGGTGCAACCATAACCACAAGAGGTGGCTTCAATCCCCTCACTTTGAATGCAGGTGAGATGAGTTATGAAGCTGTGACTGCATCAAAACCTCCCCTCATTGTTAGTGGAAGGGGTGAGTGACCGTATGGAGTATGGAGAATAGCCACGTGAAGCAAGGGTACCCTCATTTCACGTGGAAGGGGTGAGTGACCGTATGGAGTATGGAGCGAGGGAGCATGAGTCATGCCCCTCAGTAAAGGGAGGGAGAGTGAGTAGTGCTGATCAGTGTGAACGAGGACTGACGTTAGTGGGAGAGAGAGAGTCGTGCACTCTAGCAATGGCAGCAGCAGCGCCCCCCTTAACCAACACACTCCCCCCATTGTGGATAACTCGAGGTGACTCCAACCATCATCACGTGGTATGTGATGGTAAATGATGGTATATGACAGTCGAATGAGGTCAGTAGAGGGAACGGGAGCTGTGCCCCTTAATAAAGGGAGAGGGAGTCGTGCACTCTAGCAGTGGCAGCAGGAGCGCCCCCCTTAGACAGCACCCCACGGGCATCACAGATGGCTCGAGGCGGCTCCAGGTCCCTCTCCATGAGAGAGTGGCCCTGCAGGCGCTGCATCTGCTGAGTGAACAAGTTATCCAGAGTCTGAAGGGGGATTTGGGATTGGGGGAGTAAAGGAGGTAAAGGGGAGGGGGGGTGTGGGCGGGCAAGACAAGGCGGCTCCAAGTCCCTTTCCATGAGAGAATGGCCCTGCAGGCGCTGCATCTGCTGGATGAACAGATTGTCCAGAGTCTGAAGGGGGGAGGGGGTGGTGGGAGGGGTGGCATCAAGGGAATGTTTGGGTGAGAGGGCAAGCGGATGTGGGACGGTGAACGAATCACACCCCTCTCCATGAGAGAATGGCCCTGCAGGCGCTGCATCTGCTGGGTAAACAGACTGTCCAGAGTCTAGGGTGTAGAGGTTGGGGAGGGGATGGGTGGTGGACGGGTGGCATGAAGGGAATGAATGTTTGGGTGTGGAGGCGTGCATATTTGGGAAGGCCAGGTGTGGCGAATCATGCTCCAAGTCTCTCTCCATGAGCGCGTGGCCCTGCAGCCGCTGCATCTGCTGAGTGAACAGGTTATCCAGAGACCGATGGGGGAAGGGGAGGGAGGGAGGGGGGAAGTGGTGGGAACTGACAGTATGGGAGCGTGGTTTAGAAGGGAGGCGGCTGGTGTTGGGATTTTGTGTGGGACTGTGTGTGTGGGGCTATGAGTGGGTGGGGCTATGAGTGGGTGGGGCTATGAGTGGGTGGGGCTATGAGTGGGTGGGGCTATGAGTGTGTGGGGCTATGAGTGGGTGGGGATGAACTTGTGGAAATGTGGAATTTGAAACAGGCTGTCCTTACATTGAGGGTGACAGCAGCAGAAGCACTCTTGAGCTATGACACCCCCTCCCTCTATCCCTTTAAGATGTCAGTACAATATTTCCAGGATTACATGCTTACATCGAGCTTGAGACTATACCCGCGCTAACATCAAGCGTGAGACTATACCCACGCTTACGTCGTGAGTGATACAATGCCCGCGCTTACGTCGTGAGTGATACAATGCCCGCGCTTACGTCGTGAGTGATACAATGCCCGCGCTTACGTCGTGAGTGATACAATGCCCGCGCTTACGTCGTGAGTGATACAATGCCCGCGCTTACGTCGTGAGTGATACAATGCCCGCGCTTACGTCGTGAGTGATACAATGCCCGCGCTTACGTCGTGAGTGATACAATGCCCGCGCTTACGTCGTGAGTGATACAATGCCCGCGCTTACGTCGTGAGTGATACAATGCCCGCGCTTACGTCGTGAGTGATACAATGCCCGCGCTTACGTCGTGAGTGATACAATGCCCGCGCTTACGTCGTGAGTGATACAATGCCCGCGCTTACGTCGTGAGTGATACAATGCCCGCGCTTACGTCGTGAGTGATACAATGCCCGCGCTTACGTCGTGAGTGATGGCAGCAGATGCACCCCTGAACCACAACACCCTCTCCCTATACTGCTCTGAGATGTTACGCTACTATATTCCTATGAAGACATGGTTATATCGAGGGTGTGCTTACATCGAGTGTGATAGCAGCGGAGGCACTCTTGAACCACGACACTCCCTCCCTCCGCTTCTCCAGGAAGTGCAACACCTCCCTCCCATGCCGGTCCCACAGGCCCCTCGCCGTGCCCACGAAGACACGGCTGCTCAACACTGCGTCAGCCTGATGGGATGGGGAAAATGGAAGGGAAGAAGGGAGAAGAGGGTCAGGAAGTGCAACACCTCCCGCCCATGCTGGTCCCACAGGCCCCTTGCAGTGCCCACAAACACACGGCTGCTCAGCACTGCATCAGCCTGATGGGATGGGGAAAAGGGAGAAGTGGGGGGGAATTGTGGGGGAAATGGGGAGGGACATGACTCAGTAGGCGCCTTGCTGTGGGTAACAGGTGGGGAAAGGGGGGGCAGAAAGGGAGGGAGAAAGAAGGGGGGCGGAAAGGGGGGGGAGAAAGGGGGGGCAGAAAAGGGGGGCAGAAAGCAGTGATCCAATCAATGCTGATGTCATGTCATCGCCTACCTGTGTGCAATCTCTTATGGAGAGAAAGTGGCAGCAAGAGAGCAGCATGCGCACTCACGAACCCCCACTTGAGCCAGCAGAGAGCCGATGAGCGCGGACAGCGGCTGCAGCTTGGACGTCATGTCGTCACCTGCCTGTGGGTGCACCTCAGCAGTCACCTGTGACACAAGTGTGGTGGCTAACGGCGTGCATGCGACGTGCATCTCACCTGGGCCAGCAGAGAGCCGATGAGCGCGGACAGCGGCTGCAGCTTGGATGTCATGTCGTCGCCTGCCTGTGGCCGCACCTCCTTGAGCACTCGCTTCAATGATGTGGTTCGACCCAGCTGGGTCTGAAGGGGAAAGGGAGGGAAAGGCACGGAAGGAAAGGGAAGGAGGGGGGGAAAAGGGAAGGCGCCATTTGATGCGCCTGAAGGAATGAGCCTCCTTGAGCACTTGCTTCAGCGATGTGGTGTGACCTAGCTGGGTATGAAGGGGGGAAGGGACTGGAGTGGAGTGAGGGGATGGAGAGAAACACGAAATCAGAAACCATGCCTTGTTGTTCGCCTTCCCAATAACCAATCCCCATATAGCAATGCCTCTCTCAGTAACAACTTTCCCTTTCCAATAACACCCTTCCCAAATAACTCCTCCCTGGACAAAAGACTCTTCAAACAACCAGTCCCCAAAAAACACCTTCCTCTCCTCTTCTCCATACTCACATTCTCATATAGTTTCTCCACCACACCCTGCAGGGTCGCCCTGTAAGTTGTCCTTAGCTCCACAGTCACCTCACTCAGCATCTCCCCGAATAGCACCTCCCTTCCCCCCGCCACGCCCCCTGCCCCCGCTCCCCCTGCCCCCCCTGCTCCCCCCATCCCCCCTGCCTCCGCCACTCCGCCTCCCTGCCCCCTCCCCCTTCCCCCCGCAGCCTCCCCCCATACACTCCCCCCACCAGCACCTCCCCCCATCCCAGCTCCGCCAATCCCCCCCTGTCCCCCTACACCAACCCCCCCTCCGCCTCCCCCACCTCCCCCCCCTCCGCCTCCCCCACCTCCCCCCCCTCCCCCTCCCCCTCCCCCAGCAGCAGCAGCAGCCACTCTCTTAGCCGCCGCCCCTAGCATGGCAGCAGCAGCGGCAGCAGCGGCGCCAGCAGCACTCCCCCCGCCAGAGGGGCGCTTGGGGGGGGGAGGTTGCGCTGGGGGGGGCGGATGAGGGAGGCGGGGGGGTGTTGGCGACCCACTTGCGCATCCGCAGCTCCACTGTTGGACGGAGCGTTTCGAGCATTCTCTTGATGGTGTTGAGATACACGCCCAGCTGAGGGGGAGGGACAGAGAAATGCAGAGCAGAGGGAAGGGGGGGAGAGGATGAGAAGGGGAGTGTTGGCGACCCACTTGCGCATGCGCAGCTCCACTGTTGGGCGGAGGGTCTCAAGCATTCGCTCGATGGTGTTGAGATACACTCCCAGCTGCAAGGTAAAGGGGAAGGGGCAAGGGAACGGGGGAGGGAGAAGTGCGGAGGGGAAAGGAGGCTCAGGGGCATGGGGGAAGGAGAGTGGAAGGGGGTATGTCGGACACGGGGGGTGTTGGCGACCCACTTTCCCATTCGGAGCTCCACTGTTGGACGGAGCGTTTCGAGCATTCGCTTGATGGTGTTGAGATACATTCCCAGCTGAAGGTGGGGGGGAAGAGTGATGGAAGGTAAGGCGGGGTAAGGAAGGCAGGGGAAAGCAGGAGGGAGTGTGGAGCAACAGGGGGGAGGGAGAAGGATTTGAGCATGGTTTGCTCTTTAGGATTCACGCATTCAGTTGCTCTCTATTTCCCTTCTGGCACTTCGCTCCCACTCTCTTACCCCTCATTGTCAAGCTAGACACTGAGACAAATTTTTCTCACATTGACCACACAAACAGCAGCAAGTGACGGACTCACCTCTATGGGCACTTGGTATGCGAGTGTGGGGCGGCGGCGGGACAGCATCCCAAGAAGTTTCTTCTTGGTGGAAGAGGGGGCGGAGGAGGAGGAGGAGGGGGTGTTGAGGAGGAGGAGGAAGTTTTGGAAGTGAGAGGCGAGGGAGGATATGGCTGCTCGCTCCACATCACACACCGCCTGCCATGGTGAAGCACGGAGGACAGGGATCGCACACAGACACATGGAGACGATGAGAGAGGGACAGGGCCACACGAGCCACAAGGATACATGGCAGGCATGTGAGGAGGAAGCTCTGAACGTGAGAGGCGACGGATGATATGGCTGCTCGCTCCACGTCACACGATGCCTGCAATGGTGAAGCAGCACAGAGCACAGGGATAGCACACAGACACATGCCACGATGTTCCTTGTGATCTATCATCACATGCACTGTTCCTCTCCTTTTGAGCCGACTCAAAACCAGTTCCTCTCCAATTGCAATTCCCCCTCCAATTGCTTTACTTCCCCAAACACACACTCACCTCCTCCACCAGCAGTGTGTACTGCGGCCACCGCCCCAGCACGGAGTCAAGCTCGTCTAACAGCTGTTGATCACCCCGTACACCCCCTCACAGCTAACCCCCCCCGCACCATGCCTCCCCCACTGCCCTACCCCCACCCCTTCCCCCATGCTCTCACCTCCTCCACTAGAAGGGTGTACTGCGGCCACCGCCCCAGCACGGAGTCGAGCTCGTCTAGCAGGCTGTTGATGGCCCCGTACACCTCCTCCATGAATGGCGACGTGGCGTTGCGGTCTGACATTGGAGCCAGAACTGCCCACTGTTGTGGGAGCGGGAAGGGGGGAGAGGACACAATTGTGCCACCAGCAGGCTGTTGATGGCCCCGTACACCTCCTCCATGAATGGCGACGTGGCGTTGCGGTCTGACATTGGAGCCAGAACTGCCCACTGTTGCGGGAGCGGGAAGGGGGGGAGAGGACACAATTGTGCCACCAGCAGGCTGTTGATGGCCCCGTACACCTCCTCCATGAATGGCGACGTGGCGTTGCGGTCTGACATTGGAGCCAGAACTGCCCACTGTTGTGGGAGCGGGAAGGGGGGGAGAGGACACAATTGTGCCACCAGCAGACTGTTGATGGCCCCGTACACCTCCTCCATGAATGGCGACGTGGCGTTGCGGTCTGACATGGGCGCTAGCACCGCCCACTGCATTAGGGTAGGGAGGAGGAGAGAGGGAGGGAGAGAGATCATGCGCACTCTAGGCTGTTGATGGCCCCGTACACGTCCTCCATGAATGGTGACGTGGCGTTGCGATCAGACATTGGGGCCAGCACTGCCCACTGTGGTGGGGAGAAACATTCGATTGCGATGCAAGGATGGAAGGGAGGGGAAGAGAGAGAGGTTGGTGCCACTAGCAGCACGCTGTCAATCACCCCATACACCCCATACACCCCATACACCCCATGCACCCCATACACCCCGTACACCCCGTACACCCCGTATGCCATACACCTCCTCCATAACAAGTAACGTGGCATTGCGGTTTGACATGGGCGCTAGCACTGCCCACTGCGGTAGAGGAGGGATGTGCAGAGATGGAGGGAGGGAAGAAGCGGGTGAGAAGAGGGTATCACGCGGACTGGCAGGCTGTTGATCACCCCGTACACCTCCTCCATGAATGGTGACGTGGCATTGCGGTTTGACATGGGTGCTAGCACTGCCCACTGCGTTGGGGAACGATGAGGAGGAAGATGGAGGGACACAATGAAGGGGGCAAAAGAAAGGAGGGAGCAGGAAGAGAGTAGGCGGGAGCAGAAGGAAAGTAGGCAACTGGCAGGAGGAGAGTAGGTAAGGGGCAGGAGGAAAGTAGGCAACTGGCAGGAGGAGAGTAGGCAACTGGCAGGAGGAGAGTAGGTAAGGGGCAGGAGGAAAGTAGGCAACTGGCAGGAGGAGAGTAGGCAACTGGCAGGAGGAGAGTAGGCAACTGGCAGGAGGAGAGTAGGTAAGGGGCAGGAGGAAAGTAGGCAACTGGCAGGAGGAGAGTAGGTAAGGGGCAGGAGGAAAGTAGGCAACTGGCAGGAGGAGAGTAGGTAAGGGGCAGGAGGAAAGTAGGCAACTGGCAGGAGGAGAGTAGGCAACTGGCAGGAGGAGAGTAGGTAAGGGGCAGGAGGAAAGTAGGCAACTGGCAGGAGGAGAGTAGGTAAGGGGCAGGAGGAAAGTAGGCAACTGGCAGGAGGAGAGTAGGCAACTGGCAGGAGGAGAGTAGGTAAGGGGCAGGAGGAAAGTAGGCAACTGGCAGGAGGAGAGTAGGCAACTGGCAGGAGGAGAGTAGGCAACTGGCAGGAGGAGAGTAGGTAAGGGGCAGGAGGAAAGTAGGCAACTGGCAGGAGGAGAGTAGGTAAGGGGCAGGAGGAAAGTAGGCAACTGGCAGGAGGAGAGTAGGTAAGGGGCAGGAGGAGAGTAGGCAACTGGCAGGAGGAGAGTAGGCAACTGGCAGGAGGAGAGTAGGTAAGGGGCAGGAGGAAAGTAGGCAACTGGCAGGAGGAGAGTAGGTAAGGGGCAGGAGGAAAGTAGGCAACTGGCAGGAGGAGAGTAGGTAAGGGGCAGGAGGAAAGTAGGCAACTGGCAGGAGGAGAGTAGGCAACTGGCAGGAGGAGAGTAGGTAAGGGGCAGGAGGAAAGTAGGCAACTGGCAGGAGGAGAGTAGGCAACTGGCAGGAGGAGAGTAGGTAAGGGGCAGGAGGAAAGTAGGCAACTGGCAGGAGGAGAGTAGGCAACTGGCAGGAGGAGAGTAGGCAACTGGCAGGAGGAGAGTAGGTAAGGGGCAGGAGGAAAGTAGGCAACTGGCAGGAGGAGAGTAGGTAAGGGGCAGGAGGAAAGTAGGCAACTGGCAGGAGGAGAGTAGGTAAGGGGCAGGAGGAAAGTAGGCAACTGGCAGGAGGAGAGTAGGCAACTGGCAGGAGGAGAGTAGGTAAGGGGCAGGAGGAAAGTAGGCAACTGGCAGGAGGAGAGTAGGTAAGGGGCAGGAGGAAAGTAGGCAACTGGCAGGAGGAGAGTAGGCAACTGGCAGGAGGAGAGTAGGTAAGGGGCAGGAGGAAAGTAGGCAACTGGCAGGAGGAGAGTAGGCAACTGGCAGGAGGAGAGTAGGTAAGGGGCAGGAGGAAAGTAGGCAACTGGCAGGAGGAAAGTAGGCAACTGGCAGGAGGAGAGTAGGCAACTGGCAGGAGGAGAGTAGGTAAGGGGCAGGAGGAAAGTAGGCAACTGGCAGGAGGAGAGTAGGTAAGGGGCAGGAGGAAAGTAGGCAACTGGCAGGAGGAGAGTAGGTAAGGGGCAGGAGGAGAGTAGGCAACTGGCAGGAGGAGAGTAGGCAACTGGCAGGAGGAGAGTAGGTAAGGGGCAGGAGGAAAGTAGGCAACTGGCAGGAGGAGAGTAGGTAAGGGGCAGGAGGAAAGTAGGCAACTGGCAGGAGGAGAGTAGGTAAGGGGCAGGAGGAAAGTAGGCAAGGGGCAGGAGGAAAGTAGGTAAGGGGCAGGAGGAGAGTAAGTAAGGGGCAGGAGGAGAGTAGGTAAGGGGCAGGAGGAAAGTAGGTAAGGGGCAGGAGGAGAGTAGGTAAGGGGCAGGAGGAAAGTAGGCAACTGGCAGGAGGAGAGTAGGTAAGGGGCAGGAGGAAAGTAGGCAACTGGCAGGAGGAGAGTAGGTAAGGGGCAGGAGGAAAGTAGGCAAGGGGCAGGAGGAGAGTAGGTAAGGGGCAGGAGGAGAGTAGGTAAGGGGCAGGAGGAGAGTAGGTAAGGGGCAGGAGGAGAGTAGGTAAGGGGCAGGAGGAGAGTAGGTAAGGGGCAGGAGGAAAGTAGGCAACTGGCAGGAGGAGAGTAGGTAAGGGGCAGGAGGAAAGTAGGCAAGGGGCAGGAGCAAAGTAGGCAAGGGGCAGGAGGAGAGTAGGTAAGGGGCAGGAGGAGAGTAGGTAAGGGGCAGGAGGAGAGTAGGTAAGGGGCAGGATGAAAGTAGGCAAGGGGCAGGAGGAAAGTAGGTAAGGGGCAGGAGGAGAGTAGGTAAGGGGCAGGAGGAGAGTAGGTAAGGGGCAGGAGGAAAGTAGGCAACTGGCAGGAGGAGAGTAGGTAAGGGGCAGGAGGAAAGTAGGCAACTGGCAGGAGGAGAGTAGGTAAGGGGCAGGAGGAAAGTAGGCAAGGGGCAGGAGGAAAGTAGGTAAGGGGCAGGAGGAGAGTAGGTAAGGGGCAGGAGGAGAGTAGGTAAGGGGCAGGAGGAGAGTAGGTAAGGGGCAGGAGGAGAGTAGGTAAGGGGCAGGAGGAGAGTAGGTAAGGGGCAGGAGGAAAGTAGGCAACTGGCAGGAGGAGAGTAGGTAAGGGGCAGGAGGAAAGTAGGCAAGGGGCAGGAGCAAAGTAGGCAAGGGGCAGGAGGAGAGTAGGTAAGGGGCAGGAGGAGAGTAGGTAAGGGGCAGGAGGAGAGTAGGTAAGGGGCAGGAGGAAAGTAGGCAAGGGGCAGGAGGAAAGTAGGTAAGGGGCAGGAGGAGAGTAGGTAAGGGGCAGGAGGAAAGTAGGCAACTGGCAGGAGGAGAGTAGGTAAGGGGCAGGAGGAAAGTAGGCAACTGGCAGGAGGAGAGTAGGTAAGGGGCAGGAGGAAAGTAGGCAAGGGGCAGGAGGAAAGTAGGTAAGGGGCAGGAGGAGAGTAGGTAAGGGGCAGGAGGAGAGTAGGTAAGGGGCAGGAGGAGAGTAGGTAAGGGGCAGGAGGAAAGTAGGCAAGGGGCAGGAGGAAAGTAGGTAAGGAGCAGGAGGAGAGTAGGTAAGGGGCAGGAGGAAAGTAGGCAACTGGCAGGAGGAGAGTAGGTAAGGGGCAGGAGGAAAGTAGGCAACTGGCAGGAGGAGAGTAGGTAAGGGGCAGGAGGAAAGTAGGCAAGGGGCAGGAGGAAAGTAGGTAAGGGGCAGGAGGAGAGTAGGTAAGGGGCAGGAGGAGAGTAGGTAAGGGGCAGGAGGAGAGTAGGTAAGGGGCAGGAGGAGAGTAGGTAAGGGGCAGGAGGAAAGTAGGCAAGGGGCAGGAGGAAAGTAGGTAAGGGGCAGGAGGAGAGTAGGTAAGGGGCAGGAGGAGAGTAGGTAAGGGGCAGGAGGAAAGTAGGCAACTGGCAGGAGGAAAGTAGGCAACTGGCAGGAGGAGAGTAGGTAAGGGGCAGGAGGAAAGTAGGCAACTGGCAGGAGGAGAGTAGGTAAGGGGCAGGAGGAAAGTAGGCAAGGGGCAGGAGGAAAGTAGGTAAGGGGCAGGAGGAGAGTAGGTAAGGGGCAGGAGGAGAGTAGGTAAGGGGCAGGAGGAGAGTAGGTAAGGGGCAGGATGAAAGTAGGCAAGGGGCAGGAGGAAAGTAGGTAAGGGGCAGGAGGAGAGTAGGTAAGGGGCAGGAGGAGAGTAGGTAAGGGGCAGGAGGAAAGTAGGCAACTGGCAGGAGGAGAGTAGGTAAGGGGCAGGAGGAGAGTAGGCAACTGGCAGGAGGAGAGTAGGTAAGGGGCAGGAGGAAAGTAGGCAAGGGGCAGGAGGAAAGTAGGTAAGGGGCAGGAGGAGAGTAGGTAAGGGGCAGGAGGAGAGTAGGTAAGGGGCAGGAGGAGAGTAGGTAAGGGGCAGGAGGAAAGTAGGCAAGGGGCAGGAGGAAAGTAGGTAAGGGGCAGGAGGAGAGTAGGTAAGGGGCAGGAGGAAAGTAGGCAACTGGCAGGAGGAGAGTAGGTAAGGGGCAGGAGGAAAGTAGGCAAGGGGCAGGAGGAAAGTAGGTAAGGGGCAGGAGGAGAGTAGGTAAGGGGCAGGAGGAGAGTAGGTAAGGGGCAGGAGGAAAGTAGGCAACTGGCAGGAGGAGAGTAGGTAAGGGGCAGGAGGAAAGTAGGCAACTGGCAGGAGGAGAGTAGGTAAGGGGCAGGAGGAAAGTAGGCAAGGGGCAGGAGGAAAGTAGGTAAGGGGCAGGAGGAGAGTAGGTAAGGGGCAGGAGGAGAGTAGGTAAGGGGCAGGAGGAAAGTAGGTAAGGGGCAGGAGGAGAGTAGGTAAGGGGCAGGAGGAGAGTAGGTAAGGGGCAGGAGGAAAGTAGGCAACTGGCAGGAGGAGAGTAGGTAAGGGGCAGGAGGAAAGTAGGCAAGGGGCAGGAGGAAAGTAGGTAAGGGGCAGGAGGAGAGTAGGTAAGGGGCAGGAGGAGAGTAGGTAAGGGGCAGGAGGAAAGTAGGCAACTGGCAGGAGGAGAGTAGGTAAGGGGCAGGAGGAAAGTAGGCAAGGGGCAGGAGGAAAGTAGGTAAGGGGCAGGAGGAGAGTAGGTAAGGGGCAGGAGGAGAGTAGGTAAGGGGCAGGAGGAAAGTAGGCAACTGGCAGGAGGAGAGTAGGTAAGGGGCAGGAGGAGAGTAGGTAAGGGGCAGGAGGAAAGTAGGCAAGGGGCAGGAGGAAAGTAGGTAAGGGGCAGGAGGAGAGTAGGTAAGGGGCAGGAGGAGAGTAGGTAAGGGGCAGGAGGAAAGTAGGCAACTGGCAGGAGGAGAGTAGGTAAGGGGCAGGAGGAAAGTAGGCAAGGGGCAGGAGGAAAGTAGGTAAGGGGCAGGAGGAGAGTAGGTAAGGGGCAGGAGGAGAGTAGGTAAGGGGCAGGAGGAAAGTAGGCAACTGGCAGGAGGAGAGTAGGTAAGGGGCAGGAGGAAAGTAGGCAAGGGGCAGGAGGAAAGTAGGTAAGGGGCAGGAGGAGAGTAGGTAAGGGGCAGGAGGAAAGTAGGCAACTGGCAGGAGGAGAGTAGGTAAGGGGCAGGAGGAAAGTAGGTAAGGGGCAGGAGGAAAGTAGGTAAGGGGCAGGAGGAGAGTAGGTAAGGGGCAGGAGGAGAGTAGGTAAGGGGCAGGAGGAAAGTAGGCAACTGGCAGGAGGAGAGTAGGTAAGGGGCAGGAGGAGAGTAGGTAAGGGGCAGGAGGAAAGTAGGCAAGGGGCAGGAGGAAAGTAGGTAAGGGGCAGGAGGAGAGTAGGTAAGGGGCAGGAGGAGAGTAGGTAAGGGGCAGGAGGAAAGTAGGCAACTGGCAGGAGGTGAGTAGGTAAGGGGCAGGAGGAAAGTAGGCAAGGGGCAGGAGGAAAGTAGGTAAGGGGCAGGAGGAGAGTAGGTAAGGGGCAGGAGGAAAGTAGGCAAGGGGCAGGAGGAAAGTAGGTAAGGGGCAGGAGGAAAGTAGGTAAGGGGCAGGAGGAGAGTAGGTAAGGGGCAGGAGGAGAGTAGGTAAGGGGCAGGAGGAAAGTAGGCAACTGGCAGGAGGAGAGTAGGTAAGGGGCAGGAGGAGAGTAGGTAAGGGGCAGGAGGAAAGTAGGCAAGGGGCAGGAGGAAAGTAGGTAAGGGGCAGGAGGAGAGTAGGTAAGGGGCAGGAGGAGAGTAGGTAAGGGGCAGGAGGAAAGTAGGCAACTGGCAGGAGGAGAGTAGGTAAGGGGCAGGAGGAAAGTAGGCAAGGGGCAGGAGGAAAGTAGGTAAGGGGCAGGAGGAGAGTAGGTAAGGGGCAGGAGGAAAGTAGGCAAGGGGCAGGAGGAAAGTAGGTAAGGGGCAGGAGGAAAGTAGGTAAGGGGCAGGAGGAGAGTAGGTAAGGGGCAGGAGGAGAGTAGGTAAGGGGCAGGAGGAAAGTAGGCAACTGGCAGGAGGAGAGTAGGTAAGGGGCAGGAGGAAAGTAGGCAAGGGGCAGGAGGAAAGTAGGTAAGGGGCAGGAGGAGAGTAGGTAAGGGGCAGGAGGAAAGTAGGCAACTGGCAGGAGGAGAGTAGGTAAGGGGCAGGAGGAAAGTAGGTAAGGGGCAGGAGGAAAGTAGGTAAGGGGCAGGAGGAGAGTAGGTAAGGGGCAGGAGGAGAGTAGGTAAGGGGCAGGAGGAAAGTAGGCAACTGGCAGGAGGAGAGTAGGTAAGGGGCAGGAGGAGAGTAGGTAAGGGGCAGGAGGAAAGTAGGCAAGGGGCAGGAGGAAAGTAGGTAAGGGGCAGGAGGAGAGTAGGTAAGGGGCAGGAGGAGAGTAGGTAAGGGGCAGGAGGAAAGTAGGCAACTGGCAGGAGGTGAGTAGGTAAGGGGCAGGAGGAAAGTAGGCAAGGGGCAGGAGGAAAGTAGGTAAGGGGCAGGAGGAGAGTAGGTAAGGGGCAGGAGGAAAGTAGGCAAGGGGCAGGAGGAAAGTAGGTAAGGGGCAGGAGGAAAGTAGGTAAGGGGCAGGAGGAGAGTAGGTAAGGGGCAGGAGGAGAGTAGGTAAGGGGCAGGAGGAAAGTAGGCAACTGGCAGGAGGAGAGTAGGTAAGGGGCAGGAGGAGAGTAGGTAAGGGGCAGGAGGAAAGTAGGCAAGGGGCAGGAGGAAAGTAGGTAAGGGGCAGGAGGAGAGTAGGTAAGGGGCAGGAGGAGAGTAGGTAAGGGGCAGGAGGAAAGTAGGCAACTGGCAGGAGGAGAGTAGGTAAGGGGCAGGAGGAAAGTAGGCAAGGGGCAGGAGGAAAGTAGGTAAGGGGCAGGAGGAGAGTAGGTAAGGGGCAGGAGGAAAGTAGGCAAGGGGCAGGAGGAAAGTAGGTAAGGGGCAGGAGGAAAGTAGGTAAGGGGCAGGAGGAGAGTAGGTAAGGGGCAGGAGGAAAGTAGGTAGGGGCAGTACACACCTTGGGAGCTTGCCAGACGTCGATGAGAGTGTGGGTGCGCTCTCTGATCCATGCCTCCACGTACACTCCGAATATCGGAGCACGAGGAGGGTAAGAAGGAGCAGCACACATCTTGGCAGCAGCACACACCTTGGGAGCAGCAAACACCTTAGGGAGAGTAGGAGAGGGCAGCACACACCTTGGGAGCTCGGCAGACGTCCATGAGAGTGTGGGTGCGTTCTCTGATCCATGCCTCCACGTACACTCCGAACAGCTCCCTTGCGTCTAAGCCTCCAGGTACTTTGCTGCTCGAGATGACAAGGGGGATAAGGCAGGGAGAGGGATGGGAGGCCGTTGGGAAGGGAAAAGAGACAGATGGGAAGGGAAGAGAGACAGATTGGAGATAACGGGAATAGGATGAGGAGGTGATAGCATGCAAACACGAATGGAAACCAGCAATGGCACACCGTTTAGCGTGGTAGGACGCGTCGACCTGAGAAATTCCATTTTAACAATAATCGGAATTATCAATGCAGATGGTACTTTTGTTTTGATAATCAGTAATATAACAAGATGAAATCTTCAAGAAAAAATAGGGCGAGATGCTCAAGGCAGATGGTCGCCACTGCAAGCGGGGAGAGCAGGACCATCTCCACTACAGCGTACTTTACCTCCATCACAACCTCTAGGTGATCAAAACCGGTGATCTAAAAGTTGGACTTCGAAACTTCAAGAGTTGCATGGAGGCTTTAAAATTCATGGAGCGGACGTTTCTAGTGTACTTCCCTAGCTCATTCCCCTACGTGTACAAGTATGTCACGGAAGCGGATATCGCCAAGATGGAGAGGAGCAGAATAGCCACTACCTTAATTTCTAGCCTGTCCTTTTCCACCGTGGCGATATCCTTTTCCGTGACATGCTTGAACACGTGGCAAACGCGCTAGGAAAGTACACTAGAAACGCTCGCTCCATAAACTCAAAAGCCTCCATGCGACTCTTGACGCTTCAAAGGAATAGCTTTAAATCACCCTTTTTCTTGGCGTAAAAGGTTGTGATGGAGGTGAAATACATTGAAGTAGAGATAGACCTGCTCTCCCCACTTGCGGTGGCGCTCATCTGTCTTGAGCATTTCGACCAAATTTCTCAACCCACCATGGCCTCACAACACAAGTGTAAGCACGATGTCTCACCCCTCATCCCATGATCATCTTATCTACAATGCTTCACTCACCCCACGCCCCACAGCATGAGCCGATCCTCCACGTCCGCAGTGGCGTGCAGCAGGTTCTTGACATGTGGCAGCGGGTGCTGAGGTGGCACCGCCAGCAAGAATTGGTTGATTCGCCTCTGCAGCTCCACCATGTACACACTGGCTGTCAGTTCGGGGAGATCCACGAAGCTGAAGGAAGGGGAGGAGTAAAGGATGAAGAGGCTGGGTTGGAGTCAACTCAGAGCCAGCAGCTCCACCATGTACACGCCCGCTGTCAGCTCGGGCAGATCGACAAAACTGACATAGGAGGGAAGGGAGGGATAAAAGGAAGAAGAGGTTAAGATGAGGGGTCAAATCTAAGCCTGCAAGTTCAAGTCTGTCTGTCTTCTGCAGCTCCACCACGTACACGCCCGCTGTCAACTTGGGGAGATCGACAAAGCTGGGAGCGGGATCAAAGAGCGGAGAGGTAGAGGGTTCAAATCCAAGACTGTAAGTGTGATTCCTTCCGACTGCCTTCTGCATCTCCACCATGTACTCACCCGCTGTCAGCCCAGGTAGATCGACATAACTGAAGGGGGGGAGGGGTCAAGAACGAAGAGGTTGGGTTGGGGTGAACTCAAATCCTGCAGCGAGTGCAGTTTCTTCTGCATCTCCACCATGTACTCACCCGCTGTCAGCTCAGGTAGATCCACGAAGCTGTGGGGGGATGAGACAAGAGCGAAGGATAAGGAAAGATGGGGAGAAAGGAAGGAACGAACAAAGGAGGGAGGGAGGGAAGGAAGGTGCTCAACGCTTCTGAAAAAATGCCTTCCTTTGATCCACCATGCACGCGCCAGCTGTCAGACTGGGCAGATTAATATAGCTGAAAGGGGGATCAAAGGACGGCACAGCACCAACATTCCCCCACCCCCTCTTCCCCAGCTCCGCACACAGCAACACCCCTGGGCAGTATGTGCTGCTTGTGAATGCATATGTCCGCCTGCACCTCATGACTCATGAGCACCTGAGGGCACACACACTTGCTTGCACCCACATGCCAAAACCGCACCAACCCACACACAAGCCCACACATCACCCCACCTGGGAAGGATGTGCTGGTTGTGAATGCCTATATCCGCCTGCACCTCCCTCCACATGGCCACACACGCACTCGCAACCCCACGTCACACCAGCACCGCCCTACACACACTAAACCGCACACAAGCACACACAGCATTCCACCTGGGAAGGATGTGTTGGTTGTGAATGCCTATATCCGCCTGCACCTCCCTCCACATGGCCACACACGCCAGTCGCATGCTCCCATACGCCTCCCTCTGCTCCTCCATATCCCCCCCCTCCCCTCCCCGCATCGCCCCCCTCCCCATCCCGCCTGCTCCCCCCATTCCCCCGCCCCCTCCTCCCCCTCTCCCCCTGCCTCCCCCCGGACTGCACCCCATGCCCGCTTGCCCCTGCCCCTGCCCCTGCGCCTGCCCTTGCAAGCTGCTGCTACCAGTGCCAAGGCAGAACGTGCCGTTGACATATTCGTCGGTCTCTGATAAGTGTTGTCTGCACCGCCGCCGCGCTGCTGTCTGGAATGGGGAGAGAGGTGTGGGGAATGGGGAGAGAGGTGTGGGGAATGGGGAGAGAGGTGTGGGGAATGGGGAGAGAGGTGTGGGGAATGGGGAGAGAGGTGTGGGGAATGGGGAGAGAGGTGTGGGGAATGGGGAGAGAGGTGTGGGGAATGGGGAGAGAGGTGTGGGGAATGGGGAGAGAGGTGTGGGGAAAGGGGAGAGAGGTGTGGGGAAAGGAGGCAGAACGTGCCATTGACGTATTCGTCCGTCTCTGATAAGTGCTGCCGGCACCATCGCCGCGTTGCTGTCTGGAAACAGGGAGGGAGAGGAGAATGGGGGAGGTGGGAAGGCGAGGCAAGCAGGCAGTCTCTGACGTATTCGTCAGAACATGGGGGAGGGGGCAGAACGTGCCGTTGACGTATTCGTCTGTCTCTGACAGGTGCTGCCTGCACCGCCGCCGCGCTGCTGTCTGTGTGGGGAAGGAGCGGGGTGGAGGGGGGGAGGGGGGTGGGGGAGAGGCAAGGAGAATGTGGGATGCCAGTGGGACGGGACCAACCAGGCAGAACGCGCATGTATTCATCGGTTTCCGACAAGTGCTGCCGGCACCGCCGCCGCGATGCCGTCTGTGTGGGGGAGAGGTGAATGGGGAAGGTAGCAAGGTAGGGGGTAAGTGGGCCGACTGTGCCTCAAATGTAATTGAGACTGTTTCTGATGATTGGCGCTGCAGCCGCACTGCTGTCTGTTTGAGGAAAGAGATTCGGATAGGGTCATGGCGGCCAGAAGGAAGGAGGGAGGAGAGAGGGGGGATGATGAACGTATACTCGTATGTTTCACTTGCAGATACCCTCAAAAGCACTCACCTGCAGGTATCCGCAGAACTGCTGCTGCACCTCTGGCAGCAGCAGGTCGTTCAGCAGCCCAAACAGTTGCACAGCGGGGGGGATAGCCGGCGCCACCAGTGCTGCGGCCTCTGCCCCCACCAGCGATCGCCCCAGGGAGGCACACAGGTGGGTGGCGGAGCGGGACGAATCAGCGATGCCTGAAGGGGAAGCCTCGCTGAGAGACTTGTAGCTCTCGAATGTGAGTTGCAGGAGGTCGCCCACTCTCTCTTCCATGTCTGCTAGCATGCGCGCCTGGGGTAGGAAGGACAGAGGGGTGCAGGGAGGTGGATAGTGGCTCAGAGGAGTAGCCGGCGCCACCAGTGTTGCCGCCTCTGCCCCCACCAGAGATCGCCCCAGGGAGGAACACAGGTGGGTGGCGGAGTGGGAGGAGTCGGCGATGCCTGAAGGGGATGACTCGCTGAGAGACTTGTAGCTCTCGAATGTGAGTTGCAGGAGGTCGCCCACTTTCTCCTCCATATCTGCTAGCATACGCGCCTACAGCAGAAGGGAAAGAGGAAGGGGAGGGGGAGGGGAAACATAGAGGAGTGCAGAGAGGTCTGTAGCGGTGATGAGGGGGTCGCCCACCCAACCCTCCATGCCTGCTAGCATGCGCGCCTGGGATGGGGGGAGGGAAGGGCGGCGGGGAGGAACACAGAGGGGAACACACAGTAACAGGGTTCAGATATGGATGGCAGAGATTGGTAGGATCGGGCGATGGAGGATCGGGCAGAGATTGGGAGGAGGGGGCGATGCCTGATCTGAAGGGTTAGGGAGGATCGGCGAGGGAGGGAAGCAGGGTTGAAGGGGAGGAACAGGAAGGAGTGGCGAGGAGGAGAGGAGGGAGGAGAGGAGGGAGGAGAGGAGGGAGTGGATTGAGGGGAGAGGAGGAAAGGGGTCAGTGTGAGTGATGCTAGAGAGGAGAGGAGGAGAGGAGGAGAGGAGGAGAGGAGGAGAGGAGGAGAGGAGGAGAGGAGGAGAGGAGGAGAGGAGGAGAGGAGGAGAGGAGGAGAGGAGGAGAGGAGGAGAGGAGGAGAGGAGGAGAGGAGGAGAGGAGGAGAGGAGGAGAGGAGGAGAGGAGGAGAGGAGGAGAGGAGGAGAGGAGGAGAGGAGGAGAGGAGGAGAGGAGGAGAGGAGGAGAGGAGGAGAGGAGGAGAGGAGGAGAGGAGGAGAGGAGGAGAGGAGGAGAGGAGGAGAGGAGGAGAGGAGGAGAGGAGGAGAGGAGGAGAGGAGGAGAGGAGGAGAGGAGGAGAGGAGGAGAGGAGGAGAGGAGGAGAGGAGGAGAGGAGGAGAGGAGGAGAGGAGGAGAGGAGGAGAGGAGGAGAGGAGGAGAGGAGGAGAGGAGGAGAGGAGGAGAGGAGGAGAGGAGGAGAGGAGGAGAGGAGGAGAGGAGGAGAGGAGGAGAGGAGGAGAGGAGGAGAGGAGGAGAGGAGGAGAGGAGGAGAGGAGGAGAGGAGGAGAGGAGGAGAGGAGGAGAGGAGGAGAGGAGGAGAGGAGGAGAGGAGGAGAGGAGGAGAGGAGGAGAGGAGGAGAGGAGGAGAGGAGGAGAGGAGGAGAGGAGGAGAGGAGGAGAGGAGGAGAGGAGGAGAGGAGGAGAGGAGGCGGGAGGAGGAGAGGAGGGAGGAGGAGGAGAGGAGGAGAGGAGGAGAGGAGGAGAGGAGGAGAGGAGGAGAGGAGGAGAGGAGGAGAGGAGGAGAGGAGGAGAGGAGGAGAGGAGGAGAGGAGGAGAGGAGGAGAGGAGGAGAGGAGGAGAGGAGGAGAGGAGGAGAGGAGGAGAGGAGGAGAGGAGGAAGAGGAGGAGAGGAGAGGAGGAGGAGAGGAGGAGAGGAGGAGAGGAGGAGAGGAGGAGAGGAGGAGAGGAGGAGAGGAGGAGAGGAGGAGAGGAGGAGAGGAGGAGAGGAGGAGAGGAGGAGAGGAGGAGAGGAGGAGAGGAGGAGAGGAGGAGAGGAGGAGAGGAGGAGAGGAGGGGAAGCACTGTGATGAGACACCTGTTGTGTACGCTTCTCAACCAGGTTGCTGTTTATCCTTCACACTCGCTCACACTCGAATAGGATTACTCACCTCCTGTTTAGTCACACTGGGTGCTTCTCAACCAGGTGCTTCTCAACCAGGTGCTTCTCAACCAGGTGCTTCTCAACCAGGTGCTTCTCAACCAGGTGCTTCTCAACCAGGTGCTTCTCAACCAGGTGCTTCTCAACCAGGTGCTTCTCAACCAGGTGCTTCTCAACCAGGTGCTTCTCAACCAGGTGCTTCTCAACCAGGTGCTTCTCAACCAGGTGCTTCTCAACCAGGTGCTTCTCAACCAGGTGCTTCTCAACCAGGTGCTTCTCAACCAGGTGCTTCTCAACCAGGTGCTTCTCAACCAGGTGCTTCTCAACCAGGTGCTTCTCAACCAGGTGCTTCTCAACCAGGTGCTTCTCAACCAGGTGCTTCTCAACCAGGTGCTTCTCAACCAGGTGCTTCTCAACCAGGTGCTTCTCAACCAGGTGCTTCTCAACCAGGTGCTTCTCAACCAGGTGCTTCTCAACCAGGTGCTTCTCAACCAGGTGCTTCTCAACCAGGTGCTTCTCAAACAGGTGCTTTCTCAACCAGGTTGCTGTTTATCCTATCGCTCACAGTCGAATAGGATTACTCACCTCCTGTTTAGTCACACTGCTGCCGTCACTGTCATGCGCATGCAGCACCGGTGCCAACAGCTGGTGGATGAGGGTGAGGCAGTCGGCTGTTGGTGTTGCCACGTCCATCACACGCGTGAGGTACCTGCACACAACGAAGCATACAAGGGCATAAGTGAAAAGAGCAAGAGAGGGATGGGTGGGAGACTGGGATTGAGGCACTGTCATGTGCATGCAGCACCGGAGCCAACACCGGAGGCAGTCGGCCGTTGGTGTTGCCACGTCCATCACACGAGTGAGGTACCTGCGGGGGAAAGAAGGTGAAGATATTGAGATAAACAGTGGGAAGCAAGGGGTGGAGGTTGGAGCGGTTGGAGATCGAGGGAGTGAGGCAGTCGGCTGTGGGTGTTGCCACGTCCATCACTCGAGTGAGGTACCTGCGTCAAGGGGACATGCATGGATGGAGACGGACAGAGGTGAACGGAGCAACAGAGGGATGGGTGGGTAGGATGGGACACTGTCATGTGCATGCAGCACCGGTGTCAACAGCTTGTGGATCAGAGTAAGGTGGTCGGATGTTGGTGTTGACTCAAAAGTCAACAGCTTGTGGATCAGAGTAAGGCAGTCTGCTGTTGATGTTGCCACGCCATAGCAGGGCAAAGCGCAATTCACCTAAGCTTGGTGTAGTGCGGGGACACCCCATAGCAGATAGCAGACTGGCCGCACAGCCACTCCCAGGGGCCCGAGAGGCGGAGGTTGCGAGCAAGGGGTGTTGGCAGGATTCGAGCTATGAGCTTCACTTGTCCCAGGCTAAAAAGGATTTACCTGAGCTTGGTGTAGTGTGGCAACACCCCATAGCAGGTAGCTGGTCGCACAGCCACTCCCAGGGGCCGGAGAGGCGGAGGTCGCAAGCAAGGGGTGTTGGGCTGAGAGATAGGATCTAAGCTAAGCGCACCTGAGTTTGGTGTAGTGTGGGGACACCCCATAGCACGTAGCGAACTGGTCGCACAGCCACTCCCAGGGGCCGGAGAGGCGGAGGTTGTGCGCGTGGAAGCCCTGAGCTGCCATGGCTGCTGCTAGCACCCAGTCGTATGCTGCTGACTCCGTGATGGGCTGGCACTGGTGGTGGGGGAGGTGGAAGAGAGGAGAGAAGGGGGCAGCAGCATGATGGGAAATGGTTGTTAGCACTGGTTGTGGGGGGATGGGGACGTGAAAAGGAGAAAGAAGCAGTGTGGTGGATAGGAAAGTACATTCTCTCTGCCCAAAAAGGTTGTTTATTTTAGTGTTTCTTTTTTTACTTCACGAGCTCGCAGCGATCTCTCGACATTGTTTTTATTTTGATGACCACATCGAGACACACCCCCCCACAAACATGACCGCACAGTCCCTCACAAACCCTCACACACTCTCACACACCCTCACACACTCTCACACACTCACACACACTCACACACTCTCACGCACCCTCACATACCAACACACACCGTCACCCACTCCCACACACCCACCGCACCTGCGTGCCATAGTCCCTGGCACAGGGCACGAGCGAAACAGCACATCCACAACACAACACCCCCGTATCCCCTCTCACACCTGCACACCGCATTACGCACCTCTGTGCCATAGTCCCTGGCACAGGGCACGAGCGACACGGCGATCTGCACACGAGCCACCTCCTGCTGACACGTGTCCCTCACTGCCAGCCAATGGCAGCGCTGCGACAGTGACACGTGGGCACCCGGGTGCTGAGGGGGTAGAGTGTGAGAGCGGAGGGGGGGGCGAGGAGGGGGAAGGGGAAATGAGGGAAGAGGGCGACAACAGAAGGGGGGAGAGGGCGACAACAGAAAGGGGGAGAGGGCGACAGTGACACGTGGGCACCTGGGTGCTGATGGTAGATTGTGCAGTAGAGGTGGAAGGAAGAGAAAGGGGAGGGGGCGAAAGGGCGGGAGGTTAGGGGGGTTGGGGACAAGAAGCAGCAGGTTCAGAGGAGCGTTGGTTTTAGTAACAGCCAAGGGCCGTGGTGAGACAGCCACACTTTGACAATCATTCACATGTTTATCCCCACTCACCAGTTCACCCCTTATCACGCACCAATTCACCCCCCTAATCACTCATTCATTCCTGATCACCTTTTATCACCCGCCCTATCACCCTGTCACTCACGTCTGGCAATCACTGCAATTATGCACCCCTTATCACTCCCCCCATCACTTCTTATCACTAACCCCTTCGTCCATGAGCGTAGCCGCAGGCACCGTGGCGTGCCCCCTCAACCCACTGCGATCATGCACCTCCACCACCACTTCTTGTCTATCGCTCTCCACAGGTCTGAATGGAAGGGAGGGGAGAACGGTGGAGTGGGGCAAAGGAGCACTAGTGTTGGGCACAGGTGTAAGGTATTGTAACTGTCCCCGGCACCCACTGCGACCATGCACTCCACCACCACTTCTTGTCTATCGCTCTCCACAGGTCTGAATGGAAGGGAGGGGAGAACGGTGGAGTGGGGCAAAGGAGCACTAGTGTTGGGCACAGGTGTAAGGTATTGTAACTGTCCCCGGCACCCACTGCGACCATGCACTCCACCACCACCTCCTGTCTATCGCTCTCCACAGGTCTGCTTGTTAAGGAAGGGGCGGGAAGAGATGAAAGGGAGGAATACAGGCGCGAGGGAATTGTGATGCTGTGTTCACCCTCCACCATGTTTGCTTGCATCTGTTCACCCTCCACCATGTTTGCTTGCATCTGTTCACCCTCCACCATGTGTGAGTCGACTCGACAGTCACCACAATGAGGGGAGATGAATTTGGCGCTGTGGTCCCACTGATTCAGATGTGGGGTGTTGGGTGTGTGCAGCGTGGCTTACAGGTTGATGCAGTGGTGGGTGTGTGCAGCGTGGCTTACAGGTTGATGCAGTGGTGGGTGTGTGCAGCGTGGCTTACAGGTTGATGCAGTGGTGGGTGTGTGCAGCGTGGCTTACAGGTTGATGCAGTGGTGGGTGTGTGCAGCGTGGCTTACAGGTTGATGCAGTGGTGGGTGTGTGCAGCATGGCTTACAGGTTGATGCAGTGGTGGGTGTGTGCAGCATGGCTTACAGTTTGATGCAGTGGTGGGTGTGTGCAGCATGGCTTACAGGTTGATGCAGTGGTGGGTGTGTGCAGCATGGCTTACAGGTTGATGCAGTGGTGGGTGTGTGCAGCATGGCTTACAGGTTGATGCAGTGGTGGGTGTGTGCAGCGTGGCTTACAGGTTGATGCAGTGGTGGGTGTTGGGTGTGTGCAGCGTGGCTTACAGGTTGATGCAGTGGTGGGTGTTGGGGTTGACTCTCCGTGCTTCACCCTCCTCTGATGGGCATCGCACGGCCACCAGCACTCCCTCTGGACACAACAAGTGGACCAACATGGAGAGAGGAGTAGACAAAGGAGAATGTGAGCAGAGGAGGGTGTGGAGTGGAGCAGTGGTGTGGTCTGCTGGGTGTTGGAAATGACCCTCCGTGCTTCACCCGCCTCCTCTGATGGGCATCGCACGGCCACCAGCACTCCCTCTGGGAAGAGGAATTGGCAGGGAGAAAGAGTAGTATGTGAAGGAGAATGAGAGCAGAGGAGGGAGTGCAGCAGTGGTGTGGTGTGGTGTGTGTTGCAAGAGGTTTGGTGTGTGTTGCGAGAGGTTTGGCCATCTGTGTGTTGCGAGAGGTTTGGCCGAACGTGCTTCACCCTCCCTTTCTTTCTGATGGGCATCGCACGGCCACCAGCACTCCCTCTGAAAGCAACAATGATGCATGGGACAAAGCACACAGGGGGAATCACCCGGGCCACATGACCACTCACCTGGAGCGGCAGTGGTGGCTTCAGCAGCCAGCCCCCTGAGGTTCGCCATACCCCCCTTGATCTGCCGCATCATGCTGCTCACCGCACCCCCTGCCCCCCCTGTCCCGCCTGCTCCCCCTGCTGTTCCCCTGCGCTCCCCTGGTTCTCGCCTTCCCCCTGACCTTCGCCCCCGCCTCTTCCCTCGTCCCCCTTGCTTGTCATGCGCACCTTGCGCACTGGGGGGTTGGTGGGGGAAATGGAGGAGATTGGGGGGAGGGGAGGAGATTGGGGGGAGGGGAGGAGATTGGGCGGAGATTTGGGAGAGATTGGATGAAAACGGCTGATTAAGGAGAAAAAGAAGTGAAAGGGCCAGGAGATTGGGGTTATATTGTGGGGAGAATGGGGCTGGATTGGGCAGAGATTAGCTGGGAAGGGTAGATAAGAGGGAAATTGAGCAGAAAAGAAAGACTGAAGGTGCGAAGAGATGGGAGTCTGGGATAAATGGGAGATGGGGGGGTGGCGGAAGGGGGAAAGAGCGGTGGTGAGGGGAGGGGAGATGGGTTGGGAAGGAGGCGCGATAAGAGGTTTGGGAGGAGGCGGATGAGGGGGTGCGGGTGGAAGGGCTGTCTATAGACAGAATCAGTGCGACCCACCTTGCAGCTTCAGCGTGCCAATGCCGCGGTTTCTCTTTCGAGCTGACGAGTGGCCGTACGGTGTGAGAGGCGAGCTGGAGAACCCATGCAATGGGGACGAGCCCTCATCCCCACCCCTGGCACCCCCTCCCCCTCCTCCTCCCGCTCCTCCTCCACCTCCCCCTGCCCCCTGCCTGTCACTGGCGTCTGCCGCGTTTCGAGCACTCACAGGCACCAGCATGAGTGGCTGGAGACTGGGAGGGGAGATGCGGGAAGGGAAGGAAGATGGTGACATTAGTGGAAGGGATGGGAGGGAAGGAGGGAGACTGTGGGGAGGAAGGTTCAGAGCACCAGTCTGTGCGTTGAGCAGACACAGGTACCAGCATGAGCGGCTGGAAACTGGGGGGTGATGGAGGGAAGGAGAGCAGCAAAAGGTGGGGAGGGGAGGGAAGGAGGGTGGGAAGAGTAGCAAAAGGCGGGGAACAGGAAGGTGAAGACAGGTTGCAGTTGAGTTGAATCAAAAGGCAGTTCCTGGCGCAACCTCTTGTGTGATAAGTCGAGCTTTGAGTCGACTCAACACTCGACTTATCACACAAGGTGGGGAACAGGAAGGTGCAGACAGGTTGCAGTTGAGTTGAATCAAAAGGCAGTTCCTGGCGCAACCTCTTGTGTGATAAGTCGAGCTTTGAGTCGACTCAACACTCGACTTATCACACAAGGTGGGGAACAGGAAGGTGCAGACAGGTTGCAGTTGAGTTGAATCAAAAGGCAGTTCCTGGCGCAACCTCTTGTGTGATAAGTCGAGCTTTGAGTCGACTCAACACTCGACTTATCACACAAGGTGGGGAACAGGAAGGTGCAGACAGGTTGCAGTTGAGTTGAATCAAAAGGCAGTTCCTGGCGCAACCTCTTGTGTGATAAGTCGAGCTTTGAGTCGACTCAACACTCGACTTATCACACAAGGTGGGGAACAGGAAGGTGCAGACAGGTTGCAGTTGAGTTGAATCAAAAGCTCCTGGCGCAACCTTTTGCCACTTCACACGGCTGCTAGCAACAACGTCCTACTACAAACTTGGGACTTGAGACTTGCCAATTCACATGGATGGATTCACACGGCCACTTGAGACTTGTTGAGATGCAGTGAATCCATGCTCGTTATTGCGTGAGATTCTTACATGCTCGAGGCTCACCCAGAGAAGGTTCGCAGGGAAGCGCAGAAATCGTCTTGCAGGAAGAAATGCGCCCCCTGCACTGGATTGGGATGCCGCCTTGGCATCCAAGGGGGCATCGCCCCACGCGCAACCCAGTGCAGGGGGCTCGTTTCTTCCTGCAAGAAATGCGCCCCCTGCACTGGATTGGGATGCCGCCTTGGCATCTCACGCACGCAGCTTGCAGCAACATAAGCTCCCTCTCCTCTCTCACTCATGGAAACCTAGCGGCTCACCCAAAGAAGGTCCGCAGGGAGGCACAGGCAGCGTCTTGCAGGAAGAATTGCGCGTGGGGTGATGTCCCCTTGGATGCCTCGTCCATGCACATGCGCACACATGCATCATATGCCACCGTTGCGCTCCACCTCTCCTCAGCACTGTATTTGTGGGACAAGGGACGTGGGGCATGCATTGGGCATGGATAAATGAACCCCTTGGCAGCCTCGTCAATCCACATGCGCACACATGCATCGTATGCCACTGTCGCACACCAGCGCTCCTCAGCACTGCATTGGGGTACGGTGGATAGGGTATGCATGAGGCACAAAGCACAGGAAGAGATGCGCATGGGGGGATGCCCCCTTGGATGCCTCGTCCAAGCACATGAGCACACATGCATTGTATGCCACAACCGCACTCCACCGCTCTTCAGCACTGTATGTGAGGGGTATGTGACAACGGACAACGGGCATGGGGCATGCATTGGGCATGGAGAAATGAACCCTTTGGATGCCTCGTCCATGCACATGCGCACACATGCATTGTATGAAGCATGGGGCATGGGGCATGGGGCATGGGGCATGGGGCATGGGGCATGGGGCATGGGGCATGGGGCATGAGTCGACTCAAAAGTCACATCTCCCACGCCCATACACACCACGTGCATCGCCCACGCCCATACACACCACATGCATCGCCCACGCCCATACACACCACATGCATCGCCCACGCCCATACACACCACATGCATCGCCCAGGCCCATACACACCACGTGCATCGCCCACGCCCATACACACCACATGCATCGCCCACGCCCATACACACCACATGCATCGCCCACGCCCATACACACCACATGCATCGCCCACGCCCATACACACCACATGCATCGCCCACGCCCATACACACCACATGCATCGCCCACGCCCATACACACCACATGCATCGCCCACGCCCATACACACCACGTGCATCGCCCACGCCCATACACACCACGTGCATCTCCCACGCCCATACACACCACGTGCATCGCCCACGCCCATACACACCACATGCATCGCCCATGCCCATACACACCACATGCATCGCCCACGCCCATACACACGACGTGCATCGCCCACGCCCATACACACCACATGCATCGCCCACGCCCATACACACCACGTGCATCGCCCACGCCCATACACACCACATGCATCGCCCACGCCCATACACACCACATGCATCGCCCACGCCCATACACACCACGTGCATCGCCCACGCCCATACACACCACGTGCATCGCCCACGCCCATACACACCACATGCATCGCCCACGCCCATACACACCACATGCATCGCCCACGCCCATACACACCACGTGCATCGCCCACGCCCATACACACCACGTGCATCGCCCACGCCCATACACACCACGTGCATCGCCCACGCCCATACACACCACGTGCATCGCCCACGCCCATACTCACCACGTGCATCGCCCACGCCCATACACACCACATGCATCGCCCACGCCCATACACACCACATGCATCGCCCACGCCCATACACACCACGTGCATCGCCCACGCCCATACACACCACATGCATCGCCCACGCCCATACACACCACATGCATCGCCCACGCCCATACACACCACGTGCATCGCCCACGCCCATACACACCACGTGCATCGCCCACGCCCATACACACCACATGCATCGCCCACGCCCATACACACCACATGCATCGCCCACGCCCATACACACCACGTGCATCGTACGCCACTCTTGCGCAAGGCTGCAAGAACGGGGAGCGTGTGAGAGTGTGAGCCCAGATTCAGAGGTGAGTTTTGAGTCGACTCAAAAGCCTGCCCAGATTCAGAGCACCAGAGGTCACAGATCACGCTCGCATTGTGGTTACCACGTCGAGCAAGCAGCACGGTTACCAGGTAACCCTACCTGGCGAGTTGGCTGGGTTCGACAGCAGGTGGGTGAGAGTGCCTCCTGTTGAGGCGCCTCAAAAAGCAGTGTGGTTACCACAGCATAGACATTGTGGTAACCAGCAACCATACCTGGCGAGTTGGAAGGGTTCAATAGCAGGCGGTTCAGCGTGTCCCGTGGTGCGATGGGGCGTGGTGGGGGTGTGAGGAAACAAAAATGCTTGTTCTGAGTCGCCTCATCAACAGTGTGGTTACCATGTTGGGCTGTGTGGTAACCAGTAACCGTACCTGGCAAGCTGGATGGGCTCGACAGCAGGCGGGTGGGAGTGCCCCGTGGTGCGATGGGGCGCGGTGGGGGTATGGGGAGACATAAGTGTGTCTGCCCCTGCACGCTCCGTCCTACTGTAAAACGGGGGAGGAAGTATACAGCAGGGAGAGGCGGGGGGTTGCGCGCAATGGAGGTGCGATGGGGCGCGGTGGGTGTGGGGGGTCTTAGAGGCGCGACTACCTCAGCACTCTCCGGCCTGCTGGGAAGGGCGAGCGAGGGGGAGGGGAAGGGGGATGGGGGAAGGGGGAAGGGGGAATATGAAGAAATGGCCTGGTGAAGGGAGGGGGCGTGGGGAAAAAGGGAGAGAGGGCGCACGAACACTCCTCTGTGACGGGCAGGCAACTATTCTCAAGAAGTGGCCCGTGCTACAGCTGCCAGAGTTGCTCGTGCTACAGCCGCGCGAGTCGCCTGTGCTACAGCCACGAGAGTAACCGGTGCTACAGCCCGTGCTATAGCCGCCCAAGAAGTCACCGCGTTTCCAAATTACACAATCGTTATCCCGCGTCTGTATGCTTATCCGCAATGTACGTTTTTACCCCGTTCGTAAGATGTAACTATCCCCGTTACACCGCGTTCGCATCATGTCACGTACGCGTTAAACCGCATGCCTCTGCTCCCCCCATATCCGATCGCAGTAACCATCTCCCCGCTCCTAGACCAATCAACGAGACAACCTCGCGAGCATGCGACCTGCGCGATTCACCTCTGCGACGCGTGCGACGGCGAGTCCGTCGTCGCGCCCGACTCCTCCCGCACGGTGCTCAGGCGCAGCGAGCTCTCCCGCCCCAGCCCCACCGCGGACCTCCCCCCGCCACTCCACTTTCCGCTGCTCACTCCCGGCAACTCCGCGCTCTCCCGCTCCCCGCTTCCGCCCGCCTCCGGCCGCTGCGGCTGCGGTGCCGCGCGGGTGGGCGCGCCGGGCGCGGCACGCGCGGGCGGGCCGCCGCTCATGGCGGAAACGGGCGGCGCGCTGGGAGTCGTGCTGCTGGCGTCGCCGCGACTCGCAAGTCTGTCGCCGCCCTGCCGCTGCTCCTGCCCGTGGCTGTAGTTCCGACTGTAGCTTAGATCGTTGCTTCGGTTGCGGCTGACACCGTTGCTTCGGCTGTGGCTCTGGCTGTCTCGTCCACTGTCCCGTTGACTGCCGCGTTGACTGTAGCGCTGACTGTCTTTTGGGCTGTAACTGTCGCGATGCGGTGCAGCCCCCCCCACCGCTCTCAACACCGCCTCATCCTCCGCTTCCTCTTCCTCCTCGACCCGCTTCCGCTCCCGCTCCCACTCCCGTGCACGTTCCCGCTCCTCCTGCTCCCAGTCGTCAATTCCGCCGAGATTCGAGCGATCGTTGTTCGTAGCGTCGCCCGCGTCGCCTTTGACCATAGACGACAGCACGTTTGGCGCGAACTCTAAGGAATGATCTAAGAACGGCTCGGCAGCAAGATCGTCGTCTTCGTCTGCCTCCTCCTCTTCCTCCTCGTCCACGTCGTTAACCTCCACTTGGCGACTGATACCGACGCTCGCGACGTTCGCGAAGTTAGGGTTTCTGTCGCCCAGCACGCCGTTGCTCCACGCGCCGCTCTCGTAAAAGCCGCTCTCCCGCTTCGCCCCCGCCACCGGCTTCGATCGGCTCTGCAAATCCGGAATCGCGGAGCGCCCTTGCCCGTCGTACGGCGTTTCCTCGCCCGTGCGACTGCGTTTCATCTCCTGGCGGTTCATCTCCCACGTGGAGCTCCCCATGTTGGATGAAACTCGGCTCTTTTTTACCCCGAGCGGTCCGTACTCCTCGTTACCGTTCTCATCCGCCCACGCCGCTGCCTCCTGCCCGTAATCGCGACTCTCCATGCCCATGTTTGGCATGTCCATTGATTCGTACGCTGCGGGTCTCGCTGCCACGTGTTGCTGATACTGGTGCTGCTGGTCCATCCCTCGGACGCCGCGCGTTCCTTTGCTCCACCCTCCTCCTTTCATGGCGTCTCGGCGAAAGCACACGTGGCCTAATTAGGAATATCCTGATCGCCTATCAAGCTTAGTGGTTGGTCATAACAGCTGGGGAAATGCATTTTTTCAAATATTTCCCTGCGCGTTACTGCCACATTTGGGGTCGAATGCCATGCACAGCGCGTTTGGCGGGAAAATAAATTTTGAATCTTCAGATTTCGGCTGCAGTCTTTGAGAGCGCGTTTTTACGAGTATGTGATCGAAACCTGTTTCTGGACTTATAATTTCTACCTCTTCTCTGGCATGGGCTCTTGGCCAACAGATTCTTCACTACTACAGAGCGCTGCATCTTCTGTATCATTTTGAACCACAAAACCTACTAAAACGCGACCTTGAAAAAACTGACACTACGTAGCGGCTCGCTGCAAGCCGCTATATTCGTTTCAAGCAGTAGAGATACTCAAAAAATACTCGTGAAATGTGAACTGAATCGTAAGCTTGTTACTCTTATTGAAAGGGATATAGGTGCAATCTCATTATCTGTAATGAATATCAGGACCTCACGGGTCAGTGTTAAAACTCTTATTTCAGTTAACGAGAACAAGGATTATATTCCAATATCTTTAAGGTGAAGGCTATCCTCTTTTTTTTTCATGTGTACGCTGATTTTCCATCGTTTCTTGTGTACGCTGAGTTTTCAGCGCCTCCTCCTTTTTTTCTAGTGTACGCTGATTCATCAGCCTTGTATTGGGAGAGCTCCGTAAAGTCGGTACTACCATGATTTTGTCGAGGGGCGGCAGCACGGAGGAGGAGTGAGGAGCGGCGCGCTGCCGCCCCTCGACGCAAGGAATGCAGGGTGGGGCAGGCGAAGGTGAGAGAGAAGGCAGAGACCTGGGAAGGCCAGAGACCAGGAAGCGGGAGTGCATGCCACGGAGGCGTGGCAGGGAGGGGTGACCAAGGCGGTGGTGCCAAAGGAGCGTCTGGTGCAACAGGAGGCGACACGAGCAGCTGGCTGCTACCTGACCTGACGCGGACACCTGAGCAGACGCAGCGACCTGAGGCGGCGCAGTAGTCAGTGTGTACAGACTCGACCCAGGCCGACGAGTGAACGTGGCCAAGTGACGGCGTGTCCGGGAGCACGTGCAGATCGCCACACGCTGCCCTCCAGGGGTAAAGGTATCAACCCCTGCATCCTGAAGGACCGCGTTACTCACCAAGTTCGCCGAGAACGAGGAGAGGTAGAGACCTGACAGTGAGCCGGACGGAACCGCCGGACACGGGAGAACAGTGGAGGAACGTGCAAGAACCGGGCCCCCAGAGGGGTCAGCCAGTGAGACTGCAACGGGTCTAGGGAGTGGTGTGACTGTGGTACTGTCGCGAAAGAAGCAGCGAGAGGCACCTGAGTCAAGCGTGAAGGTGGGCAAGGCCTCAGCAGGCGCAGTACCAGAGAGAGCAGACTCACTAGCACCTAGAGCAGCAGCCACTATACCAGGCTCAGGCAGCACACAGGCACCTGAGTCAAGCGTGAAGGTGGGCAAGGCCTTAGCAAGCGCAGTACTAGAGAGAGCAGACTCACTAGCACCTAGAGCAGAGCCACTATACCAGGGTCGGGCGGCACACACAGGTAACAGTCACCCTCAGTACCAACAGTCAAAGCATACATGGCAGTGAGGATAGCGTCATAGTCTAGAGCAAATATACCCACTTTGTTCCGAAGCAGCTCTAGCCAGCGGGGGAGCTCAGCCTCGTCGCCAAACTCTGCGCGCCAGGCGTCGCTCAGGTAAGCGAAGTAGCGGGACTGTGGGTGGCCAGCTGTCTCGCAAGTCTGACCAGCCCGATCACCTGTGCGAATGACGTATGGGCAGCGAGCAGTACACCGAGACAACCCACGCTGGAAAAGCCACTCACGAAGCTGTTGGGACGTAAGGGTCACGTGCGGACGCCGCTGTAGCTGCATCTGGCCACCGCCAGAAACTCCCCACTGAACAGCTCCACCGCGACTGCTACTACGGCCGCCGCCACCACTCCCACTGCTGCCACCACCGTCGCCACCACTCCCACCGCCACTACGAAGAGAAGTCATAGCGGGCAAAGCAAGGAGGCGTGTGACGAGCAGGGCAGCACGTAGAGAAGGCAGGGCGGTGTCAAACTCATATACTATAGTCTGTGTAGGCTGTAGTGGGGTAGCTCATATGGGGTACAACATTCTAGGGTTTCATACTTGTACTCCTCATGCTGCTCAATGCATTCATTCTCGTTCCAATTGTCACATGGTATAGAGCAGGTTCCCTCGTGGGAACTGTTCCTAGGGCCCACCGTAAGATTTTTTTTTTCCTGCCCGGAGCGCGCTCCGCCCCTGCCCGAGTCGCGCTCCCCTCCCCTCGCTTCCCTTAGCGGCCCCGTCGCGCCGCGCTTCCGGCCCCGGCGCCGCCTCTGCTGGCCCCGGCGCCTCACCTTTGCGACCCCGCGGCCCCACCCTCGCGTCGCCCTGCGCGGCGTCGTTGCAGCCGCCCGCGACCCCGACGCCGCCCGTCGCGACCCCGTCGCCCTTCGCGCCGCCCGCGACCTCGTCGCCGCGACCGCCCGCGACCCTACCGCTGCAGCCGCCCGCGACCCTGGAGTCGCAGCCGTCCGCGACCCTGTCGCCGCAGCCGCCCGCGACCCTGCCGTCGCCGCCGCCCGCGACCCTGCTGTCGCAGCCGCCCGCGACCCTACCGTCGCCGCCGCCCGCGACCCTGCAGTCGCAGCCGCCTGCGACCTCGTCGCCGCGGCCGCCTGCCCTCCCGTCGCCGCAGCCGCGCGCGACCCCCGTCGCCCCACCCGTGCGACCCCACCGCCGCCCTTTGCGGCCCCTTCGCCATACCTTCGCGGCCCCGCCGAGCAGCCGAGCCGCCACTGCCGCCGTGCTGCCGAGCCGCCACTGCCGCCGTGCTGCCGAGCCGCCGAGACGCCGCTGCCGCCGAGCTGCCGAGCCGCTGAGCCGCCGAGCCGCCGTTCCTGCCGTCACGGCCTTGTTCCTGCCGGCGCGCCTCGGTCCTTCTCGCCTGCCCGGTAAGAGCAGCGCCTCCACCACTGCTCTGCCCTAGCCTGCTGCTCTCACTGCTTGTCTACAGCTGTCATGGCTTCCCCCAGTGTCCTCACCTTTGACGCTGAGGGTCGGGCCATTGACTTTGACGTCTGGGTAGATGACCTGCAGCTTTTCCTACTGAGCGACAGAGCAGACGGCCTCTCCCTTTTTGACCTCACCTCTGGTGCCTCTCCTGCCCCTGCTGCTGATGCTGACCCCACTGTTCGCTCCCAGTGGGCCACGCGCGATGCTGCTGCCCGCCTTGCTGTGCGCCGCCACTTGCCGACTGCTGAGCGTGCGCACTTTAGCCAGTACAAGAGTGCTAAGACCTTGTACGACGCTGTAGTTGCACGCTACTCTTCCCCTGCCACTGCTGCGCTTAGCCGCCTCATCCTACCGTACCTCTTCCCTGACCTCGCCGCCTTTCCCACAGTCGCTGACCTCATTACGCACCTTCGCACTAGTGACACTCGCTACCGCGCTGCGCTTCCTGCTGAGTTCTGCGCCAAGAACCCCCCCCCCCCATGTACATCACCCTCTACTACATCGTCACCCGGCTCCCTGACACCCTTCGCCCGGTTAGGGACCACTTCCTCTCTGTTTGCCCCACCACCCTCACCGTTGACCTCCTCGAGGAGCGCCTGCTCGCGGCAGAGAAGAGCATAGTCGCAGTAGGTGCCTCTCGTGGTGACCCTCGTACCCCTGTCTTTGAGGGGTGCTCCCCCTCTCCCCTCTTGCCCTCTGTTGCCTCTGCTGCTGCGGCCGACCTCGTTGGTCTTGAGTCGGTCGCTGCGGCGTCTGCCCCTAGCGGGAGACGCCGCCCTGGCAAGGGCAAGGGGGGCAAGGGTGCTGGAGGGGCTGGAGGGGGCGGTGGAGGCGGAGGTGGAGGTGGTGGAGGGGGTGGGGGTGGCGGTGGGGGTGGTGGCGGGGGTGGGGGCGTCGGTGGCGGGACTGGAGGTGGAGGTGGAGGCGGCGGTGGCGGTGGGAGCGGAGGTGGCGGAGGTGGCGGTAGTGGAGGAGGTAGCGGCGGAGGCGGCGGAGCTGGTCGGGGTGGCGCTGCGCAGAGGGGTGGCTCCGGTGGTGGTGCGCGCCAGCAGCAGCAGCAGCAGCGTACCCGTGAGACCCCTTCCCCCCAGCAGCTTCGTGAGTGGTACGCTGCTCGTCAGCGGGGCGGGGGTGCTGGCCCCTGCACCTACGTTCTCCGTACCGGCGACCGGGCGGGTGAGCAGTGTGGGGGCCCACACCCCACCCAGCGCTGCTTCGGTCGTCTGACAGACGCGTGGCGCCACCAGTTCCCCGACGCTACTGAGATCCCTCGCTGGGGCGAGCTGTCTAGGGCGGGTGTTGCAATCTATGATCTTGATTTTGATGCTATTCTTGCTGCCATGTATGCTGTGACTATTAGTGATGAGGGTGACTGTTACCGGTGTTTCCCGCCTGACCCAGGCATAGAGGCTGCTGCGCTAGGTACTTGTGAGGCTGCTGCTCTAGGTGCCAGTGCGTCTGCTGCCCCAGGTGCCGGTGAGTTTGCGCTCTCAGGTGCTGCGTCGCCCCCGGACACCCACACCTTCACCCTTGACTCGGGTGCTTCCCGCTCCTTCTTTCGAGACTGCACCACTCTCACACCGCTCAGTCGGCCTGTTGCGGTCTCCCTGGCGGACCCCTCTGGGGGTCCTGTCCTTGCTCACTACTCCACTGTCCTACCGTGTCCAGCGGTCCCGTCTGGCTCCCTGTCGGGTCTTTACCTCCCCTCGTTCTCTACGAACTTGGTGGCGGGTGCTGACCTCCAGGATGCAGGAGTTGACCAGTTCACCCCTGCGCGTCAGCGGGTGACCCACTGCACTTGTGCGGACACGGGCCGCCACTTGGCCACGTTTGCTCGTCGGCCAGGGTCGAGCCTGTACACACTGACTACTGAGTCTTCTCCAGTCACTGAGTCTGCTCAGGTAGCCGCGTCGGGTCAGGTGTTTGCTGCGGCGTCCAGGTCTGGTCCTGAGTCTGCCCCCTGCTCGTGTCGTCTCCTGTCTCACCGGACTCTCCTCTGGCACCACCGTCTTGGTCACCCCTCCCTGCCTCGCCTTCGAGGCATGGCTTCCCGTCTTCTTGTTTCTGGTCTCCCCCGGTCCCTCCCTCCTCTTCCTCCGGGGCCTGCCCCCACCTGCGTTCCCTGCGTCGAGGGGCGGCAGCGCGCTGCTCCTCACTCCTCCGAGTTTCCTCCGACAGAGGCTCCGCTGCAGACGCTTCACATGGACGTGTGGGGCCCAGCCCGCGTCCGTGGGCAGGGTCAGGAGCGCTACTTCCTGCTGGTGGTTGACGACTACTCGCGTTACACCGCAGTCTTCCCCTTGCGCAGCAAGGGTGACGTCACTGAGGTGTTGATCGCCTGGATCCGCGCGGCTCGTCTCCAGCTCCAGGAGAGTTTCGGCTCCGACTTTCCTGTTCGGCGTCTGCACTCCGACCGAGGCGGAGAGTTCTCCTCTGACCTTCTGCGGACCTTCTGTCGCGCACGAGGCATCCGCCAGACCTTCACGCTTCCGGACTCTCCGCAGCAGAATGGGATTGCTGAGCGCCGCATCGGCATGGTCATGGACGTCGCTCGTACGTCCATGATCCATGCGGCTGCTCCCCATTTTCTGTGGCCGTTTGCGGTTCGGTACGCGGCGCATCAGCTCAACCTTCACCCCCGGGTCTCCATGCCGGAGACCTATCGTACTTCGTTCCGCTCCTTGAGCAGGTTCTTGGTCTTCCGTCCTCTCTTGGTCCTGCTCCTGCCTTAGAGTGTCCGCCTCCTGTCCAGTCTGAGTTGCAGTTACAGCCACCTTCCCCGCTTCCTTCTCCTTCTCCCTACACTGGTCCTACTGGAGGTCTTGCTGAGCGTCGTGAGCCTGCGTCTCGCCCTGCGTCGCCTGTCCGCGCTGCTCGCACTAGTGGTCGTGGTTCACGTCAGCGTCCTCCCCCTGTCCCCGGCACGCACCGGATGTCTCTGCGTCCTTCCACTGCTCCGCTGCGTGCCCCTTTGCCTTCTCCTCCCGCGTCCTCTCTTCCTGACCTTCCTGACCCGGAGTCGGACTCCCTTCGTGCTGCGCGTCCTACTGTCACGCGTCTCCTTGCTACTGTCGTCACTGACCCTTCCTTTGAGTCTACTGCTGCGTCTGCCCTAGTTGCTGAGCTTGTCGACTTCGCTGCTCGCTGTCGCCTAGACTACGCTACCAGTCTCGTCGCTGAGTCTCAGTCTGTCTGTCCTCCGTCCGTCGGGGGTGAGTGTGCTCTTGGCACGGACGTCCTTGAGGACAGGCAGGAGGAGTTCCAGTGCTTGGCTGCTGCTTCACCTCATCTCGTGTCCATGCTGCTTGCCCCTGAGGGAGACCCGGATGCACTTGACATCCCGACTCCGCGCTCTTACGCGGAGGCGATAGAGGGTCCCTACTCCTCTCAGTGGCAGGCAGCCATGGACGCAGAGATGGCTTCCTGGAAGTCCACAGGCACCTACGTTGACGAGGTTCCCCCGCCTGGGGCGAACATCGTCAGTGGCATGTGGATTTTCAGGGTGAAGCGGCCGCCGGGTTCTCCGCCTGTCTTCAAGGCGCGTTACGTGGCTCGTGGCTTCAGTCAGCGGCAGGGAGTTGACTACTTTCAGACCTTCTCCCCCACCCCGAAGATGACCACTCTTCGGGTACTGCTGCACATAGCTGCTCACCGAGACTACGAGCTGCACTCTCTTGACTTCAGCACTGCTTTCTTGCAGGGCAGCCTGCACGAGGAGATCTGGCTGTGCCGCCCACCTGGCTTCACTGGGACGTTTCCTCCTGGCACCCAGTGGAGCCTCCGGCGGCCAGTCTATGGTCTCCGCCAGGCGCCTCGTGAGTGGCACGACACACTGAGGACTACACTTGCGGCCCTTGGGTTTGCTCCTTCTACTGCCGACCCGTCGCTGTTTCTGCGCACCGACACTTCTTTGCCGCCGTTCTACATCCTCGTGTACGTCGACAACTTGGTCTTTGCTACAGCTGACACTGCTGGACTTGCCTACGTGAAGTCCGAGCTGCAGAAGAGACACACGTGCACAGACCTGGGTGAACTGCGCAGCTACCTTGGCTTGCAGATCACCCGGGACAGAGCACAGCGCACCATTACCCTGACTCAGTCACACATGGTGCAGCAGGTCCTTCAGCGCTTTGGCTTCACGTACTCCTCGCCTCAGGCCACTCCTCTGCCTACACGCCACTCGCTCTCAGCTCTGCCTTCGGATGAGTCCGTAGAGTCGAGTGGCCCGTACCCAGAGCTTGTCGGCTGCCTCATGTACCTGATGACCTGCACTCGACCTGACCTTGCATACCCTCTTAGCATTCTGGCACGCTTTGTTGCTCCTGGGAGACACAGACCAGAGCACATGGCTGCAGCGAAGAGGGTGTTGCGCTACTTGTGCAGTACGTCGGGCATGGGGCTTGTGCTTGGAGGGCATAGTTCAGTGGTCCTCACTGGTCACGCAGACGCTTCTTGGGCTGACGACCAGGCTACGCAGCGGTCGTCACAGGGTTACACCTTCAGCCTTGGTTCCGGCTCTGTTTCTTGGCGGTCTACCCGCTCGTCTTCTGTTCTCAGCTCCAGTTGTGAGGCTGAGATCTACGCAGGGGCCATGGCTGCACAGGAGCTACGCTGGCTCACCTACCTGCTGACTGACCTGGGAGAGCCGCCTCGTTCTCCTCCAGTGCTGTACGTAGACAACAAGGCCATGCTGGCCTTGTGTCATGAGCACAGACTGGAGCACAGAACGAAGCACATCGCTCTCCGCTACTTTCTTGCTCGTGAGCTGCAGCAGCGTGGTCAGCTGCGCCTTGCTTACGTGGCCTCTGAGGCCAACACTGCTGATATCTTCACTAAGGCACTCGCGCCTTGTGATCATCAGCGCTTCTGCACTCTGTTAGGTCTTGTGCCTACCTTGCCTCACTTGCTTACTTCTTGACCTTGCTTGTACTGTTGCATATATATACCTGGCCTTGTCTGTTTAGTGTTATATATATGTGACCTTGCATGTGAACTGGCCTTGTGGCCTTGAACTTGTGCTCAGACTGTGTGGTGACGTTGTGATCCACCCTGAGCTTGCTTTGCCTTGCTTTGCTTGACTGGTCTTGTGACCCCTTGTTCTCCCCCACTTTGCCTATGGGGGTGTGTCAAACTCATATACTATAGTCTGTGTAGGCTGTAGTGGGGTAGCTCATATGGGGTACAACATTCTAGGGTTTCATACTTGTACTCCTCATGCTGCTCAATGCAATCATTCTCGTTCCAATTCTCACAGGCGGCGAGCAGGCACTAGGGTTAGCGCGTAGGGTAGGGCGGGGCGGTGTGTCAGAATGTTATTCTCTAGCCTGTAGTGGGGTGCTCTATAGCGAGTACAACCCATCTAGGGTTTGCTATATGTATCCTCATTGCTGCTAGTGAAAACCCTCTTCTCTTTGCCTAAACTTTCTCTTGCCTAGCTAGGGTTCTCCTAGATATGGCGCCTAACTCTACGCACTATCTTCAGTGACATGGTAACAGAGCGTTCACGCTCCTGGCCTGTGGGCCCCACTGCTGCTTCCGCTGCCCTACTCTGTGTCGCGCGCCCCGTGGCGCGCGACCTTCAAATTTTCATCCCGCCGCGCGCCTCGAGTGCGTGCGGCGGTTTCCTGCCGTGGGGGAGCCCGCGCGCGCCCCGCCCGTCTGTCGCGACGCCCTGGGGAGCCCGCGAGCGCCCCGCCCGTCCGTCGCGACGCCCTGGGGAGCCCGCGAGCGCCCCGCCCGTCTGTCGCGACGCCCTGGGGAGCCCGCGAGCGCCCCGCCCGTCCGTCGCGACGCCCTGGGGAGCCCGCGAGCGCCCCGCCCGTCCGTCGCGACGCCATGGGGAGCCCGCGCGCGCCCCGCCAGTTCGTCGCGGCGCCCTCGGGAGCCCGCGCGCGCCCCGCCAGGCAGTCGCGGCGCCCTGGGGAGTGTCGCGCGCGTCCCCCCCGCCCGTCCGTCGCGGCGCCCTGGGGAGCAGCGCGCGCCACCCCCCTCCACCCGCCCAGCCCGTCCGTTCTGGCGCCCTGGGGGTCACGCGCCATCCCCCCCTCACCATCCCCCGCGCTCCTGCCCCTATCCCACCCGTTTTAGGGTTTGGGGGTGGGGAGTGTGGGGGTGGCGGTTGTGGGGGTGCCGGTTGTGTGCCCCGTCCCCTACTCCTCCTCCTCCTCCGTCTCCCGCTGCTGCAGCTGCCGCTCAGGGGGGTGGGTGTGTGGGAGCCGAAGGAGTGGTGCTAGGGGGGTGACGTGGGAGTGGAGCTAGGGTTTGAACAGGGGGTGTGTGTAAGGGGGGTGGGACTAAGAGGAACAGGAGTACAAATGTGAAACCCTAACTAGGTGTACCCCCTAAGGTATCACCCACTACAGGCTAGAGCAATACAAACATATAATGTTTGACACACCCCCATAGGCAAAGTGGGGGAGACCTAGGGGTCACAAGACCAGTCAGGGCAAAGCAAGGCAAACAAGCTCAGGGTGGATCTCGAGGATTCCACACAAATTCCGAGCACAAGCAAGCGGTCACAAGACCAGTTCACATGCAGGTTTATAATAGAGCAAGACGTACAATGATCACAACCTAGCAAGAGTAAACATGCAGGTATACAAATATATAGTGATCACAGTACAGGCAAAGTCAAGAAGTGAGCAAGTGAGGCCCAGTAGGCACAAGGCCTAACAGAGTACAGAAGCGCTGATGGTCACAAGGCTGGAGTGCCTTGGTGAACACATCAGCAGTGTTGGCCTCAGTGGCCACGTAACGCAGACGAAGCTGACCGCGCTGCTGCAGCTCTCGAGCAAGGAAGTACCGCAGGGCAATGTGCTTTGTTCTGTGCTCCAGTCTGTGCTCCTCACATAAGGCAATGGCAGCCTTGTTGTCGACGTACAGCACTGGAGGAGAACGAGGCCGCTCTCCGAGGTCGGTCAGCAGGTAGGTCAGCCAGCGCAGCTCCTGAGCAGCCATGGCTGTGGCGTAGATCTCAGCCTCACAACTGGAGCTGAGAACAGAAGACGAACGAGTAGAACGCCAAGAAACTGAGCCAGAGCCAAGGCTGAAGGTGTAACCCTGTGACGACCGCTGAGTAGCCTGGTCGTCTGCCCAGGAAGCGTCTGAGTGCCCTGTGAGAACAACCCGGTCTCGCCCTCCAAGCACAAGCCCCATGCCCGACGTACTGCACAAGTAGCGCAACACCCTCTTAGCAGCATCCATGTGCTCCTTCCTGTGACGGCCAGGAGCGACATAGCGTGCTAAGATACTAAGAGGGTATGCAAGGTCAGGTCGAGTGCAGGTCATCAGGTACATGAGGCAGCCCACAAGCTCTGGATACGGGCCACTCGGCTCTACGGACTCATCCGAAGGCAGAGCTGAGAGCGAGTGACCGGTAGGCAGAGGAGTGGACTGAGGCGAGGAGTACGTGAAGCGGAAGCGCTGGAGAACCTGCTGCACCATGTGTGACTGAGTCAGGGTGATGGTGCGCCGTGCTCTGTCCCGGGTGATCCGCAAGCCAAGATAGCTCGTCAGCTCACCCAGGTCTATGCACGTGTGTCTCCTCTGCAGCTCCGACTTCACGTGGGCGAGTGCCGCGGTGTCAGCAGTGGCAAAGACCAAGTCGTCGACGTACATGAGGATGTAGAACGGCGGCAGCGAGGTGTCGGTGCGTAGAAACAGCGACGGGTCAGCAGTAGAGGGAGCGAACCCAAGAGCCGCAAGTGTCGTCCTCAGTGTGTCGTGCCACTCA